TATAAAGATAAAGATTACAATTAAAAGACTACTATTTACTCAATGTTCCTATATCATATTAATTTTAGGATTTTGTCAAAATATTCTTCCACCACGTACTATAATATTTTAATTCGACAGCTCAAGTTTAATGAACTTGTTGTTCTTTAGATTTAATTTAATCACATAAATAATATAAGGCCTTTTTAATGGTTTCACTTGCTAATGTTAACAACCATTCATTTCAGAGGTTACGTCTAGGAGTCCATCTAGTATATTTAGTATATCTAAAGGTAAAGTGCTAAACCCTTGGCTAAAAATACGAGAACTATCTTCAAAATCTCTAGGTGGTCCAGCACCCATAATACACAATCCAACAACACTCGAAAATCAAAAATCCAAGACAATTAATAAGTGTTTAATCGATGAATTCTCATGGGGCACATCGATTATAATACAGTGTTACAATGTAAAATTACCTACTAAAAAAGTACAGGAGAAGAATTTAATGTCATCGCTAATGAGACCAAAAGTTGTTTCTTTTGGTAAGTTCATCATACCTATTTGTTTTAATTCAAAATAAATTCACCCAATATTTTCATCCAGGTTTATTGTAATATTGTTTAATGTATTGAAAGTGTTACACTTCAAAGAAAAATTCGAAATCGCCATTCAAAAACTCAGGACAACATAAATTAGTACCAATATAGGAACGTTTAAAGTAAAACATGAGATACACGCAAGATTCATGAATATATAACTGCATGTAACTTAAAAAAATTATGGTTTCATTCATCTATATGCTGAATATATATATATATATATATATATATATATATATATATATATATATATATATATATATAGTGATATGTTGGTTCGATTTTTACTGCCAGTCAGTCAACAACAAAATGCTTTGATAGTCATAGTGGTGAATAACGTAATTTATTTGAAACAACAGTTATATATAAGTCGCTGATAACTTTGAAATGACTACTTCCATGTTGGTGGTTTTTAGGACAATTTTTTCTTTGAAGTTATGCTGATTCTATATATAAGAATAAGCATTCAGGTTTAGCTTTGCATCAAAACAAGGATTAAAATTCGCCGAAGTTATTTAAGGTACTCTAGATGTAGTCTACTCTTCATGATCATATGTGTAAAAGAAACCTATTTTGAAGAGTAAGTAAATCTAACACTTAAACGTCCATAAATATAAGTAGACTAGAATTAAATAAACTTCTGGTATGCTCGCAATATTTCTTAATCAAACAGGTCATCGAAATTGAGGCAAATGCTAAGCCAGTGATAAAATCTTATAAAAAACCACCTAGTATTATGTAGGAAAAACCTCTCCAAAAGATTTATAATTGACAGGTTTAATACACTTTAAAACAAACTGAATTGTCACTTTTCATATGACTGATAACTTTCAGTATTAGGAAGTATTGATCACTGTTTAGATACATAAGAAAATAAACCTATCTGTTGAATAAAAACAGTATTAATTCCTTTACTGTTGAAAGAATCTTAGTTTGGTATTTATTGTATTTTATTACTTAACAGTGGAAAAATCCAATACTGAAATAAATGACAATGAATGGATCACTTCACATCAGACAATGAATTTAATTACGACCGATAAAAGTTGCGTAGCTGGAAATAATGTCGATCACAAAATTGATACTAGTAATTACGTAAACTATAAAAATTGAATACTTTAAAAGTAGTAGATATAATACTGACGGAGATTTTCAATTATTCCACTAAATATAACAGCGGACTATATTTGACAAAGAAATTTCTTTTGTTTATACTTTCCTTAAATTCTTTTTACTTGGCAATAATCTTTATTCCTTCATAATTTCTATGGATTTTCAAATTCATGCAAAAAAATAAATTGATGTTTATTTATTTAAATAGTTAATAATAATTTCTTTTTAAAAATACGTTTGTTGTTAATCTTGATGTGTTAAAATGTTTCCGTTGTAAAAGTACTTACATTGATCAATAATTAGATATACCTATTTTAAAAACGAGTACATGTAGAATGAAACAATGATCTAAACTAAAAATGTTATATTTTAATATTTTCAAATATTTGTTGGAGATCATGTTGGTTCAAATTAGTCAAATAGCTAACTTCATAATGACAAAGTAGTATAACTACGTATATCAAATTATATACTGTTTCCAATTAGATCAATTTATATTTGATTATTTAAAAACCTCCATTAATTTATCTTAGGTAACCTAGATGATGATTAATAAACGATGAATAAATTTAACTATAAGCAATCAACATTACTTATGAAGAGTAAACAGTTTTTATGCCTTTTTCTCATACTTTCATTTTTCATGTGGTCTAAATGATTAAGATTAATACATGTATAATACAATCCATTAAGATCATATTTTGAAATAAGTTGAAATACCAAAAAGAAGAAGTAAATGGAAGGTAATGTGTAAAACAAGTTGTACAATAGTTCATTTAGGCGTCTGTTGGAAATAACAGTTTAACAAAATTTTCATATAACAAACAATACACATATGACATATGATATTGGTAATGAATTTATTAACTGACTAAATTCATAAATTATAAAGTTATTTTGAAAAGGATTTGATCAGTTTCTATGAATTATAATACCTTATAATCTAGCTTCGTATTTTCGTTTGATTGTTGAATTATATTTGCGAACCCATAAATACTTTCTTTAAGTACACCACGATTACATTTATTCAATTTTCACTTTATGGTTGAAATGTAACATTCTACTGAATGTTTTATTATAAACGAACCGAGATCATATACTACCAAATACTTCATGATACTTAGAAATTACAAAATTCAAGTTTATTCTTTAAAAAAAATGATGACTTTTAGGAAACACTTAACACTGATTTGAGAATTAGCTATGTTACCTCAAAAATCTCTGCGATTCATTAAAGATGGAAATTTTTAATTCAGCAAATAGTCTTGTAACTGTGGTTCAAACTGTCTGACATTAATGCAGCTGAAATCAATTATTTTGTCGTGTTAAATTGTTCTATTTGATTCTAAAGCATTGGTAGCGATATAGTCGTTACTGACTACTAAAAATCAACCAAATCTCGTAATATAGGTGAAAATCATATTCACAATACTGGTCGGAGATATCTAACAATACCGGGGAAACTTAAGCATTTGATTTAGAGGACTGGAAAATTCTACAGAACTGATAAAAATTAATAGAATTTTTAGGTTTTGGCAGCTAAAAATGAGTTATCTTTTCCAGTCAACAGTCTGTTACTTCTGGAACATTTTAGTTTTGAATTTTACGAAGTAGCATTTAGAGAGAACATTTATATTGAACTTATTATTTAAAAGCATTAAGTTTAGTAAGACTGACGACTGTTTGTGTAGTTCTAAAGTCGTAATTTTAGTCGTTTCTATGTATGAAATTGTGCATCTGTTTATTGAACTAATTAAGGCTAGAATTAAGTTGTTTCTTTATTTCTATAATTATTGCGAAACTAAAACCTACGTTGACTGGAACTTGATGTGATGAAATGTTACTAGTCATAATCGATATTATTTCATTACCAACTCAAAGGAAATACTAATTTTTGTTTTATTTGTAATTTTTATTGAACAATCTATGTGTTCTTTTACGTTCATTGGATGAATTCATTATTTGTTCCATGATAATTTCATAATCATCATTGTATCTACGTTGGGGTCCACGTGATTATCGTAACCAATAGTTAGAGACTGGGTGACATGTCTCAGAGTCGATCACAATGGCATACGTGTATACACTTTCTGTCTTTCCTCAAACTATGAGATTTAAACAGCTACACATATTTCTTTCTACCAACTAATTCTTTCTTCCTGTACTATGCTCTTATATGCAATCTTCTTTTTTATATATTACCACCACTGAATTAACTACTTCGAGGAATCCGGTGTTCATCTAGTTGTGTTAATGAGGTATGGTAACTTGGACCAATGTACATATGTGCCTGGTTCTACGTTGTAGCTGACTGACTTGTATCTATGTAATATCACTCATAATTAGAATTACACGATCATTTATAAGAACAAGTATGTAAGATACTGGATTTATCAATGACTAAATTAAAAAGTATAGCAATATTAACAAAATAAAAAAAACTAACAAAGAATGTTGTTATTAACGTGTTTTTTATTCATTTTAACCAGTAAAAGGAAATTCACTGAACATATCAATAAATCATGTACAGAAAAAAGGAATAAGCGAAATAAACTTAATTTTACTAATCTACGAACCAAAATTCATTTATAATTTATATTAATGGACTAAACAATAAACATTGAAGCATCAAATGCACATTACAATTCATCTTATTATTAATATAACTGTATTATTATTATTGTTATTGTTATATAATAAACAAATCACAAGCAAAGATAGAATCAAATAAATTTTCGAAAGAGAAATTATTCAATACGTTTATACAAGATTGATGAACTGTTTTATTATATAGTGAAATTCTCAAAACATTATTTATTTTATAATATAAAGTCAATTATCCCAGTATTTTCCAATGATGAATAGTTGAAAATTAAGAGAGAGAGAGAGAGGAACACCCCCATTTAATTTGTTACTGAGGTTAGATTGTCCTAAAGTTTACAAAACAAAAATTTCATAAAATACTATGATTAGTATTATTATGCATGAAAAGAACGAAAAGACGAAAGATGAATTAATTTTCATTATCTCATTAAAAGAAATATTAAAAATCATACTGTTGATTATTGATTATTGTCACATTTAGTAAAAGTAATTAGTCAAGCGTTTAGTACAGTATTGAGGATAAAATTCTTTCCTTTTTCTTTTTCGAAAAGAGAAAAATTACGAAAATTTTTCGAAAAAAAGTATAAATTAAATAACAAATTCATGATTATGCATTGTTTGCTGAAGAAAAGAAAAGTTACTTGAAATAACTAATGATATGTTACGATGTTTACTCGGACTATAATAAATAAGATAATCATATTATGATTTACGACGTAAAGAGAAAAAATTTCTAATAGAACGACGATAACCATTACTTTGAAAACTTCTAGAATGAGTTGTCACAGGAAGTGTTAAAGTATGCCCAGTTTGATGTTTACTGAATTCAGAAGTTAAGCACTTAGCTGATTCGTTGATGGCTGTAACCCAACGATTAAGAACATTGTCATTTGCAGTTTGAAATAGATATTCACTACCATCTCCAAGACGTAATCGAAATACACATGGTCGTTTTGTGTAATCTATAGCAGGAGCAGCTCTTGATGACAGTAAACTTAATGGTGATGTATCATGATAGTATATGTTTGGTTTTTCCCGACGACTTTGTTGATCTTTGTAAACAAATAGTTGACCTGAATCAAGAACCAGATAAAGAGGTAACCAGCTCCGACCTTGACTTTTTGAATGTAAAGATCCACCAGAATCTAAATCGTGCTTTCGTATAACCGGACCCTCTAGTTTTGGTAAAACTGGTTGTCCACTTGTCGATGTTTCAGGTTCCTGTGATAACCTAGTTGGCTCTTGTTCAGCACTTTCAAAGAATTTCAACTTGGTTGTTGAAGCAGGGGATTCAGTCGTTGGCAAGTCAGATTGAGAAGATCTAACTCTTAGTGAACGGCTTCGAGTTATATGTTTTTGTTGGTGTTCATGTGGCTGATCTACAGTTTCCCTATATAGTAAAAAATAAATCAATTCATGTTAATATCAAATGTGAACAAATATAAACAAACGTCTAGAAGAAACATTAAGTGTGCTTAAATTCAATAAGTTTATATTACTCACACACCAAACACAGCGTTCAATCTACCAAATTAAATAAAGTGAAAACTGTTGAAAGTCAACAAGTTATACAGCTAATGGTTAATTAGTTTGAACAGGCTACAAAATAGACAATATTTGAAAGCCATGTTTATTTCACAGATGATAATAAATAATTGAAACGAATTTTTATTAACTTTATTTACTCATCATAGGCTGACGTCGTCTTCATTTAGCAGATAATTAACAGTTATTAGATTATTTCATAAATGTAAAAGCTTAAATCAACACTTAACAGCAGATGGTGATGGATATTATTTATTGAGTTCATAGCTATGAATGAGCATCTAGAAGTGATCAAAGTAGTTGAAGTACGAATATGGTGAAAATGTTTAGAGATAGAAAGTAAATGGACATTCAACAGTTTGTAGTTAATTTACGTTAAAAACAATACAGAGTGAAGGCATGAATAACATTTTAGTACTAGGTGTTCCTACGTGGGTAAGTTGAGCACACTCACACATACAAACAACTGATCAAGGGAAAAGTATCTTCTATTAACAGGTCTTGATAAAAATTCTGGGAAAGAATTAAGCCTGATAATCAAATGTCAGTTTCAATGGTTCAGGAATGATCTACAAAATCAGTTAGTTTCAAGACGAACTTTAATCATGATTAGTTTTGTGTTAAACATTTTATAAATAAGTGTGTACCTTTATGCGAGACAACTGGTTTTAGATAAAAAGAGATTCCATCTTTGGATATCTATTTACTGAGGGGTTTTGCGTCACTACATCCGTTTTCGTGATCAATCACGCAATCCACCTACATACATACACACAATATATTTCATTATGAAACTATTAGGTTGCTATTGAGGTATAATACATATTAAGTTTCAGTATACATTATATTTTAATGCTGAGAGGAAACAATACAAAATACTCACAGTGAACGAGTGTTATTATTTTCATCAGTAGTTTCTTCTACATGACGATTATATGAAGACGGTTTTTCAGTGTAAATTGGAATTTTCTCCGAAGAACCTTCAGATTTCTGACTATTGGGTTCTGATTTATCCCCGTCAGATAAACTTTCTTCCTTGGTTATCACGACTGATGACTCTGGTATTTGTCTAGAATGTGATCGTTTAACTGGTCGCGGGGACATTATAGTTTCGTGATGTTCAACTTTCTTTCCAGGACTCTTGTACGACTCCACAGTTTTGGGAGGTGATGTTGTCTTAACTGCTGTCGCTATACTATCGGATGTTGATGGAATTTTTGTTCTAGGTTTTGGATGTACAACTGGTATTTCAGTTGCTTCAATTGATTTCCTAAGTGGTTTAACAGGGGATGTTGAATGTAAGCAGTAGATACCAGTGGAATTTTTGATGAAGAAACACCAACTGTATGTGATGGTAAGATGGAAGTTGATTTTCCCAAAGTCTCAGTTTGTCCGACATAAGCAGGAAGAAATTCTTTGACAGCGTTACGAACTTTATTTCTTTGTTCATTCTCTCTCATAATAACTTCTTGTGGATCCCATTGCATTGATCTTAGTTCAAGCTGAAAGTGTAAGACAAAATAAAGATTATTCCAATTTTTAGTTTAGACTTACTCTATGAATATTCTAAATTGAAGAGTAACGCACACAATGAATATTTGGAGGCAGTTATTGCAAGACACTGCTTAAAATGATTTCATTTATTACTTTTTAATAATGTAATAAATAAAGATGAAAACCTTAAAAACAAGTCATCTTCTCTGGTTTAGCTAAAACTAGATATTGCATTGATTGGGAATCCAGTGGTGTAAATATTTAATATAGCTACCTAATTAACTTGTGAACTGGTTGAAATTTATGAAATGTTTGCGAAATGTCGTATCTCAGTTTCTAGTAGACGTGTGGATATGGTATGTTTACATTACATAAATTTGAAATCATTGAAGAATTATATTTGGGTGTATGCATATATGTGATAAATATTCCTGGTATATTGTTCTGTATGTTTAGTTTTAGCCTGCTGTACATATTTCATCAGTTGGTCACTGATTCTATTTCGTAACATCCACCCTGTTGGAATTTATGGTTTAGTTCTGATGACAAATTATCAATTTGGGTGTTTGAGCTATTTTAGAGCATAATACAATCAACTGAATTGACAAAGAGAAAGAGTTTTTTGGTAAAAAAAATATCCCGGCTAATCTTTTTTGTCATATCTTTATACTGTTGAACAACAAATCTGACGAAAACTGCACAAATCAATAAAAGTTTACAACTATACATAATTATCAGTTCTATGTTTACTTACCAGACCTTACATTAAAGAACTACAACTAAATATAATGTAAACAATAAACATGGGATAAATGATTCCTCAAGAGTAGCTAACACGTTTATAAATTATAGAGTTGAAAGTGCTGAAATTATTTATAAATTTAATGAGATGTGCGAGCTGATTGACCTAGTAAATTACCTACTGGATCTTATCCTATATCTCATGTAAATAGTCAAGTAGTTGAGTGTGTGAAGATCTAGTAGCAAATTCAATCTATTATTTGTACACTAATTATTCAAGCACAATATTATAAGTATGAGTTTTCAATTAACAAATAAACCATCAAAAACAAATGAAAATGAAAGTTACAAAACAACTGATAATTATTCAGATTAGTGGGTACTATGGGAGTTTGAAAGGAAAGATATTAAGTTCGAGTCGCTAACTTGACCAAAACGTATGATCATATGCTACTATGGAGGCAATCCGCACAGAATGTACATTATACAAAAACAGACTAATCAATTTCAGTGTTTAACATCAACAGTGGGAAGATACAAACAATATTACTCACTGTAGTTAATCTTTTCAATGCATTAAATCTTTCGTCTGCTGTTGCTAATGTTTGTTGGAATGCGTAATGAGCACCAAGTAAAGCTAGTGTTTCAGCTAATGTCTCACCTAGTTGACGACGTGCTGATTCTAATTGTAACTCTTTACCATTAACCATATTTCTGCACTATTCGCATCACGCGCGAATTGACGTATTTCTAATAATAAATGTAAACGATCCCAACGTTCACGCCATAATTCATTTAACAAAATACGCCCAGTTGCTAATTGTACACATCTCTCGCGAACTTCAGTTCGTGTAGCTATTAAACTTGGTTTCATAGTTGGTAGGATTGCTTTCTCTTCATGAGCTGCAAATTCAGCTAATAATATCCGACCAAGATTCAAGCAATCTTCAATTCGTTGATTTCGTGATTCTAATTCCACCCGTAATTGTTTATGATCTTCAATTAAATATTCAACACCAGAAATATCTCTAGAATAAGTTGATTGGTAAGAAACAAAATGAAAACATAATTAAGCACAATAAACAAATAGTATATATATATCATTGGAAAAGCAACACATAGCTTATAAAATACTGTGTCTGTTTAGATTTAACGATAACAAAGTGCTTTTAACTCCTTATTTGTATGTTGAGGACTGTGTAGTTGGAAGATATTCATAGAAGAGTAATCGTGAAACACTGGATCATTGAATATTGACTCTACAAAATCACTAAGTTGGATTACCAAATGTGCAAGTTAGTTACAGCCACAATTATTATATCAAAATCAGTAAGTGTGAGTTATTCAGTCAGCCGGTCAGCAACAACATAGAACATCATACGTACGTACATCAGTTCAAGTTACCACACCACATTAGCACATAGATACAATTGTCGATTCAAATCCCATAGTGATAGAGGTAGTAAAAGTATAAGCAATAATCGGAAAGATTAAGGTGTGAAGATGTCATTCAAAGAGTATAATCCAGTGAAATAAATTTGGAAAAAGAAAAAATGGGACATGAAGACTTCAGAAGATTAGAATTTTGGAGAACACAAAGACTGGATGCACATGCTCCATTGCAAACGATTTTCAGCCATGTCATTCAAGGTTTTAAATGAAACAACATGATCACACAGATTGGTCAGTTAATTTGTAACATAGCTTCGTCAACGTCATAGTGCTTATTACCAAGCAACAAAACCAGGAACAAAGTAATATATATATGGAAACTTGCGACAATAAGGTCTACTTAATTTTAATATAGTTACTAAGTGAAAAATCTATTAATTCACAGAAATAATGTTTTTCAACTAGTCTATTTTTTCAAAGCTGTACTAAGAAACCTTGTAAATACCTCTGACAAATTCTAACTCTTTACATAACTTGTATCTCCGTTAGTTTGTTTATATAGCGAATTGAAGTTAATTAGTGACAGTATTGTTTTATGTAGTAATAGAAAGGAAAATGTATGAAATTAAGAAATATTTATTAAACTTATTAAATGGAGTAAATGTGAATGTCGTTAACGGAAAGGTTGAAATAAGACACACAAGATAAATGGTAATATAGAATTTTAAGTAGAGACATTCATATTAATAATCATAATAACAAAATAGGAGACTAAAATATGGTAAAACTTGAACCATAGTAAAGAAAACGATCTAGCAAGTTGTTTTTGTTTACGTCAACGATAACTATCCTCACAAGACCAAGTTTATTAGTATGCATTTATTGAATTGATCAGTATCGGAAAGTTGACTTTCATCGAGAGTCACGTAAACCAACGACCATTATATTTCGAAAGAGCAATCGCTGCAGCAGAAATTAGTCTTTTTAGATAGCTTCTAAGTATATCATTAACAAAATCAACTTTAAAATAGAGGTTCATGTATAGAATGTTTTCAGACTGTGATGATTGTTCATACTTTAGATGTTCACCAAAGAATTTTATCGAATATCCAAAGCATTTCCGAACATCAATCTCATTCTCTAACCAGCCCAACGAACACATTTTAGCGTAATGTTAACAGAGAAAGTGTGTGGCGTTTCTGGAACCAAACAATAATGATTGAATAAATGAAGCTATATCACTGAGACATGTACCGAAAAAGACTGAAGATGAAGATAATGTTACTGAGAATCATGCATACTGTTATGCCGTACGAAGAATAGGTGAATAGTAACCGCTAGGATCTACCTGTCGACTATTGTTGCATATCTACTTATTGTATAACCACTGTATAACCAACTACATTATGTGCATATTCATATTCCTTTAATTATGAGCTATTTGACTTATTGACAATCATTATTTACTATTCTGAAGATATTCCAAATTTATTATTAACAGTCTCTCACAATCACGGCAACCTTTTGGCTTGATCTTGTATAATTTTTATTTTGTTTTATGGTATGATGCGGTCTGATTTGTTTGTATATAAACCGTGTGTATCTGAAATATATGATTCGTATCACGGAGGCTGATATTGGCGTTCTGGACTGAACGGGCTGGGTTAGGAGAGAAGCTACTATTTCAGAGGACCAATAAGAACTCTAGGGTGCTTGTACAGGTTTATGAGTCATTAGTCTGGTCGTATAAACCGGTGTCTGATTGGCGACCTCATCACGCAATAATTAACAGGCCATAAGAACATAATACATACTAAGTGCATTTTCTGCAATCATATGATACACTGAATTTTAAAATATATTAGAAACTAATAGTAAAAGGGTAAAACTAACCTTGGTCTTTCTTTATGTTCCATTATATCTTTGGCATGTTCTAACCATGAAATTAATTCACGAGCATTGACTAGAAAGTCATATAATCGACTAGCTTCTTTTAATAGATCACGTCTTATCTCAATAACTTTTAATAAACGTTTCCATATTGTTTGAACACGTTCATGATGTGCTTGTAACTGTTCCGCTTGTATACCAGCATAACGTGGTAGTAATCGTTTAGCTGTTAAATCCAATTGTTTCAATTGATCACCAAAACATAAAAGTTCCTGTTCTAATAAATTATGACTACGTTGTAAACCAGGTAGACCTTGTTTTCGTCCAGATGCTAAAGAATCAGATGGTGCTTCGGGTAGATTGTCAAGACGATAACAAATTCTTTCTTCAAAATCCTATAATATTCAAACAACAAAATGGAAACAATATTTTTTTAAATATATACAATTTTATCATCAATAGTCAGCTGCATTTAAAATAGAATTTAGTAAAAAGGATTTAAACAGGGAGCAGAACACAAATCGTTGAAGAATATTGCGTACTTCAGTAGAATAACGAATTTGTAGAAAAATAGAAAATAATTATATATTAGGGAAGAGGTAAAATACATCAATTATATTGAGTCGTAAAATATTTAAGAATTGAACTAACCATTATGAATAAAAATTATTTCTAGCATTAAATTACTTCTTATTGTTTTGGGTTAATGTGGACATATGATTGCTTTAGTTATTTGATTAGTAATATAACCGAGTGATTATAGCTGGCTTAGTAACATTAGTTAGTTTGTATTGTTTGTTTGAATCTTCCCATTGATGTTTAGGACTGCAACTGATCAGCCTCTTATTGACATATATGCATCCTGTGTTGATTACCTCGATAGTGCATTAAACCACAACATTATAAGCAAAGATGGATGGTGGCTAGCAGTGAAATCTAGAATGCGCGTTTCGTTCTATTTAATACAAATCAATTGGATGTACGTGCATCCCAGAGATGAAGTTTACTCCGGAAATGGGACCCAGTAACGTTCGCTCCAAACGCCATTGCGTTATCCAGTTAGCTATTGAGTTATGGTAGCCACTAGCTTGTGTCAACAAGAGATTACTCAATTTCAGTCCTAAACATCAATGGGGAGATTCAAATAAACAAACAAGATGAATTAAAACTTCATCTCATTGTTCAAGCTAGTTTTATCGGGAATCAGTAACTAAGTGAATAAAGCGATAGTTTCTGGAGCGGACGGTACTGTGTTCGAGTTACGGAGTGAACATAATTTCCGGGATGCAGTAACATCCAGCTGACGAGTCCCAAATAGGACGAGATGCGTGTCCTGGACCTCGCTGCTAGCCTCCACCCATTTTTGCTTATTAGTTAGTAGTATGAACTTCTGTTCGAAAAACCGAAATTTTTGATACTACACCCACACACGAAATTATTGTTAATTGTGGTAAAAGCATAATGAAAGATGGCTTTGATCTCGTTTCCACATAATTTGTAGAATCATTGAATACCAGATATCCTTGAATATCGTTTTACAGGTTTTTTTAGTAAAGCGAATCTATGACTCTATATGCAAATGAAACCGAACCTTTAAGTATTTAGACAAGTACACATAAAAAGTAGGAATAAAGTGATTACAGTTTCGAAGGTTTGTCGATTTCTATTATGGTTTGACCATCCTATTTCACCATTGAATCACTGCTACAATAGAAACTCTTTTGATTACATAAACCAAGAGTTTCTGCTGCAATCCTTAGAAACCTTTTTTGAAGTAAATTGCTAGTGATATGAAGATTAATCTTATTTTGGCTAGCCAGTTAAGGCAATCGGCTTTTAATAAGTAGGTCACAGGTTTAAACCTTGCTCCACTTACCTTAATGTGGTCGACTGCGTAGTATCATAGCGCTAGCATAAAATGCGTATGACTTCAAGTCCAGCATGTTGACCGAAATTTGTAAATGAGTTACACTATTATGAAAGTATATGTTTTGGAGCTCATGGTATTAGGTGATAACTAATCGATTCCAATCTGAAATAGGAACAATTTCGTGCTTAACTACAATAGATTTGGAAGTTTTGAGTTCGATCAATAATAACGTTGGGCTAATCCACTGCTTGAAGGTTATAATGCTTGGATGAACTAAGTTTCTATCATTTTATTATACCGATGGTCCTTAAGTTGCCCAAAAAGTAAGAAAATCTCATATCGTCTGAAAAAACCTTCCATGACCTCCTTCGACCTATGTAAGGGCATACTTGTGTAGTAAAAGGATCTACGGTTTTCCAAATGTGACCTTAGTTTTGCTGTAAGCGGCCAATCATAATCAAGCAAAACAGCCAACGCCCTTATAACGTTTATCTCATCATAAACAATTTTGAAAGAGTCTATGAATCTAATATCATAGAATAACAAATGAGTCATTCAAACGCCCATTTCTCTATATATTCTCAGCATAAGTTACAAGCAAGCTAGGGGCACACCCAATATATTCCACTGACAATTTATCGTCATATGTAATGTAAATTTTGAGAAATGTTACAACCAAGGTAATCATATTGTTTTCATCATGTGCATTCTAAAACAACAAAAAAGGAAAATCAGTTGACTTGACAACTGAATTTATACCATTGTTCGTAACGATAATATTTTAAAGGAAAAATGTGTACATACTACATATTTAGCTACTCCTAGCACGTTTTGTTGAAATAGATATGTGATTTCTAATAACACTATTTTCGGTAGAAATTGTAAATCTCATTTATGTTGTTAATTTCCGCCAGTGCGATAAAGATATGGAAAAGAGAACTTTATTGATCAATACATTTTTGCTTAACATTGATTTCGGTGGATGAACATAGAGTAATCGACAAACAGAAATTTTATGCTGTGAATAAGAAGCTACGGAATCTTATCTATACGAAAATAATTATTATACTTGTTCAAAGCATTTATCCTTGTTAAGTTAGATAGTCCGCAATTATGACGTTTCAAACTAGGACGAAGCAGGTGGGCAGTGCGCCTTAGTTTGTAATTGTTGTTGATGGTGTTGTCCCGTGACGAATACAAATTTTACAGTAAATTAATCTTCATAAATAATAGTTATCTTTTGGTAATCTACTTGCTGTGGGACGAATTCCTGAAATGACTGATATAGTTTAACTGTATTGAGAGTGTGACAGTTACCGGTCAGTGATATTATATGATTAACTGGCTGTATCGCGAATCAATTGAATTTAAAAAAATATGAAACTACAGATCAAACTCATTGGTTCATGAATAACATCTGTATTGTTTAAACCAAAAGTGTCAGGTTTAATTTTATGTGCAATAAATAAGTGTGCCCAGCTGAGGAGTACCACACAAGTATGAAACTGTGCTTCCTGATTTTTAGTGTTTTTCCAGTTGATATTAGTCTGTGATTTTGTCTATTGTCTAATGGACTTAATTCCAACCAAATAAAAATATAATCTGAACTAATAAGAAAGGTCTAGCCGTTTAAAATTTATTTAAGAACAAATTTACCAATTAAAACATTTCAAGCCAAATATCTGGTTGTAGTTAAATGTTGTACGTATTAATTGGAACATTTAAGGACTCTTAACAGTGAAATTTCAGGTTCAGTTCTTCAAATTTGGGAATACTGAATCTTTCATGCTACATGTTATATATATACATATACATACGTGTCATTAATTAAATGGATTTTTAATATTTTTGTATTATTTTAGATGTTTGAAGATGACTTCAATATATTATGCTTAATCTGTGAATATCATTGACATTAAATTGGAATCTGTTTATGTAAAAACAATTTGAATAAACTATAGATGTTTCTTTTTGAAAATCGGGTCACCATTCACAGTCTGAAACTCGTAGCTCTACTCTTTAAACAAGATAGGAATGAAGATAACCATTCACTGACAGCACTTGTTATTTTTGACTAAACATTATCTTGGTCCATGCTTCGTTATATATCTTGAATTCGAATTCACATCTGATCAACGTTTAATTCTTAGCAATGGAATAATACTTAAATAACTCTAAGTTTCACTAGTTTGACAAATGTTATTCTCATGTAATGAAGCTAGCTCATCAATTACCTGGATTTCGAAAGACACTACATAACTGAACAAAAGAATTTGTTATGATTTCTATGCTATTCTTTTGTTTATATATAAAATATTGAAGAAAAACTCATGATATCCAACTCCTAAACTTGATAATTTACCAATTTCGTCATAAAGTGGCCTACTGAATATAATGATAAATGCTTTATTCAGTTACAGGGATTAATATTATTTCTGTTGCTAACTCACTGTCATCAAACTACACTTCATAGTTCATAATTTCAAATTTATAATATTAAAATTCACTTCAGTTATATTATTTCTCTTGATAACGTATGTTTAGGTCGAATTACTATATGCTCATTATACTAAGAAATCTTTATGAAATGATCATCTTTTACTCTAGTTAAATTTAAAAAAAACTGTGCTTGGTAAGCTGTTACCTCTAAATTTAAACTAATGTTTAGTGAAACGGAGATTTTCCAACGACATTATATGGTTATTGAATTACGTCAGAAAAATGATAGTATTTGAAAGCATTCAACAGTGAAAATCAACTCAATGAACTAAAAGTATTATATTTTTGGGAAAATTAAAGGTCATAGGTACATGCCTGCATGGAGTTAATTGTGCTTACACTGCATTTAAGTCCTAAATGTGAATTAGACAGTTTTTTAATTGCACCTAGATTTTCGGTGGTTCTCCGAATGATATCGGTTCGTTATTTTATCTGTGTTTATCAGATATTCTTTCTTTTAGATTATAATAAACACGTCTTGTTTGGTATAAGATATCTATTATAGGATACAATTACTAGATACAATACAAACGGTAATAGTATGTAAATCAATGTAATAATATGCTTAAAAATAACATACTCTACAATCATTAACAAATCGATGCATATTCAATGCCGCTTTTAATAATTGTTTTCTTGTTTCGATTAATTCCAATAATTCAGCCCATATTTCATTGATATTATCTTTAATTGATGCAATTATCACGGAATCTGATTTGCCTAATGCAATTAAATGCACACATTTAGTTGATAAATCTGAGACAAGTTGTGAACCTGTTTGTACAGTTTCTTTATTGAATATCATGAATTTATCCCGTAAATTACAACAATGATCCAAATCAACTCCAAGGTCATTATTAGTAGCCAGTGCAACACGTTTATTAATCCATGCCTAAACATTGGGTAAATTGATAAACAGTTAAACAAATGAAAATTATTATCAGTTTCCTGTTGTGAACTTCAAAAAAATAGAAGTACATTCAGAAATTATTTAGAATAAGCAATACGAAAACGAAAATTCATAGACCTATATTAACTCAGTTTTACATAAAATATTCCTGGAATACCTCTTAAATCAAAAACGAAATGTGGAAAACTTGAACTTTCTTTTGATATGTCCTTCTAAATAAGATGTCTTACTTCAGCATGCAATAGCGTAAGCAGAATATATATATAACATTAGTGTGGTGCGTCTTTAGATGGCTTTTAAAAATGTATGTAGAGTGAAAATATGATAAGATTGACGTCTACGGAAACCAATGATTAAATAAGTGGTGAGAAAAATGGCTATTAAGAACAAAGGATATTCATACGTTACTAGTATCAGATCATAATTGCCTTTAAAACATTGCTTTTATAAGCCTGGACCATCCAGTGAGCGATACTAAGGTTAGGCATTATGTACTACGTGAAATCGGTTGAAGAGGTTATGAGTTTTCATCAACTGAGGTAATTGGAAAATAGTGAGCATGTCTAACCCCTGGCTACATCGACTAGCGTTATTGTTGATGTAATAGTAGGTCGGTAGAGGGCAAGTGTCATTCAAACCAAAACATGACATCAGTTCATGAAGTATTTAACAATTCGATTGAGCCATGTAGGTAATTCCAGACTACCTGGTTTGGGCAGGTTGGTTTTTCATAACCAGCTGTTGGAGACATTTTATGACATGCGCAGTCATAACGGCCTAGACACATTCACTGTTTGTCGTACGTTAGATTCAGAATTGCCAGTCTTTCATTACTTTGTTTTTTCGCTCCATACATACTACTTTCTATTGCTACTAATATTGTTACTATTCGTAATACTAAGGACTTAGTCCTGATAATTTCACGTAACTGTGCTTATGTAGTTTGATTATTGGAAACAGTGTACATATTTGCCAGGTTCTATATTCCACATGACTGACTGATTTGACTGAAGTTAAATATTATGAAGATGCATTTGTGAGAAAATGCTTTCTGTTACACTACAGCCAAAATTAATGATTCAGACTACATAATTGTTCGCTTATCATTGGAAAACTAAAGGTTTTGTTAAATGGCTGTACATTTTTTTTAAAAAATTAATATTTTTTCAGAGGATAAACACCTATTTTGTATGTGACTGCTTTTCGAATATTTAAAACAAACCTTACTTCGTGCTATTAGTGGTAATCGTTAGTTCAATAACTTTGTTGTATCAGATTCTAATTTGAAAATTACAACCAACTTTTTGACATACAAGATATCGTGGTTTGATGTTACGTATTAAGTAATGCTCTACAAAATAACAATTAAATACTGTTCTAATAATAAATTATGATGAATTCTGCGAGGTTTTATCTACGAAGAAATAATTCCTTAAAATATCATAAAAATATTACAATCTACAAATTATTACCAGAAACTAATAAAAACATAACAGTTAACTAACATCCACAGTATTATCACTAGTACTTCAACACAGACGTAAAATTTAAAATCTTAAATGCAACTATACAAACAAAAAGGTTCGCTGAATAACCAGATCAAAAGTGGATTTCACTAAATGATGAATTAGTTCAGTAAAACAAAATATATATAACATATTTTTCACTAACCTCCAATTCATCAGCTTCACGAATTAAACTATATTTAATAGCATTTGCCTCTAACATTGAAGCTACATTATTGACGATACCTTGAAGATTTTTGTATGAATGACTAATACGATACAAACATGATGGAATTAATTTTAAATAAAATTGTGATTCTTGTAAAATATTTGTATCAGGATATTTTGTTTGTTGAATTTTTAATTGTTGGCATAATATTTGACCTTGTTCATTATGATTTTGAACACGTTCATGCCATTGTTCAATTGTATGTGATCGAATTTGATGCTTTTTCAAGTTATTTAATGCATTTTGCTCATTCTAGTAAAATGGTTTAAGAAAATAGACAAACAAATAAAATTTAAGAAATGGTAATAATAGTAGTAACATTGATTATGTTCTAAATAGGTTTTAATTTAATGTTTTACAGAACAAGGAATTTATGTAAATTTTGAAAATTAGATTAAATTCAGTAAATTTTCAAGGGATCCAATGAAGAGAAACCACAGTAATTGAAAATTAAATATTCATGCAGATGAAGATATGTACATAATGTGTAACATAAAAGAAAGATCTATCATATACAGGAACAGAGAACAATAACCTTGATGCAATGGGTTCTAGAAAAGTATAGTTGAATAGCACAGTTCATGTGTATATCATTTATTTTAGGGATATTGAAAATTCAGTTCTTGTAAGTTGAAACAAGACATACTAATGAGGAATAATGTCATAATTTCTCTACAAAATATACTCGGCCATAACGTTATTTTTATATGGATTAATAAGAAAAACATTAAACTAATTTATCAGTAAGTAACAACTACTAAAAACAGGATAATTAATAGTTGTATAAATAACTGGAACGGAATAGAAATAATAAAATTAAAATAAAAACGATAAATTACGGAAGACAGAAAGTGAGGTTTAGACCATGAAAGAGTAAATGACTGAACATGCTGTTTTTGTACGTAAAGATTAGGCTTAAACCAGTGGATAGCAATAGCCTCTGCTTTACATCAGTTTTTCATTTGAATTCCTATTAGGCTGACTCTTCTCACTGTATGTATGGTTTTATAAGAGGTTTCTAGTGAAGCGAAATGACTAGATGCTCCAAGATTGAGCTTCTTACTGATTTCTATAATCCTTTGGAAAGCCAGGCAAGGTAACTTTCGGAGATGAGTTTCGAAAGAGCTCGTTTTGTGCGGCCAATATAACCTGCTTCATATGAGCAAGTAAACTGGTAGGTGCGCATGGATTTGACCCAAAACGGAAGCATATTCTTCACACGTCAAAATGGAGGCTGACTAGAAGAGGTTAATTGAAGTTCAGCCGAATAAAATGTTTTTCTCGGGAATCTTAGAAGTCTGGTTTTCAGAATTTCTGCTGCAATATCTTCTTTAAACTGAATTTTAATGGAGAGAGTCTTCTTTGGTGTTGTGGTCACTGCTTTACATCGTTGTTTTGGCTCCATATTTTTCTCAGTGAATCTAGGTGGATATCAGTTGTTGATCAGTATCTGTCGTATTTCATCAAGCTTGATATCGATCGTATCCTCGCTACAGATATACCTGACCCTTAAACAGGTTCCTATTTTTCCTTTAGTGGGAACTAACTTTGAAATCTGTCTACTGACCATTCCATGTTGGCTTCCTATATATCGATTGTTTTAAAGGACCATCAAGTCTTGTGGAAGTGGAATTCAGAATCCGACTCTGATTCCATTTTGAAGTTAATAGCTTGATGGCAATTACTGAACGCGTCCAGGATAACGTTGACATTGATATTTTTGTCACAAATGATGAGATTATCGTCTACGTATCTCTTTTACAGATAGAAGCTGTCAATTATTGATCTGAGGACAGTGTTTTAGAGAATGGCAATAAAAACAGGGCTGAAAAATGCCTTCTTTCTAGGATTTATTAAATACTGTTATGTGTGCACATTCATGGAACGGAGAAAACTTCAAAACATAATATTTAAAGAACACTCTTGTTGGATATGAATTGATTTTATCATCATTTGTACTTCAATAAACAACGTTGTTTTCATTTGTAATATATTTTCAAATTATAAAATGCAACCAGAAAGGAAAAGGAAAAACGACCTTGAGAAGAAAAAACACTGTTGAATTCATTGTTGATTATAAGTTGATTTAGTTAAACAATAAATTATGTGAAGTACTAAAAATTCAAATGAAATCATAATTAAAAAAAGAACTGAATAATTATTTCAATATCCATCAATGATAAAACATAAAAAAGTCTAAATGGATTGAAACTATTGATGCACATTGGTCATTTAATGTTTTATTAAATTTGTTTGTGTTAAATAGATGAAATTTCTATTCATTTGTTGATACAGAACAACCATCTGAAACATCATCTTATCATGCTAACAGACCTGTATTTGTTTATGAATAAATAATTATATATTTATTGTGTAACCAGAGATGTCTAAGTAATATTGACAGCATCTGCTGGGATCACCGAGTAAGTATAAGTGAGGTTAGACGTGTTGGATATTAAGGAAGGACGGTAAATCAGTCGATGAGGTTGTTAATCTTCATCGACTGAGATAGTTGGGTCACGTGTCACGTATACCTGAACACCGAATACCACAACGTGCAATGCTAACCGGTGTTCGGGATGTTTGGAAGAAAGTTAGAAGCGGCCAAACCAAAACGTGGTATCAGTGCTTGAAATCACTAACTTCTAGTCTAAGCCATGTTGGTAGATGCAGACTACTTGGTTGGGGTCCGCGTGACTGTCGTAACCAATGGTTGGAGACTCTGGGTGACATGGCTCAGAATCGATCACAATGGCATAGGTGTATACACTCACTGTGTTACTTTAAACTAAAAGATTAAAATCGCTTCTTATCTTACTTTCTACGAACTAATTCTTTCTTCATGTACTATGTTCTTGTATGCAATCTTTCTTTCATGTCTTACCACCACTTAATTAACCATTTCTATGAACCCGGTGTTCATCATGTTGTGCCAATGAGGTATTGCAACTTGGATCAATGTACATATGTGCTTGGTCCTACGTTCTAACTGACTGATTGACTGACTCAGATATTCTTCTATTTTTGCCTAAATTAATGAATATGACGTTATATGAATTTATGGTCATGTCAGCGTTGTAAAACCTTGGGTTGATTAAGTCTTTTATTCTTAAAGGTTTGATAATCAAAAAGTTTGAAACTGAAAATAAAATTAATAAACAAAAGTTATTTTACAATTTCATGTTATGTTTTGTTCTTAGTTTTTAATAAACTGATGAAACTCTTCAGAGGAATGTGTAGTTTTCTAATAGTATATAACTCTTAGTAAAATGTTTATTGGATAGGATTTAGCATTTCTTTGATTTAAATATTTCATAAAGAGATTATTCACATCATGGGAGATTTATCAATAAATAGACTGAATCTGAAGTTAGTATTACATTACCCTTTCTAGTTATTTCTAATTGAGGTACATTACGAGTCAGTTAGAAAAAATAGTTTTATTTTGAAATTTTAATAAAAGAATTAATTAAATTCTTCATATCTTCAAATATTTTTCCTTTTGATGGTCTAAGCTTACAAAAATGACCACATTCGACAAGAATACCGCTAGGTTAGTCATGCCTTGAACAGTATAATAATTACATCGCTGACTGTAATAACGTATGGTATAGTTTTAAATATTACGAATAGTATCGACCAAGCTTCTTATTGCTTTGTGTTAATGAGTCGAAACGATATATCAAGGTAAATGGTTGCTTCTACTGCGTTTTATGGTTATTCACCTCGGCTTTCTAACAACAAAGAAAGATAGAAATCATACCTTGACTAAATTATTGATTATGTCACATAGTGTCATTAGTAACGATATTAATGTGTGTTTCAGAAACTAATATTTAAAAAGAGAGAAAAACAAATTAACCTTTGGTACTTCTATTCCATGTAAATAAAAATCTTCTTCAGATATCCATGATTCCAATTCACTAGCATCTAATAAAAATTGATAAACTGATTCAGACATTGTTATTCGCCCAAGTAGACAAGTTAAATTTCTATCTAAATTATTCCATAATTCTAAAAGTTCTCTGGTAAGACGTTGAAATTTTTGTTGTTGTATTTTATCAGTGATTTTCGCTTCTTCTACACAATATTCATTTTCAATGTTCTAATAAATAAACAGAAAATAAAAGAAAACATAATTGATTTGTTTTGGTATAATTCAGAAGAAAACGGGCAAACATTTTGTTTTCATATATAACATTTCTTAACTGGGATTTGTAATTCAAGAAACAACGTTGTTTTTCATTTGTAATATATTTTCAAATAAATTCAACCTCATAATCATAAACGAAAATGTGAATATTTTTTCTCACCATCATGATATTTCATTTCTTTTTTCCTCTTTCCAATCACTCTTCTTGTGAATCCTTCATAATGATTATTCGATCATGAAGGAACATTTAATTAAATTGCAGTTATACGACTACTACGCATTATCTTTGAGTCTGAATAAAGCAATAGTAAGAATTCACATAGAGTAGTATGAATTCACTTTATTTCGTGGATTTTTGTCAGCTGACTGAAATGTAAGTCCAATTCACACAATGTATTATATTGAGACTTTTGTTAACCCATTTGTAATGTTATATTATTTGGGGAATATGTATGCATTTAATGTATAGTTTTGAGTTGCACAACTCTTCAAGCTTACCCAACTCCTTTAAAACTGTTAATTCAAACTATAATGTTAACCATTTGTTCTTGATAATAACTGCCTTGTTGTGATATTTTCTGAAGTACTTTTCAAATGATTATATATATTTTGATTGAGATCATGAACCGATTGATGTTAGACCACCATTGAAAACCTGGAAGCACTGGGCGGCCGTTTCGTCCTATTGCAAGACTGAAAGCCCTGGGTTCAAATCCCACGAGTAGGATCGTGGATGCGCACTGCTGAGAAGTCCCGAAATAGGACGAAACGGCCGTCTAGTGCTTCCAGGTTTTCAACGGTGGTCTAGCATCAATCGGTTCATGATTACAATCAAAACTTAACAATCTCCACAAACTCTATATTGATAATTACCATGTGTTCACTAGTGACTAGCTTCGTGAGAAAATTCTCACAGTTCTGGTGAGAAGCCGTGACCAATGGAGCTAATCTGTGTCGGGTAAAAACATAATGTCTACCTCAGTAGAATGGAAGATGGCTGCGTAACTTCGTGGATTAGACCACTGAGCCAGTATCCAACGGTGTTAATGTCTAACTTCGTGGATTGGTTGACAGGATCATGGATGCGCAATGTCGAGGAGTCCAATACTAGGACGAATCCGCCGTCCAGTGCTTTCAGGTTCGCCATGGTGGTCTGGCTTCAATTGACTCACGATTTCAACTATTGAGACTGTACATGTTTATTGTGATTAGTTTTCATGAAATAGCTCAGCTACCTTTTTGTGTACAAACAAATGAAACTACTATGAAAATAGGAAAATGAAAATTTCTTTTACGAACAAGCTGATTTCCTGTAACTCAACAGTTAATTCCTGACAGAAGTACATCCATAAAATTTTACTAAATGTTATTTTTAAAAAGTTCAATGGTTTATGTGTAGTGTTTAAAGTGAAAGTGTGAATAGAAAGGAGTCCGATATATTTTCAAATGTATATTGCTGTCATGAATTGATGAATTGTTACAAGGCTGATGCATAACTTTTGATGAGTACAAATGTCATCTGAAACAACTACTATAGATCACAATAAAGTAGTGTTAAACACTTATCTATATTTTTTTATTTTATTTTTGTTGTCATTAACAGTATTTTCACTCCCAGTATTTGTTTGTAATTTTTAGGCTCTTTCCGTTTGTATTCTTCACTCTCTAATTATTTACTCACTTCTTATTACGTAATGGTTTTAATGTTTTGTGATAACTATTCTAAGTCTATTTACCCAAGTTTGACCTTCTATTTCTAATGTTTAACTATTGATATGACTTTTGTTATCGTATTTTATTATTCTTACTATTATCAGTACACCTGTCTTCCTACTATCAACTTGTACTTTTACCCATTATCTATGGTGACTTATTCTATTTCATTGTGATTATTGACCCAAATTGCCTTAATTGGTTTAACATTTTCGCATAAATATTCATGTATATTAGAGTAAAGCCTGATGACGATCTAATTGAAAACAATTGTTCACATAAATGTGTTGTTCTAATTTTCACAATGGGGATCTTTAATATTATCTATATTTGATCACTCAAAATCCATGTTTGATAAACCGATGACCATTTATTGTTAAAATTGATGAAAATAAAAAAGAATCATTGAAACAAAGTAATGAGAAAATTTTCTACTGATCATATATATTATTCGTTTATGAAATGTAATTAATGTGCATCACAGTTTATCAGAGGGGGTTTTGTGGAGATTTTAGAAACATTACAGTTTAGTTAGTTTGTAATAAAGTATTATCAGTTCAAATACGTAATATATTAAAGCCATTTTAAATGGTTGAATAATTTTTAGGTAATAAGCATTTCCTACCGAAGTTATTTCATTACCAGTAATACCCAATCATAGTGGACAAAAATTTCCTTTACAAAAACGTTTCAGTCATTTGAAATTATGAATTACGTGAGTATTATAATGACTGTGATCGTTGATAAAAATATAATGTAGATGATCAATGTCAGTATTTATGGAAAGTCCTATTACTAAATTACCAAATAATCTTTCTAAAAACAATAACCATAGAAAAGATGTTGAAATTTAATTAAACACCTAATTGTGTGTGTTTATCAACTTTTGATTAATATACGGTTTCTTGATGTTAATTTCATTGATCTAGAATCATAATGCATGTGAAACAGAGATAACTACATGTAGAGGAACTCTCGAGAAATAACAGATTTGGTTATTTGTATCAGACTAATCAAGAATACATCTCATACATTAGAAAAGGACAGATTTATGATTATCATACGTTTTCCTGTTTTTATGTTATAAAGTATCACGTATTTATTAGTACATATATAACTAAGTAAATGAAACTTATTTGTATGACACTTGTAAATGTATCAGTAGACAAGTGATGTTCATATCAATTTTCATGTTGTTTAAATGGTTATACAGTAAAACTTGAACCTAATTAGTTTAATATAATCAAGTGGTATAGTAATAACATTCATTGTAAGTATAACCGTTCATTTTTTCCAGAACAAAATATTACCTTCTTTATTAAGTAAGATAATAGACATAAAAATAATTAAACTTACTTTACATAAAGCTTTAACTCTAGGTCTACGATTATTGGCTTCAAGAATATGACTTTTAAGTTGTCTTTCCAATCTATGTATAACCATTAATCTTTGACCAATTTGATAAGCTTTTTGTGGATCAAGTTCTAGCGTTTTAGATAAATTTTCAACTTGTTGTGATTTTTCTCTGATCCATGCACCTTCAACAGTTAACTCTACAAAATGTTGAGTCGATGTTTCCAAATGTTGTAAATTCGTTAATTTTTGATTGAGTGGTTCGTCTAGCGCTAAAAGTTTACGCTCAAGATCATTGACAATTGGTGCAAATTCTTTATTTTGACTAAAATTAGGATCATTGACTTGACTCTAAAACAATTTAACAAATGGAACAAAAAATATATAGATCATTTAAGAATAATTTAATTATAACGATAGTTAAAACATAATAAGTTTTTGCTTTGAATGATATGAAATTCAAGTTACTAAGATTAAAACACATTAGAATTGTGAGTATACTCATAGCTTTGTGTGAAATTAATATATGATCAACTCAGGTATATATATATATATATTTCCTGAGACAGTACATCGTAATTTCATTTATACTACTGCATTATCATCATCGTGCATTATTTTTGTGATCAATAACATTAGCATATCACTCAAAATTTGTAACAAAACACAAAATATCCTCAGATTCACATTTTATAATGGTACAACAAAAACAATGATTATTGGTTATGCTTAACATTTATTATTGTAAGAGGTAATGTATAGCGATCAAAAATAAAAGTGAATTTAATTGAAAAACCTATAGAATGTAACATAAAAGTGTTTAAAGGCTCTAACTTCAGAGTTCATTATTCAGATAAGGCAGTTAAAATGTCTTCTTAGTATGTTTCATCGTTCTGGAGTTTCTTATTAAACAATATGATCCGTTTGTGTGTCACATATAAGTCTTAAAATTATTCTGATCTGATTATAAGATTTCATAACTGACTTTTTGTAAAAAATTTAATCTTCACATTAGCCGTTTGTTTGTTAAATATTAATCAAGTTCTTTGTGTTCGACATAGAATTATCGAAATAGAACATTCTTCAACAATAAATTAGGCACCTTGAAATTTTATGGGTAATAAGTAGACGTGGTATTTGATTTTGCAGATGTATAACAGATTTGTGTTACTTAAGTAAAAAAATGTGTTTTTTGAAAATTCTTAGCGGCAACGACCCAGACCCTCATACCGTTTATGACCCAAGATCAATCTGCCTCACGGGAAACATGATCTTTTTAGATCGTTAAGTCCGAATCTACTGTTCTATATTCATTATTCTCGTTTTTGTGATATAAGGTAACGATTATCTAATCCAATCACTGACAACTACTTCACTTGAGATTAAATCAAAATTCCTGTAGATCTTCAAGAATTTATCTACTGTCAATTCGATATTAATGACCATATGGTCACTATTTAATTGAATATCTAGCGCAGCTTAATTCAAATGGAATATAAACATTGAGACCTAAAATGAAAAAAGATTGGTTCACTATTATCGTCATGATTATCATTTTCTTAAAAATAAGTATATATTTGAATTGTATAGTTTTGAAAATGAATTCTCCGAAAAACGAACTTTCCGCTGAGCCACTCATTCTTATTTTATTGCTTAATTTAATCTGAACACGATTTTCATGACAAACTGACATTAAGTGGATAATAGTTAAAAAACTATAGAGTACAGAATAAATATTTCATTCTAGTTTTAAAAACCCTATTAATAAATGTTTATAAGTGAAAATTTACAAACATTTAAAGTGACGTATTTTTTTATGTAACCTACATGTTTTGTTTTGATGACAGCATAATACATTACTAATGCACACAGATAATAATGCATCTATACGCTAATACTCATGAATATATAACAAAGAGTTCATTCAAGTTAATTAGTAAAATATAATTCAAAGTATAAAACATTCATTTAATATGGTTAATTGATAAACAAACTTTTAAAATCAACTATTAAACATCCATTCACATATGAATAAGTAAACAATGATTTATGGTTTATGTTGTTGAGAATGGAAAAAAGTACACATCAATTGAAATAAGAATTATTCAACTTTTACAAACTCTTTTTTTGCTACTTTATTCACCTTTAAAACATTGATAACAGCTTTTCTATCCATATAATCTTTAATTCGTTTATTATGTTCTTTTATTTGTGTTTGTAATGTAATCATATCGATTTGATCAACTGGTAATTTACTATCTGGTTTCTCTAATTGAACATTCATTACATTAAGCCATGTAGCAGTTTTATGAATTGCCTCTTTCATTAACTTTTCTACATTGTCATATAAACAATGAAGACAAAATAATGACACAATTAATTAATTATTAATTCGAATGAAAAATGAATAAAAATTAATCATTTCGTGATTTAAAAAATAACATTTTCAGGTCAATTACATTGATTAGTTTGTTTCTCAGAGATACAACACACAATGAACAAAATATTTTCTTAATATAGCAAGGTTTCATAAATGAGAGTAAATTGTTTTTATAAGCAATAGATCTAATTAGTTGTCGAATAGTTAAGAATGACTTCTATTTCAAATATGCGTTGGTGATATTATTAAGAACAACAGTGAATTACGTGAGTAAACAATTCTCTAAAGAGAATCCAATACAAACAAATAGACATGACTTCATGTAACATGACTGAATGCTGTTAACGCAAAGCAATGGACCAAAGTTGATCGAAAAAATACTTAGCAAACACTAATTACTGACAATATCTCTGCTCGTGATAACAGATTATACAGGTTCGAATCCTAAGAAGACCATCAAGTGTCCTTGAATAATACGTATAAGTGATAGATTTCGACTAGCGCGGAACCTATGTCTGAAACTATACGCTTACGACTTCTTATAAACGACCCATTAAACAAAATGTACTGCGATGTCAAGTCACCCAAACTAACGAACATACTGTGAATCGCTGGATGTAATTTGACCAGCATTAATGTTAAGACAACATAACATAATTTACTACTTGGTGATAATTTAGTTTAAAAACATATTGAAATTATTACCAAACCCTAATTTTCAGTGTTTTGGGTCGTTTGTAAATACTCCCCCTCTTATACCTCTTGTGAGAAACAAACAGCGATTTCAATAACATCCATAAGCCAAACATATGAAGCAATGAAAAATATGCTATATGAACAAAACTAATCGGAATAAGTTTGCAGATGATGATAAGCGCTACTTGATCAATGTTCAAGTCATGTTTTTTACGCATTCCAAATATCAGCAAGCTAACTACATAGTAGACGAGAATTTATCGCAATTTTGTAAATTTGAGTTGCAAATTTTTTACTGTGATCAAACATATGATGATACATTAAGTGTTTGTTATTGTTACATTACTAATGTTAATCATGTTTCTATTGCTTTTACATTATATTTTTTCAATTCTGTGTTAATCTAGGCATTTCATTCAACTTGCAACTTGATTCAATTAATCAATATTTATCAGTTATTTTAAGGTAGAAAGTCTCAAGAAACCGTATTATACATGCAATTTCAAATATATAACCTCCAGAACTGAAAATATTGACACTACATCATTTATTAAATCTTGAATGCAGAGAGATTTAAAACAGTTCCCAAGGATTTTCAAGTCACTACCAGTCAGTACATGAAAATCTATTTTTGTCTTCATAATCAAGAAAAAACTATTTATCGCATTTACCTCGATTATCTTGACTAACTACATTTACAATATGTTGAACTAGGTCAACTAGTTCTTCCCAACGTGTATGCAAACGTTCCAAACGATTTTTTACATCATTTTCAAGATGTGGATAGACTTCTGTAAGTTTACGACCGACCTAAAATCAAGAGGAATTTCAAGTTCAATTTCGTTACTTGCAAAAGGTTATACGTTTTCATATACAAAAAAATTATGCGATGGCAACACGTTTGCTTATGCTCAACAGTTTTTAGTAGATGTCTTTAACACATCAAGAATACGTGGTGCACCAGTTTGACATTTGATTTATCGTTCATAGTCTTTAGCTTTGAACATTGACACACTTCAACCTTTATTATACGGATGTTTCGCTTCTATTGATTCACCTATTCACACAACATTTTCTGTCTCTAGTCGTGAGTCTAGAATTGAAGTTGGGAACGAAGCTTCTATTACTAGGATACTTTAATCACCTAGACCAACAGCTGTCTTATTCACCAGCTTACATACATGACAAACTAGACTGCATCGCACCCGAAAATATAAATCATGGTCATTACACGAACAGGCCAAGAATGACTATGAACAGAAAAAACTGTAAATAAATGTTAAGAATAACAAGGTATGCAGTGATGGTTAGTGTATCAAACGAAAGCCTACAAGGACTAGTATATGTAAACATAGTATCCCAGTTGTTTAGCGATTATAAAGTAAGACCAAAAATAATAATTGTCTTAAAAATTGTTCCGAAACTTTCAATTGCTCTAATACTTGTTCCGTTGTAACAGGTTTGAATTCATATTTATGACAAAACAAATTTCTGGTATAGATACGATTATCGACTACAGATATTATTCATGTATAGAATCGATGACGTTACTGAATAAATATTTTTCTAGACTCCGTTGCTTTCTTGATTTATGTATTTCACATTGATCATGAATAAAACATATGGTCAATTTCATCTTTCCAGTTACTTGAAGTATACAAATTATTAGCTGTAACACACGAAACCCGTCACTATCAAGATTTAACTTGACAATTTCAGATAAATTAAGCATTATTTGTAATAATAAAGGAGACTAGGTTCAGCACTTCATGCCAAATTTTACTACGATTGATAGACAGGGAGGCGCGGCTAGAATCTTTCCAAACTTTTATATTTAACCAATTCAACATCATAGCGAAAAAAACATGAAAGTCGTCCATTAACATTACGAACATTACATTTATCACACTCAATCGTATACACACTAATACACAAAAGAATATCTCATATAGAATTACATTTGACGTGATTGATACTTTATGTATTTCATTGGATTTGTTCCATGTCGTATATTAACTTACATTAACCTAATATGCATGTTTATATGGTTGTATTGTGATGATTTCAACGAAATATTTGTTGAATAACAAATTTATAATAGAAAAAATGAACATCAAGGGCATAGTACTCACAGTTAGACTTGATTACTAATTTACCAGGATTATTTTCTGTAATATTCAACGTAATTATTACTATTACAACTGACTCGATTAATCTAACTCTTGAAACAACAACATATTCCCTTGTCACATGACATAGGCTTTAAACACCAACTTGAATACTAAAAATAGACAAGCTAGTAATATTCTTATAAGTCAATACAATTGCTGGATGAAAATTCAATCAACGCACACAATTTAGCCAGTTAATAATTTGACCGAGTTATGAACCATAACGATTGTATAAGCACAGTTAAGGAAATTCAAGCATGTGATTGATTTACACAGTGGAATCCGATAAATTCTGTCATTCATATTACTTATGTTGTATATCATTAATTGTTAATTTATACTACCAATTTTATCGAAGGATATAAAACCAGTTATAGCAATTTACTTGCCAGTTTTTAAGTTCAATGAACTTATTTAATTTTTCAAAAAGACGGTTATCAAAAATCTTAATGTATATAAAATGACGATTTATTTACAAGTATTACTATGTAATAAGTATTTAACGTCCTAATAATGAGGCATTCTTTTACGATGTGAACCTATTTCGAAGTAAGTTCAATTCTGTTTAAAAAAGAAAGTTTTTATGAAAAACAAACTTGGTAATCAATATAACCTATTAGATGAATAGATTCGAGTGGGAAATATACTAATGTTTTAATCACGCAAAGTATATATTCGTAAATCCGCAGATGTTCATTACTTGCTTCTTACAAATTAACTATTCTAATTACAGTCATCATTTAGGTCTATCATCTGTCAAACAAACTTTCATTGTTTCAATGTAAGACGAAAGTTTTTAGTAGTTTTAAGGAAACAAAAACGTTGTAGTAAATGAGATGAAATGAGGTTAGCCTTGGATCTACATTTGACCCAGGGTAGTAAGATTTATCACAGTTTCAATTGATGGTCCATCAGTAATTCGAAACAGCATTTTTAAAGGATATGGCTCGTAGCGCTAATATTGAGCAATTGGAAAACAGATTATTTCCAACATAGACCGATGAATAGCAATGAATATAATGTTGTCAAATACACTTCATTACAACTATATATACCCATTATTGATGACTTCTTAAAATCACTGAGTATGCATCAAGTGATTTATGAGCATTATCTTCAATAACCCAATGGTAAACTACTTAACCAGAAAAGTGAATCATAAAGTTTGGCAATAATATTAAAAGTGTAATTGAGGGTTTATCATCACCACAAAGTACTAAGCACGGTAATAACCTTTATCATTCGATGAACAATTCAGTTAAATTATAATGAATGAAAATTCGATTTTAACTAACCTCAATAAATGATCACCGCGATTTCGATTCACTTCAATTTCTTCTTCAAATGCTTTAATCCGACTAAAGGATAAATGTGATCGTTGTCTGATCGCTAATTGAATCTCCATTAAACAGTTAGTTTTATCTAAAATCCAATCTTCAAACTATAAAAGACGAAAAAAAGCGTTATAAATGAATATTCTTAGTGAGTAAAATGATCCAAAAAAGATAAAAACCGATATTAAATAGCAACTTATTCTACTTATATATTTTTTCAATCAATCAAACGCCATGTCAACTCATTATTTAAATGACATTAGAAAAGCGCGATGTTTCAGCTTGTGAAACGAACAAATGAACGTATATCTCAATCAAGAAAACTACACTAAGCTCATATGAAATGAGGAAAGAATTGACGACATGGTATACAGAAGGAGAGAGATTGTCAACAAATAAGTTGCTGAAAGGAAACATAGGCATATTTCGAATACATGCTTAGCTTTGTCATGAATAATTTATTAGGCAGATAGATGGGTAGATAGATAATATGTCAAGGTATGACAACAGCATAATTAAATACAACTTATACCTGTAACGGTATAACAGAAGAACGGAAACAAGCACTATTTCAGTTGGGAATATCACCAATATATCTGTGGCTTGAAGGAATAAATAAAAGAATATATATTTACTATTTACCATTCTATTTAGTTACACTTCTTTAACTTTACATTATTCAAATAGTATTTAATAGTGAGATGTTTATTTCGTTCAAATTCAAACTCTTCATCTGGACGGACCTCATTTTAATGATAATGATGATGAACATGACAGTTGTTTTGTGACTTATAATCAATAGTTTAATATCCCAGGTTATTATGAATGAAGGGATTAAATGTTGGCTAAGAATGAACAAGTCCAGTTGTGAATATTATTAATAGAAAATAATATACTTGATTAGCAAAGATGGATAGTGGTTAGCAGTGAAATCCAGGACGCGCGTTTCGTCCTATTAGGGGCTCGTAAGCTGGATGTACCTCCATCTCAGAGTTGATGATCACCCTTGGACTCGAACCCAGCTGACAAGCCCCAGATAGGACGAAATGCGTGTCCTGGATTCCACTTCTAGCCGCCATCAATCATTACTTATAATGCTAGCGAATTAAACAATATCGAGGCAATACGCACAGTATGCAAATATGCCAATAAGAGACTGATCAATTGCAGTCCTAAACATCAATGGGAAGATTCAAGTAAACAATACCAAGTGAAATAAACTTTATTGTTTTGTATTTTGTTTAGTTAGTAATTGTCATTTGTTATTTTGAAATAATTACTTTCCTCTGTGAATCCATATTATTTTAATTATCCATAATAACAATAATAATAGTATAATAATAATAATAATAATAATAGTACTAATATTAACAATTTAAGAACAAAACAATTAACAGTCATCTAAATGTAATGAATTAAAATTTCTTTTAGAAAGTATGCAATAATAAGCTTTTTTTTATGAAATACCAGGGAAAAGGAGTGGCTTCTCAATTAACAAATAATAATAATGTTAAACTAAAGTTGTTTATACTAAAAATATGAATTTTGTAAGTACTCTAGAACTACTTAGATGAAACATGAAAAAATTATCGTCGGTAACTAATTATAGTTGACTATAAAAGTGAAATAGATTTTTTTGTTTTATATATTCACCTCAGTAAACGCGGTTAATCTGTTATGATCATTGTAAATGTTTGCGATTTCCATGAACTGTATTATAGGTAATTATTTTGAATTTTATAAGACTACAATAAGTTAAACCGTTTTCATAAAGTAACGTCAGACAGTTATTTTTGAATGTAATTAATCTATTTGTCTAATTTATACAAGCGTTCAAATTTATGCTTCTATATCTGAAGTGTAATTGTTAAGCTGATAGATCCGACAACAAGATTCAAAACATTCACGTTTCGAAACTTTTATTTTGAAAATCAGTAAATTAGGGGAAAATCTCATGAAGTTAATTTAACTACTCAAATTTATCAAAACATTTTTAATCTAAAATCAACAGTACTAAAAAGCTATTTTTTTCTATGAGACAACTGACCAAATTACAAATGACATAATCGTTAGTAAACAATAATTAAAGATATGTATTTTATTAGTTTCGATGCTCCAGATGATCATTTTATTTTTCAATATCATTGAGAAATTGAATAGTTTTACATATAATCATGTTGAATTATTCGATTAGTTAACTTTATAGTGTATATTATTCTGTCAGTATAAAATCTGTAAATTAGAACTTTATACTGTTTTCATTCTCGAAGTTATTGTTGTTATATTTGAAAACATTACAAACATAAGTGTAAAAAACCACAATGATCTTTTGAAATGTTGATTGAATAAGCAATGTGGTGTGTGCTACTGATGTCGACAGATATAAGTAGTATGCAATATCAATCGAAAGTGAAATACCTGGCAGCAGAAGATTAAAAAGATCAAAGAAACGAGAACGAGGACAGAGAATGATTGCTATGGAAATGAAGAAACAGTGAAGTCTCAGACGACTGATTGACATTTTGCAAATTAAGTATTTACTGTATGGTTCTCAGATTTTACTAAAATGTTCTGTAATTTTGTGTTCAAATATATTTGGTTGTCCTCGCTTGTGTTCTTGTTCACTATAGCGGTTTCCTACAACTTTCGTTAATGCAGTTACTTTGATCCTAATAAATGTACTTATTTCAAAAGCATAGCATTCTACTATCAAACCGAATGAGGTTCTAATAAAACTGTTTAGAAATGTCATTTTTGGTGATAATTAAGTCGTAGGTGTAGATTGTTTATAGAAATGACAAAATCTTCTTAGCTGAAAGCATAGCAAGGAGTATATTAATCAAATTTTTATTAAAATTATTTTCAGCAACATGAGACTCACAAAACAGTTGGAACCATTTCTGCACTACCTTATCGTGAATAATGAGACTTAAGTTGGAAACGTTCCTAGATAAGTCAACACAAAGGTATCATAGCCTTAATTAAATCTACAACACAACGACCCCAGAATTTCTAAGAAAATAGTATGTGGCTCATTCAGAAAAATAAGATGATAAAGTAATATCCAGAGTTTTAAAAAGTCAATTATTTAACTGTTTTTTTATCAGAACAGTCTAAAGTATTTCTTGTTATACAGAACCAACCATTAAATAAAGTCGTATTATACATTACAAATCATAAATATAACAAACAAGTATGCTTTAATAACTTCATACCATACAACACCGACTAACTTCTTATTTTATCTACATAAGAATTAGTCAGTAATCATTTGTCAGAGATTAGTGTATTATTTATATGTTAATTAATGAAATGGAAGATGTATTTGATCAAGTAGGTTTAAAAATACTATTGCAGAAAATGTGGGAATGCTAATAAACATTCAGATGACTAGTGATAAGATTAATCATTGAGGACAACATTAAGCTGACTTATCAACCAATTGCAGGTTTAGATACTGATATAAATCAGTTAGTATGAATGCCATCTCACACTATGATAGTGAAACAATCAAGAAAAAAATATTGCATTACAGGATGCAACGACATAGATTTAAAAGTTGTAATGTTACTATGACAATATTTTTTTATTAGAAGTAATTCTTATTATCACCTAGGATAATAAAGAATACCCTAAAAAGGCAGCTTTAGATTAGACAACTTAGAGTTTATTCCTAGAGTCTTGGAAATTTTCTTACTACTTTACTCTTTTTCATACAAATACATAAACGACAAGTTGTAAAACAAAACTATGATCATGACAATTATTTTATGAGGCAGAAAACTCATATTCTAAACTGAATTTCATCTAACAGTTAGTGATATCATTCATTATTACCAATTTGTTTGTAAATAATGAAACAGTTATTGATAAAATACAACAATGATGTTAACACTGTGATATGACGAGATTAAAAGGTAAAATCAAATTTTGACTTGTGATTTTTGGCCAACATTACTTTCAGTTGTTAATTCGATATGAGGCTTATTCAGTGTAATATTTGTTTTGTTTGTCAGTGTGATCATTTATTCACTACAGCATTAATTTATTTGAATGTGATGTGTTTGTTCAAGATGCAATATTCCTTATAATAAATTAAAATGAACTATGTCCAGCATGATATGTAGCATACGATTTGTTGGGCATTTTTCAGTACGTCTTCGTTTGTTTGTTTTTTCAAGTACAAGTAATAAACAGAGCGAAAATAGCATGTCATGTTTACCCATGAACAACTATAACATGTAAAATTGACTAACTGAACAGATTATGGAATTATCGACGAATTCTATCTGATCATTAACTCTTGTTTAGATTCCAGTGTACCTCTTAAAACGTACAGGTTTAGTAAACCTTACGAATTATATATACCAGCTAAATATCGTAATAAACTAAAACGCCTACAGAATCGTTATTTTAAGTCAAACGACTTCACAGCAGTTGCACAAATAACAATAATTTTTAATCAAATTAAAGAGGAACATAGGTTAAAAGCCATTAATGAGGAGCTGTTAGCCCTTAATACTAACTCGAAAGTACAAAACTTAACTCTCCTTTTCAATAAACGCACTAAAGCAACTCGAAATGTTGATATACCGTGCATCCAGCATAATAGCACTTTTATATACGACTCTAAAACCATGGCCGACCTTTTCAGTAGTATATTCGCGAATGGTGTAGAAAACATAAGTGGCTATGCTTCAAGAGTTATGTGCGTGACTAGCAACTCAATAAAATCTATCTCCTTCACATGCATGAAAATTAATAAGGCTATAAATACCCTTAAGCTTTCGAAAGGTCATGGAGTAGACGGGATTTCATCATTTCTCTACAAATATGGTGGTCCAGATATTCCACTTCTTCTTCTAAAGCTGTTTACTCTCTCTATGGAAACCGGTTCTTACCCTTACTGTTGGAAAACCGCGTACATCATACCACGTTACAAATCTGGAGATAAGACTGACATGAACAATTACCGGCCAATAAATATTACTCCAGTTATTTCTAGGATTATGGAAAAAATTATAAGTGATGAACTTTCCAACTATTTACTTGCTGGAAAATTTATCAATGATACTCAACATGGATTTCTTAAAAATCGTTCTTGCATGACATGTCATTTTGACTTCTTTAATTTAGTCTATTCTCTACGTAGCCAAGGATATCTAGTCTTAGTGCTATATCTGGACATTTCTAAAGCCTTTGACATGGTTAGCCACCAACTTCTTATAGGTAAGCTCGCATCTTATGGGGTTCAAAATCCTTTGCTTGCTTGGCTTGATTCCTTTCTCAGCAATCGACACCAAATAGTTAAAATTAACTCTTCATTGTCTAACGCTGTCCCTGTTAGAAGTGGTGTAATACAAGGTAGTGTCTTAGGTCCTTTGCTCTTTTTAGTGTTTATCAATGATATTTGTGAAAGTTTTTGTGTCGGTAAGCCCCTTCTATATGCAGATGATCTTAAAGTAGTATATTCATTTTCTCCACATGAGCTGAAAAATATGCAAAATTGCATCAGCATGGAGCTTAACAAGGTAGCACAGTGGTGCTTAAAATGGCAACTGGAGCTTAATACGGCTAAATGTGGATGGATATGCTTCGGCGATACATCACTCAACCTAGACATTACCATAAATGGAGAAGTGTTACCTAGGTTACATACAGTAGTAGACTTAGGACTTAGATATTCCCAAGACTTGTCGTTTACAGAACATATATTAAAACAGACCTCTAAGTCTCAACGTCTAATAGGTTACATAACTCGAAATCTTTACAACACTGAGTCACGTATTCTAATGTACAAAGTTTGTGCTCGACCTCTTCTAGAATATTGCACGTTTATTCTTAGCAGTGCGCTCATAAAGGATAAATTAAGGCTGGAATCAGTACAGAGACGATTTACACTTCGTATTCTTGGAGCTGATTGTACCTTAACTTATAATTCTAGATGTAATAAACTTGGGCTAGACCCTTTATGGAGGAGGAGACTCAAACTAAATCTTATCTTTTTCTTCAAACTACTTCATAAACTATCGTTTACATCCGATCACGCGATTCAATATGCAGAAACCTCTCATTATGACATCCGTAATTCCTTGGCACTAGTGAAACAAACTCATTCTAAATCATCTCTTTATATGAATTACTTCACCTGTAAATTTTCTAGACTCTGGAATAACCTACCACAATCTATCCGCACGATAAAATCACTCCCATTATTTGTTCGCTGCATCGATGCATACTGCTCCTCTGAAAATGCATTGAATGGTCTAGCGCCTTTAAGTGTATCTCATTCCACAAGTGATATTATAGGAACTTTAAATGTTTAGCCATCTTTATTAGTGAATTCCCTTATTAAAACCACCCACTTGCTGTCGATATGTTAACACCGCCCCTAGCAACTTTAACTTATTTGAATAACATAACCAGTATATCACTGTGTCACATAACACACGCATTTAGGTAGACCGGATTGATATATTTTGGTAATTACTTTTTTGTTGTTCCGTGCTCTCTGTTTTCGTTTTAATTTCTCTAGTTGTAGATAATTATCATTATTTCGTTCTGGCACACGAATTGACCTTAATTACACCGTTCATAAATCAACAGGCTGTCCATTTAAGAAATATTAAAAATTCCCGGCTGATGCATTGGATCCCTGTAATATATGTACTACTTAAACAACTACTGAACTAGTATACTTGAAACTTTCTTTTATCACATGTTTCTTCTGCACGTCTAACGTTATTATTCATATCAAATTGATCATGACTGTAAACTGGCGTGAATTCTGTAATTATTATTATTTTTCAGAATATAAATTATTATATAAATTATTATAATAATCACATGCTCATGAAAAGTGTTATAAACAGAATGCCGTAGTAACCAAGCGATTACAGAGAGGGACAGATAGACAATGTTCAGTCAAAACATTTTTTTAAAAATCTTCAGAGATTTTTAGTTAGTTAAAGTATAGAAAAAAATCTCTTTACTTATGGAAAACAAGTTATGGAAAAAATCATTCAATAATAATGTCTATCAAGATAGTATTATGTGTTTCAACTACAGAAGAGTGTCTGGTGTATTATTTGGCAAGGATACATTCTTAAAAAAATCATGCGTGGAAATTATATTTGTATAAGGGGAATGATGTAATACAGATATCCAGAATTTCGTATTATAATAACATTCTCTCTATCACTAAAGTATTGAACATAATCTTTACAGATAAATCAATGCATTAAAAAATTGCCTACTTTATTGAAGTGAATCCAGAGAAATTATTTGCTTTCAATTAATGTAGAGATGACTGGACTATGTGCAACATATACCTGGTCATTAACTCAGAGTTTTCAGATCACCATAATACGATAGGTTAGTCTGAATTCTTATAAATGCCCCTACTTTAATGGCTTCATAAATGATAAACAATGTGGTACAGCATTATTTCATTAGTTAACATGCATTTGTTCATGAGTGATACATTAGTTTTGTTTATTTGGAATGTATCACAATATATTTAAATCCCCGTTGTTTTTTAAAGGTGATGAGTTAACTAAACCGGCGGCCTATGCTCCATTAGGAGTAACAGGTGAAAGTAAGTAAGAGTTAACTAAGCAGAAAATAAGCGCAATTCACTAACTGTCGATTAAAAATCTTTATATATATGTATATATGGACAATAAACTCATAAATGATAAATTACAATACACTTACATCTTCCAGTTCTTCATAAAATTCATAAAGTTGTGCCTTTTCTTGTAAATATTCAATTCGTTCTTCTGTTTTAATTTTGTTGGCTTCATATCTTCAGAAAATATTTTAATAAGATTCCAAAAAAAACAAACTTAGGTAAATCAAGTCATTTTTTAAGCGCAAATGAATATCGTTATTCAACAGATGGATTCAACTAGGATCATGAGGCGTTCTGAAATTTCTCCTCAACAAATTAGCCATTAGCACTTTTTCATAAAACATCATTTCTCTAACTTTTATCATCTTAAGTCATTCGATGAACAACCTATTTGTAGATCATCTTATCTAATTCATGTGATATATTTAAGTAAAATTAATATCTGGTTAGTAAGTTAATGTTTCATTTTCTTAGATGTCCTGGAATGAACTCTAGTGTTGCAGACTTCATGGTAGGTGAGTTACTTTTGTTCTTGAAAGTTATAAAAGTAAGTAGCTCAAATATATTTTTTTAATATAACATTGTATTCCTCAAAGTCATCTTACAAATAATGTGTTTCATAGATGAAGTTGTTCAAGGAAATTATTTATCAAAAACTAGTCAGTTATTTAGATCAATTTTGTTCAATTTTATTTATATGAAGAACACTCGATTAATTTGATCACTCAACAATAAACACTTATAAATAAATAAAGATTGATTTCTGATAAAATAAATAACGTTAACATCTCTAATTTACACCTTATAACTAATTCATATTTCCGACTTGTCCTAAATGCAATTCAACTGTAACAAATAACGATTTCTTAACAATTTCCTGATTAATATCACATGGGTTTTGTGGATATTATGGTAATTTCAGTGGTTAAGATCATGAGTCAGTTGAAGCTAGACCACCATGGAAAACCTGGAAGTACTGGATGGTCGTTTCGTCCTATTGCGGGACTCCTCAGCAGTGCGCATCCACGACCCCCCTTACATTCCTACTTTTATAATTTACACATTATAGCTTAATAAAAAAAATATGTCCAATACTGTTTTATTGTCCTTGAAGTAGACTATTCCAAATCTTGTGACAATATACAGTTGATCCGGATTAGTTAACCATTAACAAACAATCAATAATATCAATTCAATCTCTATGATTCAATAAAGCAAAATAATTATTAAATATTAACTAGAATGGGAATAATCTTATGACAAGATTCATGTCTCTAGAGTTGGAATATGGACTGAAGTGGATACTGACTAAATACAGTGGATGACTGATGGTGAATAATAATGATATTTAATAATATAACGTAGGTATAAAGACGGACAATGTAGACAATCTTTATTGAAAACAGCTTTTACATCAAACGTTTATGTATATGTATAAGTATATGTGTACGAATCAACAGTAAACTTAATCGTTTATTAAAACAATTGGATATCTTTTTTTCAAAAATCCAAAACATTTTTTCAATTACCTTACATTTTTGTAATTAAATTATTACTTTTCCTTTACTCTTTACTCCCTGCCTTTTTTCTCCTAGTAATAAAATATCTAGACGATGTCATGACAACCAAGCCTTCTTTAAGGTAATATCACTAATAACAACACAGGTAATCAAGATAACAATAATGATGATGACAATAATTTTGATAAAAGTCATTTATCTCAAACTAATACCGATAACATAGGAGAGAGAAAAAACCACAACTACGATGTACATAACGCTTTCATAAAATGATTATTTATTTGGGTGCAAAAACTAATCTCAATTTAATTGTACCACTGTTAATATGTGATTTTACTTTTTAAGGTGAAATCTCAACTATTATAGTAAAAATGATAAGCATTATGAACTATGAATGTGTGTTCTATGAAGCTACTTAATTAATAGAGTCCATTAACTTCGTTAGATGATGATTTGTTTCCACTCGTAAAAATAATTTTAAAAAACTATATTATAATAACAAAATCTATAGTAATACTCGTTTGTCATTTATTCGTCTTGGTTTTTGCTAACTCTTAAACTGATATAACTCAAACGTTACACTTTAACAAACCGTTAAGCGAAAAATGTAAAACGTCAACTAAAGATGCCTTACGATGGATTAAGATCTACGTGAAAAGAAACACAATATTACGTTTGGGATCACATTATTAAAAAAATGGGTCACATAAGATCTTAATTACATAACCATAAAAGTATATACTTCAGCGAAATAAAAAAACAACAATACTAAATAAAACGCCCGTAACAAAATACCCAGTAATTCTTCATAAGAAAGAAACTTTATTATCCAATTTTAAATAAAGATCTTCGAATTAATCTTTAAGCTTTCTCATGAGATCGATAAAAAGCGGAGAAAGGAACTACATTACGAACTTCTGAGTTACCATTCTCCATCTTATCATTGAATACATAATTAATCAAGCATTCCCTTGGTTTTTTAACTTTAATTTGAAACAGATAATTAGTTTGTTCCTTTTAAGAAGGTAGTTGAAAATTACCCTCTGAAGTTGCTTAGTCTCAGCCAATATAATGTAGCATAACATGTACTATTGGATATGGTCATAAATTAAAGTATCCTAACTAGTTTCTCTTGTTAATTCCAATCGGTTTTTTATCATGGTTAATCAATTATTTCCTCACTGATAATTTTTATCCTCAATGTCTTTTATAAGAATAGCAAAATCTTAGAGGAAATATACAAAACAGATTACCTAGATTTATTTTAAAATAAATAATGCATTTGAACGTATTTGTATAGTCAATGCCTGACGATGGTAGAATTGATCATACTAAGTTATAAGTAGAGTAGTTTCAGTTAACTTTTCGAATATAATTTGCCAGTAATATATGTTATATTATTTTCTTAGAAAAAATACATTTAAGTGCTAACAGCTTAAACTGTTAAAACAAATTAGTAAATAATCAAATTACTATATAATTGAGTGTTATGTTTAGTCATACTTGTGTAGTTTTGATGATCTTATTCATGGTTACTGATAATATTCTCAAGACCACCTACAATTCACAGATGTATTGAGGATAAACGTCCTCGTTGGACTACATCGATGTTCATCTATAAATTTACTTGCTCCTGTTAAGCAGGTTACATTGGCCGTTCAAAACAACCACTTTCTAAACGCATCTTAGAACATTACTTGACTTGGCTTTTAAAAGAAGAATAAAAACCAGTTACCAGTTCAATACAGCAGCATCTAATCAATCCTGAACACGTGTCTTCGAAGGAGTCTTCCTCTAAAATAATCTACGCAATAAAAGGAACTGGATCGAAGGGAGGTTGAATTAAAACGTATGCACTGTTGAGACATTGGTGATCCACCAATTCAAGCACGAACTCTATGTGTAAAAACGATACGTCCAACCGCTCATCCTTGCTTGGCTCTAATTCTCTTTTGTAGTATATTTCGGTTTTTTTAATTACTGTTTTGTAATTTTAAACCATAATCAGTTGTTAGTATCCCTTAACAATTTTTCATTATTATTCAGTTATTATTATGACCTTTTTGTTTTTCGTTTTTCTTCATGTCTGGCAAGCGGACAATTATCTTTCATAATTTTGACCCGTAAATTATATTCATCCTTCTATTCTTATCTAACCTCCCGACTATTACGTAACCTCATTCGATAATTGGAGTCTCGAATCTCTTTATGATGCAAACTTTTCTATCATTCTATAGACAAATATTTACCATACAACTATAAATATGAATGTACAGCTTAAGTAAATTATTTCGTCGAAAAGAAAATCTCCACCGAATTCTCCTTATTTCTATTCAATCAGATGGTGGGTTATTTTGACTATATGTACATTAGTCAAATGAGGTCATTCTATGGTTAAGAATACTACTGATTTATTGGCTCTGTAGTCGAGGCCAAGGTAACAGAAGAGATTGAGTATATTTCATTTGTAAACATTGTTCCCGCTTTTTAACCCGAAGAACTATTGCTTCTGCCATTTGAATAACTTTGAGTAAGACATAATTTGGCAAAAAATTATTAACTCGACAAATTATTGGGAAATATTGACTTAAACTAGAACTATAATCAGTTTACATTTAATGGGAGAGAATTGAGCTGTTGTCTTGACTACAACTTTGCTTAGCCACACTGGAAAATGTTTACGAGCATGGAAATGCAAATTAGACCCACATAACTTGTTCACTAGTCGAATTTGTAAATACAAAACGAGATTGTTATTCTAGTTAATTCATCTGAAAGTCCTCAAATGGTGGAAGCGACAGTCATTGTGATCAAAAACACGAAAATTTGTACACAAACATTCACATCTTCATCAATAGAACTTACTTTTGTTGAAATAATTCACATTTAGCTAACGCACGATCACGATTTGCTGGATTTTTTTCTGCTATATTCCTACCTAATTCTAACGCGGCATCAACTCGATCTTTACAAGCCAATAAAGAAAACCTAAATGTTTCATATTGTTTTTGAATATCACGAACAGCATCTAGGTTTGTCTATAAATGTAACGCGTATAAAAATAAATAAGTCAATGAAATAAAAATATACTGTAACATAAATAAATGCATTTTCAAATGTTTTCTTCTGTATTAACTTTTGAAGAAGAATCCGAATATTGAAGTTCAGTCTCATCAAAACTTTCAATTTACATCTTCAGTAGGCAGATTATGTATCAATGCAAACGTTTCAGGTGGTACGTTACATTATCTGGTTATAGAAGTATATAGTTAAAGGTTCGCTATAACCATTGTGATTATAAAATACATTATTACGAAAGCTTTATACAACAAAATGTCACAAAGCTTCAATTGGGAATCCTGATAGAACAACTCATACTACAACTAAACAATAACAATGAAAACATATGATTGACTATAAATCCCCATTAAATTAAAAACAAAAATATATGAACAAAGAATACTCTTTTCAGATACTACAATTATATATCCAAATTCATCTGATAATTGACCAGGTTTAAGTTAAAGTGTATCGTTGTAGAATGCGAATTTAGGATTATTTGTAGAATAACATAAAATTAATACTGTTGAAATGCCTAATATGAAATGTTAAGTGAAATTGTGAGATCAACGATCTGAATAAATATGGTTAACATGGGGTTAGAAAGATTATTTTGTAATTACAAATCAAAATAAATCATTTGTTTAAGAATCATATAAGATGTGTACGATAAAAGGAATTGGGTAACAATTAGTAAATAGGGTGGCTTGATAAATACATTCCCCAAAACGTTTATAAGCGTTATAATAATAATAATATGTGTGAATAAGTTTAAGCTATAAAAATGCAAAAAGGGAAGTTACATGAATATTAATCAAATTATGACACCATATCATCGAAATGATTGTTAGCTGAATGAGCCTGAAGTTGGCCAAGAACAAAAAACCGTTGAACATTTCGCCTCTGTAACCAAAGCTCCAGTTCGGTAGTCCGAATAACTCTTGGTTGTTTCAGTCATACGGAGGATTCTTAGTCTGATAGGTTTAGGCAGATTACTGTTCACACGATATATTACTGCAAATGATTGTTCTTTATTGGATGTATGGTTTGTTTGTACTAAATGAGATAGAATCCAGATGTTAACAGTGTTAACTATGTCTTTACTTAACTGCACTTAGAGGTACTCGGGAGCACGAAAATAAAAATTCCTAGAACAACTGCCAATATAACTTGTCCACAAGCGAAGTTGAATTAATAGATACAGAAAGAAGTAGAAACTACCATGTAATTTATCCTTCAATCTCCGAGTGACCATCGGAAATGTAGAAAACACCAACTGTAGTTTCCCTGCATTAACGATTCGTTGGATTGCTCTGTACAACTTTAGTTTTTACAATTTATATGGACACATCGCCTCTAGACTGTATGCGTATACACTGGTGCAAGTGATTGTTTAGGTTTCTTCTTAGTGACTCATCTAATCTCCTTGTAACTAGAACATCTAGATGAGCTATTCTACCTCTATCTTCCTCCACACATGTGAATTTTATAGACGGGTGAGCTTCATTAAATCTCTTGAGGGTTCTTACCCGGTCAGTATGGCCTTTACAAAGAATGAAGATATCGTCCATATATTGTCAGTAAAATAAACTTTTCAGTATTCTATGCCAGTGTACCGTTTTCTAGTTTAGCGAAAAAAACGTCAGCCAATGTGGGACATAGTACTGAACCCATAGCGAAACAGTCTGTTTCCACATAGTTCCCTGATAAAGATGAAGTTCACGTTCATTGTACACTTTAGTTATTATTTCTTAATGATGTGAACAAGAATTATGGCCTCTGCTTACTGTTCTTTAAGTTGTTCACAAACATATTTGACAGTCTCCCTGAGTGGGACATTCGTGAACAATGATGACACGTCTAAGCAAATCGTATAGGTAAACGAAAGAGATTTAGCTAAATATGTTTTGATTTCTACATCATTTCAAAATTTCAGTTTAAGTTTTTGGCCAGACGATTACACAACAGATTTAACGTAAAAATGTCAGATCCAGTTGACAATTAAAGTACGAAATAAGATATACAAAAACGTGCATTAAATCGAAACACTACATAACAAATGCCATTTCAATCGTAAACTGACGTCAGTCGGCGAATAAATGAAAACTAGAAAACACTGATTAGAGCTGTTTTATACTTGTTTGAGATCCCACAATAATATGAATCTACAATCTCAAAGTCGCCTTAGAAATCCAAACTCAGTAAAACGTTTCAAGTGTTTGAATGTTTTAATTATTAGGACATGCATGGTCACTTAAAACGTTTGGAGGTTTACAGCAGTTATATAGTTGATGATTTATAATCACCTTTGAAAACATTATCGTAGCACGAAATTTCGATAATGAATGATGATAAACTCACTAATACGTTTTCTTTATCCAAAAATGTGGCCTGTTGATCCAAAGTCACTTCAAGTAATGCAGATTCAGCCAAAAAGCACTTCAAAAAAATAAGAGAAGAGTCGTAGAAACAATCACAAGAGATATCTTCAGTATGTTTTGCGATAACTAGTAATAACGAGAACGACAAACTCGAAATGCCTAACCATAAAATTACAACAAATTCTGTAATCATACCCTTAAGCTACTTTTACTGGTTTAAACTTTAAAATCACTGAACAGTTTATATAATCTAATCATACGAATGTTCAGAGGCCTGGTAAACATATCACTAATTAAAGCTTAATGTATGACGCTGAGCGTCGAAAGTACAGATCATTCAAAGGATATGACCTTTCTAGCTGTCTTTAACAACCAATGAAGCTCGTTGGCCATAACTTAAATTATTTATAACAGGTAGGACAGTATGAAAAACCAGACAGATTGAGAGATAAATAATCAGTGGTAAATTACTGTTAGGATGAAGTTACAATTCAAAAGCTTGAAAGTAAGGCAACAAACAATGCAGGTCCTTTGAGGAGCGTTAAGACTAAAAGATGGAAATTTAAGATTTTTAGGCACAATCATGATAGTGACTTTATCGATATTTGTGACAGAACGGTGTTATTCAACAGGTTATTAGCATTCTTAGTGGTGCTGCTTTCTTAGACAAGCAAGGACGAGTAAGTGAAGGTGGAAAGTCAAACTCACGTATATTCTGTAGCACCATCCAGTTAATCCAGGAAAAACTACTCACAAGAACGCCCTCCTCAAGGTTTGTGAACACGCTTCAAGGTAAATATGGTTTAAGTAAAAGTATTATTTCTGTTTATCTCCTTTTAAGAACAAAACATCCTTAAGTGAAATGAATAACAAGAAAGCAATTACTCCTTGAGCACACTAACTCATTCAATTTGCACATATGAAACTCCAATAAAACTGCGTACTGATGTTTAATTGGTGTAAGAACTATTAATTTTTTCAATAAGCAGTCAATGTAGTTAAAAGAAAATCATGGAAGAAAGGATTGTAACAAATCTAATGATATCTAGAAATAGTTACAAAATAAAACAACAGCGGAAATGTTAAAGGATCATATTTGGTATTATTAACTTAAAGCTTTTTAAAGTTTTAAAGTTGATTTTATATCCACCAAAGAAAATGGTGTTAAAATCTCAGAGAATAATTTAATTTATCGACCAAAGCTTCATGCACTTCTAAATGTGATCATAATTTTGAGCAACGTTACTCCGATTTTAATAAAAATAGCCTAAGTGACTTGTTCATAATTTAATAAGTGTATAACGACAACGGTTTTCAGTAGTTTTTTAGTGAACAAGAACACCAGTGGGGACAATCGGATGAATTACAGGACTTGTTAATAAAATTCAACAATCAAATAGTAAATATGTAATTTGCAAAATGTCCATCAATTGTCTCATAATGACTCAGACTTCATTGTTCTTGCATTTTCATACAAATTGCATTCTGTTCCCATTCTTTGCTGTTCGATCCCTTGTCTCTCTGCTACCAGACCTTCTGTTCACGACTAACATCATATACTACTTATTTCAATATAAGTAGCACACACCACAGTTCATCTTTTAGGTTGATTTCATTTTTGTTTAAATCATCTACCCACAGGATTCCCTGTCTTCATTCTTGGATATCTGAACAAGTATTCAGACACCTTGACATCAATATTATGAAACTGTGGGAAGTTTATAAGAGCAATTTACATATTACATTAATTTGGGTTCGCTTGCTGCTGCTTGCTTGTGTCTTTTCATTGTTGATTTGGAATGCAACTGACCAGTCGCTTGTTGGCATATGTGCATCATGTACGGATTGCCTCGATATTGCTTTAATTCAGTAGCATTATAAGCAAAGAAGGATGGAGGCTAGCAGTGGAATCCAGGACGCGCTTTTCACTATATTTGAGACTCGTAAGCTGGATGTACCTACATCCCAGAGTTGATGTTCACCCCGGGACTCGAGCTAACAAGAGACTGATCAATTGAGATCCTAAACATCAATAAGAAGATAGAAGCGAACAATACCAAGTGAATTTAAACTTCACTCAATTGCACAAACAGGTGGCTATCATAACTCAGTTGCTAAGTGGATAACGCGATGGCGTATTAGGCGAATGGTACTGGGTTCGAATTAATATTAACTCTGGGATGCAGGTACATCCAGCTTACGAGTCACAAATAGGAAGAAACGCACATCCTGGATTCCACTACCAGCCACCATCCATCTTTGCTTACATTAATTTATTTATTATGATCATTACTATGAATTATCAGCTTACAAAGTATACAAAGTTAGACGTATCTATGTCTTAATTATAGAGATTTGTGGACAAAAACGATTCTCTTCAAAAAATATGCAAGCAGCAAACATACTATAACGTAATTAATTAATAACAGATTTCTGAAAATAGCATTCATCTGATGTTAGGTTCAGTAATTAGATAGGTAGCGGACTGATTCAAATAGGGACATGTGGAACGTTATTCAGACAACTCACTCGCAATAAGCTCTCTTATCATCAAATTTCTCACTATCCAGGCTTGAGTAGAATATGGTCTGTCCTTACTTGCCAGTCATATCAGGAAACTTTAAGATAATTATTTTTGTGTCAATATTTAGTCAGTAAAACATAGAATCTTGCCATGGATTATTCACAATTTTGACTATCACAAAACACTACTGATTGCAATATATATTCTAGTTGTTTTTAAGTATGTTGTGGGAATTTCTACGTTGTTCATTGGACGGTAAACTAATATTATTGTAAATTATACCAAACTTTTATCAAATACATTTGCGTGCGAGAATGAAATTTCTGGGTTTGAGTCCCACATGTGGGATCGAAGAATTCCATGCTAAGACGAAACGACCGTCCAGTGATTATAGGTTTTCAATGATGATTTAGCTTAGATCGATTTGTCAATTCAACTTTAAAAATACTATAATCTCCATAAGTCCCCATACCGAAAAAAAAATTGTCATCAAAATTTATTAGTCAGCAATTTTATCAGTGTAAGCAAATCAAATTGATCAAATAACGAATGTAAAAATATTTTCATTTACGGTGAGTTTTTAAACGTTTAAATAAAACAACATAAATGAATTGATTGTTTAAATTAAATAATATTTCATTTAGTGAAATTCATGAACCATTTGTAACAGTAACAGTAAGGTACACAAACGCTATTAGACAAATAAATATACTGTGTCAATTAAATATTTGGATGTTATTTATAATCTGGAAAAAAATAATGATGTTATGATACTAACTATTGTAATCATTGTCAAAAAAGAAAATAGAGGACAATGGAATGATTACAATTTAATTTTATACAGTTGAATGAAAAATGTGATTGCTATCGAGTAGAATTTATTCTTTCCACTAGATAAATTAACTTTGTTTAGTCAAAGTAAACCTGTCCATCTATTAAATCTGGTCGTTTTGTAGAGATTGCTTTGATTCAAAAAGAAGTTTTTATTACAACTGACATCATTTGAAAACCATTTGTAATATGATAATTCAATTCAATAATAATATGAACTCCTCAGTAATGTAAACATATGATAACTTATTTAGTTGAATTTAATGACCTATGAGATAAGTAGCGAATAGAAGTCATTCAGTTCATAACTTCAAGTTTAGTCTGTTTGCAAAATAAAGTGATAATTGTTCCGTGCCATAGATGATAGGTTTCTCATTCTTGATATATATAGGAGAGTTCGTAATTTCTCTCGAGACGACCTCAAACTCCCATGAACTTATATCTTCTGTTAAGGAAGTCCTACTCACTGAAATCCAGGTTGCTAAAGTAATGCTACGAAAGTGAATACTAGGAGTTTAAAGAAAAGTGGTGAATACCGAGAATTCATCAAGGTGTGTTGGAAAACTCTGATCTCGAACCACAAGGCTCCAGGAGTTCTGGTTGTCGATATTTTTGTGGTGTGTTAATGATGTCGACAGATATAAGTAGTATGCAATATCAATCGAAAGTGAAATACCTGACAGCAGATTAAGAAGATCAAAGAACAGAGAGACAGAACAAAAATGATTACTGTGGAAATGAAAGAACAGTCAAGTTTCAGACAAATGATTGACATTTTGCAAATTAAGTATTTACTGTATGGTTCTCAGATTTTACTAAGACGTTCTGTAATTTTGTGTTCAAATACAGTTGGTTGTCCCCACTTATGTTCTCGTCCACTATATTTTCATATCTGAGGTTTATTTGTAACAAAAAATAACTACATATTATGTTAACTTTTTACAACCAAACTCAATATTCATCAGTGATGTAACTACAAACGAAAGTTTAAAATCTCAATAGAAAATTCCATGTTTACATTTATTGACAGTCACTGAGCATAGAAAGTCATACACGTTACAGTGATTTACATACATACATCAGTTAGTTTAGATTGATAACATGAATGGATTAATGTTAGACCGCAATTTAAAACTTGAAAGAACTGGACGACAGTGTGCATGCACGACCCCGCACACCGAACGTGAACCCTGAACCTTCGGTCTCGCGCGTGAACGCCTAGTCTTTAGACCACAGAGCCGGCATCCAACGGTGTTAATGTCTAAAATTAACCAATCAACAATACTGTGTGACCGTCACCCAAGGCCTTCAGTGAGTTACTGCCTCACAACAGATACGGTTGCACTGTACTCGTCACAGCTTCTTACTACATTAATTTGTCTAAAAAGTTTTGTAATTGATAAAGTGCTAAAAAATTGAATTGTGGTCAGAAATTTGACTACAAGTGTTTAAGTAAGCAATTATGAGAAATATGTGAAGTGTAGAAAAAACTTAATCATTCGAATAATTAGAGTAACTGTGAATATGACTAACATGTAAGTCACAATAAAGTGAATGTAATACGAAGGATAATAAATACTTTTTATTAAAAATATTATCAGGAAGATAAGTAATATAACAAAAATTGTTTAGACCGTTTTTAAAAGCGCAGTGAAAAATTACCTGCAAAGCATAACGTTCTTGAAGCCGAGTAGTACAACTGACCATTGAACTTTGAATTGATTTCCAATCATCTTCAAGTGCAGCTAACCGTTGTCCCAACATAATATGTGGTGTGTCATAGTAACCTTTAAGCAGTTGTCTCCCAGTATCAAATAGTTGATTTGCTTCATTTTCATAGTCTTTGATTTCTTGAGCACTTTGTTCTATAACTGTTAGACGATTTTCAGTTTCCTGAAAATGTTTATAAATAATTTTTACACACTATATATTAAAAAAGATTAGTTTTCAAATTTAGTATCATTTCCTGATAATGCGTTTTGATTTAATTTAAAAATGTGGGTAGTATTAGTTAAAATATATTCATCAACCAACATAGTATATTCACTGGCAAATAGAATTTGTCGATACAAACATTTGGATACGCTACGCGGATGACCCCTAAGTTATCCCGAAGAGAAAGCAACTCGGAAATACTCATAAATTGAGTCATGACATCTTTGATTACACGGAACAAAGTGAAGGATCTCTTCACTTGTACATAAAAATAGCTAAATATCATTAAAGTAATACGATATGTTATCACTGATGTCAATATATAGTATTAGAAAATTATAGCAATGGCAGAGTATCGCTGAAAACATGACATTCAGGTTAATTAAAAACCACATCAAATCAGATCTGAACTATCAACCCATTCGATACATGTCAATGAATAACGTGATCAAAAACCAACGGAACAAAATAATCAACTAGGATACAAGGGAAAACGGAGACAATCGAACTGATGTAGATTATCAATCATAAAAAAGGCCATCAGAATAAGTTGGCAAAAGGCTTGTGGAGCAAGTATGAAGCTCACTTTTATATGAAATAAGCGTTGATAATTTTGTTCAGAAAGACGGAGAAAGCTCTGTAATTAAACCATCTAGTTCAGGGAACTCAAAAACACCAAAAGCATTTGTACAACTATTAACAAATATTCTTCGTCTGTATGTTAATTCCAAATACTCTAATAACAGAAATATTCCCGTAAACAAATTTAATGTCTCTAATTAATAAATAGTGTTCATACCAATTAAAAGTTATCTGTTGCAAACATCGCGTTCAGTAATGAACCTTTAACTAATTAGTAACTCTTTTGAATATAGATTCATATTAAACTATCTGACATATTTGATATACTCAAATTAAGTAAAACAAATATCCATAATTTAACTAACAAATAATAACAAAGAATTAATTGAAAAAATATTTTCTACAATCGTACTTATTATCTGATAACGAATAACATAATGTATTAATTGTGTTTAATATCTGCTATCAAATCAATTTACTGAACTATGACAATATATATGTTAGTTGAAATGTGTTTCATGCTCATTTTAAGTTATTATTCAACTGGTTAGACCAATAAATAAACAGAAAATTAATAGACCATTTATTCAAACTAAACAAACGTCCAGTAAGCAGGTTATTTCCATATTTTTTATACGAACAAATCGATAGACAAGTGGATAACATATAAGTCGACCTAATAATTAAATGACTTTTATGCTTTTACTGAACTTTTGAATGTATTACTTGAAAAGAAACGGATGACCCATCATATATAGAGGAAATTATACTGAAATACAACTGAATTAGAAATACAAATTGTTCCGGACCATATAAATCCGTTTACGCATTTATAAATAGTAATTTGCCCATTCTCGGTTAACTGTGTTCTGAATAGCTTAGTTTACAAACAATTCAATGTTGATAGGATATAACTAGATACATCACTTTAAGATTGTATTACTAACACTCACATTGTTCACTTTTTATCTGAACAGGCAGTTTTTCAAAAAATATAGTATTGGACTATGGTAGTGTTGTGGTGGTTGAAAATGGTTACCAACTGTAAACATGTAATGGAGCCTACAATAGTGAACAGAGCTTTACAATCACAATTTACAACCGCTTAGTGTAACGGTTCCATCGTACTAGCGATTACCTTCAAAATCTCTTTCTTTGGTTAACACAAGGAAATTCACACTTTAAGAGCTAATGAACTTCTGTGGAATCAGTAGCATCTATGACAAATTAGGATAGTGTGCTGACTGAGATACTATAATATAACTTACAATGAACGTTTTTAGGAGATTTCAACAGCAAATTGTGGAGGTGCATTCTTAACATGATGAAAAACTAACCATTATTCTGAATTTTAGTGATTTTTATTTTGGTATTGATTCGTTAACACGAACCACTTCTATCTACAATTAAAGTAAATATTTAATACATGTACTAATGTAACCTCTAGTTGAGGACAAACAGCAAGTGCAATTATGTATATATTACGTTAACTTCATGGATGAAATCTTTAAAAACTAGTGAAATTGTTTTTATAAATAAACTTACCTGTAAATCACTTGGAAATTCACGGACAAACACATCACTTTTTAGTTTTCTCATCCAATCTTGAAATGAATCAAGTTTTTCAAGAAAACGACTCACTTGACCTTCAGTAGATATTCGATTAACTCTCTGTTTAAGTGCTTCTTTTAAATTAATCCATTGCTGTGTAAGTTTCATATGTTCTTTCATTAAATAATCCGCTCTTCGTTTAGACTTTAACTTTATATCTTGTTCATCATATGCAATTTCTTGTTGTTCTGTCATACCAAGTAATTCTCCTATACGTTCACCAATATTTTGAACTCGTGCTTCAATTGCTTTTAAATCTCCTTGTAAATTAAATAAACGTCTTCTTAATTCTACCAAACCAGTTAAACTATTAGCATCAATGGAATCTGTTGAAAATAAAACTGCTTCTTTTTCTGTAATCCATTCAGATGTATATTTACATTCAATGAATAAATTAATATAAAATGATTCTTCAACTATTCTGTCTCTATGAGATTCAACTGTATCAGCGATTCTATTCCAAGCTGAGTTTAAATGATCTTGAACATTGATAACTTTTTCAATTGTCATTTCTTTATTAACTAATGATTGATCATCTCTTTTTGGTTCATTTAAAAAATTAGCAATCATCATGTTTACAGTAGACACCTAAATATTTATTACACATAAAGAATATTTATTGAAGAAAAGAACTTCAAGAACTCCAATATAAAGATTATAGTGAATATGTCAATCCTAATAATTTGTATATTCTATTTATCAATTACACTACAGTATCAGTTATGGAAAAAAACAGTTAAGATTAATTCATTAGCAGCTAATGAGAAACCACAAAATATAGTGGATTCATATGAGTCGGCCTTAATTATTGTTCTGATTTTATTTAAATTCATAAAGGCAATTAATTGTATGTAAATTTATAATATTTAAAAATATTGTACAGTATTTGCACCGTTTTAAAATTAAAATTTATAGAGCCCTAAAACACTGTGTTTTGGGTACTTTTTTGAAACTCAGTAATTCTTTATTTTCTGTAGGAATATCTCGTTTTGACTTTCCATGTAATAATGAGCTATATACATAAGAATTAAAAGTAAATCCAGTACATGAAATGTGTTAAACAAAATTGTGAAAAATCACTATATCATTTCAATCCATTGTGATTACATCTCAGTCCTACAGGAGGTTAGTCACGGCTCGGATAGCTCAGTCGTAACTTCTCTGACTATGAAGCTGGGTGACAGGAGATCGAATCCGCCAGGAAGCACCAGTTCCCTCAAGATTACAGGTACACCTTGCTGACGAGTGCCAAGTAGCACGAAACCCTAGTCCAAATTTCCTGTTGACTACCTCCAACCACCATCTAAATCTCAATACATAGTGCCCGCAGTGTCGAGTCACCTAGACTGGTGGCCACATTGCAACATGATCGACAGCACTCGATCTGCACTAATAAGGACAAGACAAGCATGACAATGATCACCACCCAGTGATCAATCAATTGCGACTATATCATTTAATTTGGAAATTGGAAACTATCAAAAGAAAGGTACTTGAATTATGTTTGATGGAACCTAACATAGTACACTAGCTTCTAGTCTGTCTACCGCATCGTCACATAAATTGATTTGGTACATTAATATCAAATGGATTAATAATTTTTCGAAAGTTATGGGTTTATAATGTACTTTAAACAATATGAAATGAGATGAACACTCAGTTGATTAGTAACAAATTAGTCACCGTATATGACATTATATGTATTCACCTTAGACCTAGAAGACTTTTTAATCGACTATTTACAAAGGTGATCAACATGCTCTGGGTTGATACAGTATACAAACACGCATTTACTTTCATTCGACTTTATAAGTATTAAAGTCACCTTGTTATTTTATCTTATGTCTAATACAGAGTATAATATACTATTCCCTTGGTCGTTTGTCCTGGCGGAATTGGGACGCTTTTCCAAAGAGATCATAATTTTTCATTCTTTTTCTATTACTTGTATACCAAGCTATCATAATTTTCAGTTTGATCCTGTTATTCTTAACTCGACCTTAATGTTCATAACTATTTAATCACAATGTTAAAATCCCACTTTCTCTCATTTCCATTAGTTTACCTACTATATTGTTCTTATTTTTCTAAAATACATGAGACGATCCAGTATTGGTGTTATATATCGTTTGTCTTTCTATGACAGCTTTTTAGCCAAAACACAAAACTGACATAAAGTACTGCGCCAAGACTACTTCGATCCTTTATAGAGGAGGTGAACGAACCGCATCATGCGGGCTAAATCCAACCCATTATCAATGTGCGCAACCTGAAAAATCATTTAAGGGAGTAAAATCGGTCATAAGTCAGGTCATTTGGGGTTGTTTTAAGGAAACGTGATATTCGATATTACAGTGTCATGGCGTGGTGTTTGAAGTCAAACTCAAACAACAATCTAAGAAACTTAAGGAACGTAGCAAACTTCGTTTTGCAACGTTAGACTCACAAACTGTTTTACTCGAAAAGTTTGTTTACCTTTGTTTTAAGTCAGTCAGTCAGTCAATCAGTCAGTCAGTAACAACGTAAAACTTCGTACGTACGTACATCAGTTCGAGTTGCCACACCACATTAGCACAGAGATGCAGTGGTCGATTCAAATCCCGTAGTGGTAGAGGTAATAAGAGTATAAGCAGTAATCGGGAAGATTAGGGTTTGGAGATGTTATTTAAAGAGTATAATCCAGTGAAATAAATTTGGAAAGAGGAAAAAGGGACATGAAGGATTCAGAAGATTAGAATTTGGGAGAACACAAAGAGTGTATGCACCTGCGCCATCGCAAACGATTTTGAGCCATGTCATTCAGGGTCTCTAACCATCGGTTGCTAGAGACCCTGAATGACATGGCTTTGTTTTAAAGCCTGGTAAAACGCTAATATTTTGCGCTGAATGTCATAGTGAACATTCATTATATTACCACTTATCTGGCAAATAGTGTGCAATAAACGCTAGTCTAATCTACTTGGAACTTCTCAACATAACCGTTTGGTGCTACAAACAAATTGATAATAAGGCAACAAACGATTTGTAAATTTACTTACTTGCTCAGCTGCTGTACTCATCTGTTCCTCTAAGTCAGAAAATCTATTTTTAACAATTTCTAATCTTTGAATTAATCCTTGGTTAGCACTGGCATCGCCTTCTATAATCTTAGAAAACTCTTCTTCTTTTAGGTCGTCCATTATTAACAGCTGGATATAAACTTCCTTCTCAATAATCCAGTTATACGTCGATGAAGCTATTTGGAACAACTGATGAAGTGATACAGCGTCTAAAAGTAGAAACTGTGTCTGACGAATGCATCCACTAAGAACAGAAAACGAATCTAAGAGACTTTTCATTCTATTCTTTATTAAATTTCCAACCTCATTCTTAGATTTTATGGTAGCCTCTAAAATAGGTTCTGTTGATTTAACATCTTTATCAGCTACAGTATACAAATAGTCTATATATCCTAATAACTCATCTGCTTGAAGCTTCATTTGATCAATAGTAGTCTGGAAGTTATTCACACTGGAAATAGTTTCCTGATGTTGTTTCGTTAATTTTTCTATAGTATAAATACTGTCAGTTTGCATAGCAAGACGCATTGCACTGGAACTTAGTTCATATTTTTCCGATATCCATGCATCTGCATCATCACAACTTAACACAAAAGAACGTAAATCTTTCATAAATAATAAATTAGTTTTACGTTTAGCCATTAGATTTATGAGTTGTTCCCACGCTTTTTCAACTTTTGTCACCTTTTCTTTTAGATTTTCATAATTTGGACATTCTTCTTCAATTAAACTGGAAGTTCGTTCAAATAGTCGAGTGATAATCAATCTTTGTGTTTCTAGTTCAGATTCAGCCGCTTTATGTCGCCGGAAAAAACATCAATATTACCATTGTCAACAAACGCTTCACTTTTCTGCAAAAATGATATACGTTCTTCTATTGAAATTAACTGTTCATCTAACTCATATTCTGAACCGTGATAAAGTTTTAGAAATTCTATAGACCGTTGCTTAGATTCGATCAATTGTACAAGTTGTGAATAAGCATCTTTTAACAGATTATTTTGTTTTTTTATTTCAGTTGCTACAGTATTAGTTTTAAAACCAAACAACTCTGGAGAGTATTCAATTTGAGATTCTAATTCAAAAAGGGTTGATATATTTCGATGAATTGAACGTATATCTGTTTCTATTAATTCATATTGTTTTAAACGTTCTTCAATAGCAGCTAAGTGATTATCAAGTTCATCGATTTGTAATTTAGACAAAAGAGATTGTATAGATCCCATGAGATAATCTGTTTCTGAAAACTTTTTAAACAGGTTTTTTCTATTTTCAAGAATTTTGTATCTTTCATTCATTACTTTTAAGAGCCGATCCCACATATGTTGAATTTCTTTTTGGACTTTTAAAACAATATCTCGCTTAAAAAAATCATTACCAATGAGTTCATCAGCAATCTGTTGAATTGTCTGTATTCTGTCAAAATATGCATAAATATCAGCTTTTAGAGCTTCATACTTTTTTAATGACGCTTCAGTCATTGCTAAATTCTTATCATCATCACATACCTCAACCAATTTAAAATTATCATTAATCCAAGCTTTTCTCAAATTTGCTTTCTTTTCGTAGCGTGAAAACAAATGCAGTAGACGTTTTTGCTTGTCTAGCGCTTCTCTCAAAGCTATTTCACGTCCATACTCAGCTTTCTCTAAGGCATTCCATGCACGATTGAGTTGGGATATTTGTGCCTCTGTGGATGGTATATAATTTCTAAGTCCGAGTGTTCTCATTTTTGTACGCGTTAAAAGAAAATGAGCTTCAAGTTCACCTTTTTCATTGAACTTGTCCGACTTTTCTTGAAGACGATATTCTTTAAATGAAACCATAATCTGTTGAATTTCTTCAACTTGATTGGGAAAACGACGATCATTCAACCACAATACTGTTTTGGCAATCCATGACAAAAGATCTGAAGCACGTCTTTCGTACCAATCGAAAGAATTCTGGAGATCACGCCAGTAAGTTATAAATTTTTCCAAACGACGGGCACGAACAGTTTCCGACTTCATTTTTGAAAAGTAATGATAATATGTAGCAACATAAGTAACAATAGATTTTTCATCTGGCTGTTGGACATATATGTCTTCAGGATCGAAGAGCCTAGATATGCCCAAATTCTTTTCCGCAACTATAAAGGCAGACTCCAAATTTTGCAGTGGTGTGTTTACTGACAATTCATTAAAATTGACCAGATCTGGACGATGCCTGTGGATAAGAGCGTTGAAAGCCAAGCCATCACGCCAACTAGTTGTAAAATTTTGCACGTCAACGTTCCGATAACCTGCAGTCTTCAGCTGGCACCATAATAATAAAGCTTCCTTTGAATATCGTTGCACATCACTTTTGATTCCTAGAGGATCGACTTTCTCCAAAAATATGATATCTTGAATTTGAAAACGAAGAATAATCATCCATAATAGTCCAAGTGTAATCCTTGCATTTCCATCAACAATATCATGTGCCCCTATATTTTCTAAATGAACTCCGAAATTGCTTAAAAAGAAGAGGGATTTGTCGATGTTTTCTAAACAATGAATCCTCATTCTCCCTAAGGTCGGACTAGGCTGTAAACGAAACAAGAGGACGATGAAGGAAAATGATCGCTGTGAATAAAAAAACATACCATTTTAATTCCAGAAAGTATTTCTAATAGCTGTAATAAAATCTTTCCGTCACGTAAATCCAAAAAAGGTCATATATTTCAATTCCTACCCTCCTCAGAAATGTATTCGCCCACTTTGTAAATGTCTTTTTTGAACCGTCTGCCTCTCCGCTTCACATAACTTAGCATCATGAAATCAGATTTACCTGCTAATGTATGTATCCGTGTTCTTTCATAAACACGAGAAGTAGCCAAACTTCTATCATATTCAGAAGAACTTCCTGGACTTAAACCATCATAAGACGTCCCAACATTATAATAATCACGAAATATTTGTGGTCTTAATCTCTCCACATGCATGAGTGGTGGATAATATTCAGTTCCAACACAAAACGTTTGGAAAAACTGAAATCAAATAAAACAGAATTTAATAAAGCACCATTTGTTGTCAATAAAACCAAACACTGATTTGAGATGTGAGTGTTCATATCTCTTTTCAAAAATTAGAACTAGTCAAAAACCGGTAGCACTGTCTTAATAATGCATTTAAGTACACATTATCTAAATAATTTATGATTGTAAGAGCAAAAAGATATAATATTATGTGATAAATACAAAATATAGAAAGATGATTATCAATACAACGACAATGAATATGGACTTAGAAATGCTAAAATTACTATTATTTATTTCCGTATAGCGAGTTCAGCTGGCAGAATTTTTCATAATCTCTCTCGATCATTTATATCTCAAGTGGATTAATTTGCAGGTCGTCGATATTACAGATTAACTACATGTCAAAATATTGAAAATAAACTACGCAAACCAGTCAATTTGTCCTGGTTTATATAAATTAACTTTCAATCTCAAACAAAGAGAATCGTTTTTCGCATCTTTAGTTTTTCAGTTAGCTATTGATATTGTGTTTGAGTAATACCTTATGATAAGTTTCGTCAAAGCTCACTCAGCCAGTGATTTTTCGAAGCTTTAACCTAGAATATCATAGATATTAAGAACATGACATTAGATCAGTTTTCACTAATTTTACTCTGACAACTATCATATCGCTCACAGGTATTTATCTTGCACCTGCCATTTAGTTAATAGGATACGGTAATAGACTTCATACTCTTTGTACCTTATGTACGACTGTATTGATTTTGAATTTAATCCTCCAAGACAATTAAAATTTTTCAGAAATATATAAGAACTACTACTTAAGTTTGAAATTATAATTACAAGTAAATTAATCACCGAGTAAACAATTTCTGATTACAAACTTCTATCTTCTTTCAGTACACTGTCCAGTAATTAGCACCAACAACTCCTATTTATAAGTTGTAATAAAATTAATTTATTTGATGATACGTTGTGTTTGCAATGTAAATACAGTTGAATCTTGCTAAACATCTAAACGAAAGCATGCTGGTTGAAACATTTTCCGACTAGAACATGAACAGTAGGAATAGAAATAAGACGTGGAATGTATAATATTACTTTAGGAACCGTGTAAAATGTCATACGTCTTAACAAAATGAAATTTCATTACCACGGGTTCAACAGGTCACGCAATAGTTTTAACTTAAAGCAATATATAATTTCATTACTTAATAAAATAAATATTTAACGTTCAAACATGTTTAGATCTACACTTTTCTCTTTCAATGTGATGAGCTAAAAGCTCAGAAATATTCAAATAATCAAAGTATATACAGTGGTATTAGTTTGGTATCATATTTAACGTATAGTTATGAAACTTGGCTTGACCGTTTTTCAAAGTCAAGAGTACGGCATATTATTGAATAACACCGTTAAAATGAACAAAAATATTTACCAAATTCACGCTTTACAAGACAATTAAATTCATATTACTAACAAGCCTTTGGCAACAAAAGCACAATTATATAAAATTATCAGAAATCCACAAATTCGAGGGTTTAAATATTTCATTAATTACGTAGGAAGCATAAATGTGTGTGGAAAAAACATTTCGAAAGTGTGTGAAATACGAAAACTTACTCCCAGTTTTCAAGTGGTTTGAATATAGCTAACAATAACATTAAATTGACTACGGTTTTAAAAATTTCTCCGATTATAGATGATAGAAAAAATTTTGGTTGTTGAAAAGTGCTCAAAAGACATCACATTTTGATGGAGATAACTGACCAATAAGTCAAACAAACATCTGCAGTAATTCTTCAGGACATTATCATACTATGTTCATGCCTACATTAAAATGTTGAGTTACGATAACCCAATAATTAATTTATGAAACCTCTTAAACGAAGTGAGCACAGAATATGTGTGCAAAAACAAACAAAAATATTGCAGACTACTGATTTGGATTTTCCCGTAATAATTATTAAGGTATTACAATTAAAAAACAAACCTGCTAATAATAAGTGGATCTACAGAAAGTAAATTGCAAAACGCAAGCTCTACTCCATCTGCTTCATTTGGAACAAATTATAAATGCGACTGTATAGGTTGTATCTTGAGCAATTCATTTAATTTACTTAAACAAAACACCAGTAAAAAATCTTTTAAACTTCAGGTACGAAATATTTTTATTGTTAGCATTTTGTTTACAGTTTCAAAAGGAACGGTCATTGAATTCACGGCTAATTTTAGGTGGATTTCTCTCCGTCGTACAACATATGTGAATAACATTCCTCGTCTCCTATCAACATCGGTTTTGTTATATTCTGACGATCTCAAGGTACGGAGACGACATAAAGTAAAGGTGGTGGCCAAGAGCCTAAAGATGACATGGAGAAATTTTTGAATGATCTCGAACTTGGCAATTGCTGATATAGGTATAGATTCATGCACAATGAATGACAGTGAGCTACTCATTGTCCAGACACACAATGAGTTGAGATGCATCGTTATACAAGAACAAAAGGCTACTGCACGCTGTCATGTGGTAACCGTTAAAGGTTTGGAACCCTATGGCCAATTCGTTGGGTCTTTAGCTATATCTATGCTAAAACGTTTTGCCTGTGTATGAAGTAGTCGTGCGTCCCGAACTTGGGCACTGCAAATAAGCAGCTATCCCCTCCTTTAAAAAATGACAGTGAGCTTTTAGAAGAGGCTTAAAGGACCTAAAACCACGCTGATTTTGCAAATAGTAAAGCTCCCGTATGACGCTCGATGAGCTAAACCAAAAATAATCCCATCGTTATGTCGGAGAACTAGGAGTGACCTGATTACAATTTTCAAATTATTTAGTGACAAAATTGCATCTGACATGCCCTCAATTTTCTTGTCTTCCAAGACAGAAAATTTACGAGAACACTAACAGATGGTTCAAAATCCCAAAACAAACTAATTATCACCTGACTATTGACTTTCCTTAAGAAACATGAACGAATGTAATTCATTACCTCGTAGTGATCTTTTTTATCAGGGGACCATGATTGGTTAAATGGAAACAATTATTATCATAACCAATTGTACCGTGGATTGTTTTACTGTATTTGTTTGTTTAGCTGTACCAAAACGCATGTATTCGTCGTTTATTGTGACCTTGCACGAATTCAGTAACCACATTTGTAACTTGGCACGATCTCGGTATTCTTTCGGTGTCACAAGATCACCAACAAATACATCTCGACTACAGCCAACAACTGCGTTCTGGTATTTGGCTTACGGGAAATCTTATCGGTTAACTGACACGTAGTCTTCCTGTAGTGGTGATCATATTCAACTACAAACTCGCCATGTGGTTGAAGCTCCATCTCTCGTCATTATTAAAAGAAAGCTGGATCAACTGAGAGACCTTTTTTACCAGGACCGACATAGGACACGAAGTCTCCTGTCCGTTCGAAATCGGACCTGCAGGTTTATATTTTAGTAATTGCGCCATTATTTTATCTGCACCTTTGGCACAGGAGATCGGAATCTCGTCTTTATAAAAGTTATTTTCTAGTTAAGACTATTTCCTCAATATTATTGGGGGAGAAAATGTAGTGTAACAAAATATTACTCTGAAATATTCTATCAAAATCTGTAGCTGAATTTTGTTTCCATGTACCACACATCAAAACTATACACAGACATACGTAAAACTATTTGATTTCCACAACAAAAACTCATACTTACTATGGTTAGAATCAGATACGTTGTGGACAAATGCACCTAGCCAGCGTTTAATAAATATATTTAACCAAAATTTCAACAAAATATGCTGTAATATTTACATGTATATATTAAATAAATAGCGCAAGAATTGATACAAAACCCCCTGACTAACAGACGACAGGTTTAAGTGATTTCGACCTAATGTTCCATTTACTCTAACATTATGAGTTCAAATCTGAATACATTCGTGACTCATGACCCTAAACTTTTAGCTTTAAGAACTTAAGTCCAACTAATACAATGGACTTCACCTGCAGCATAAGGTTCATTTAGAGAACTCCAGAAAAACCAGTCAAAGTATGATTGAAAAATACCAATCTCACGAAAAGACAACTTTGGCTAAGGGTCTCTTACTCGCAAAATGAGCAGGTACAACTGTTTTGGTACCTACCGCCCTCTTAAAACTGATGAACATATACAAATTTGCATGTAATTTTCGAAATCATCTACTCTGTCACGATGAAGAAATTATTCCATGAAATCAATTCAGCGTACAACGAAATATATGGAAGCTTTTGCCTCCTCAACATTTCAAAATTAATTGTTTGACAAGGTAATAATATAAGTACTAGTGCATTTAATGTAGGAGATTTTTCACATATGTTCCAAACATATTTTAGTAGACAATATAACAAAGGAGACATACTCAACGTTGCAACATCAACTTAATGTATAATAGGCCAGAGCAGCGGTCATGTTTACATTCATGTAGTCAATGAATTTGTTAAATTACGGTGTAATTTTTACTAAAAGGCTAGATTCTTCTTTGAACTCTGATATGGCTGTAATTTATGTTCAACATATCAGTTTGTGTTATGCCGGACATGTGCAGTACATTCAAGAATGATATCGCAAGTTACGGGAAGCTTAATAATAGTCATGCCTGTTTTTAAGTAGGCCATCAGTGAATATTGGTACTGGAGAAATGTTTGAGGCCAAGTTTATTTCCTGTAGTTGTGCTGTAAACTATGTTTTGATGACCTGACGACTGTAATCCTCAGTTCTCTGTTAGGTAAGTTCAACTGGACTGTAGTTTGTCGTTTTTGGTCTATAGGCCTAATTATTCATAATTGACTACTTTACGTAACATATCTGCTCAGATAAAACGAAGATTATGTCACGTATTTAGTCTAGTATATTTAGTTGCTGTACAAATGCGTTCAGTCAACATAATAGTTGTACCTAAAGGAAGTGTTGATGTATATTAGTGGATAAACAGAATCGCTTAGTTTTTCATTTTCATTTTTGTCTTCGGCACAGAAACCAGAAAACGTTCAGTATAAGATTTTGTAGTTTCAGAAGAAGAATGTTCAAAGTCTTGATTAGATGCAAGTGGTTGTGAATCAAAATTGAAGTCCGTTTAAACACTGACACCGTTTTTTATCAGACAGTGCATCTCCTTGTATGTGATCCAACAAAACGAAACGCATATACATTAGAATGCATGAACGGAAGCAAGAGAAAAAATCTGTATATCACAATATTTAGCACATACTATGCTATGCACAGGTTGAAAGAGATGACCTAATGTTTAATTATTATTCATGAAGATGCTATTAAACCACAATTCCACAAATACTTCTTTGCTTAAGGGTGTGTAGTTTGTTTATCCACTTATTTCACGCACATTTGTATGTGTAGAGTTATGGTCTACTATGATATTAGTACTGCTCTAATAATAAACCTAATCCTAAAATTGTAGATTTGTCATGATGCAACTGCCTAATCTTAAAGATCTTACGTGGAATCCACATCACTGTACACACCAACACACTACATCGTAACAATTACCAATACATGATAGAGAACCAACTTAAACCGGAGAAAGAACGATGCATTTTATACGAATAAAATATATAAGGTAACATTCAGCAGGGAACACCGTTTCATGGCCAAGCCATCCTATTCGATCAACTCCAATTAATTCAAATCCTTGTTCTTGCCTTCTCCATCGTTAGGTATTTCTTCGCGTTAAATATTGAGTATCTGTTTTCCGAGTAGTCTCGTGTTCAGCTTTGAGGATTGTGTGGTTAGGGTCCAATACCACTACATATGTACACTGATCTATTTTGTTTATACAACGACAGTGACAAAAACTTATTCAAATATTATAGTCTGGTAATTTAATATTTCAAACCAAAGCTAATATTATAAGAAAAAATAGATTGTGACCAGCAGTGCAATCCTTAGTGAAGACCGTACCTATAGTACGGTCCCCAATGTCCACTTAAGTCTCACAACCACCTCCACTATACTTTTGTTACCTGTTCAAACCTTTAAAATACACATACTACAGCCTAACGATATACATGTGAAAGTTGTAAGTTGAAAAGTGATGTTGCTGTTTGTTTGATATTCATTATTAACAAAGTAATTCCCAATAGTCCTTCAATTTTGTCATATTATGACTTACCAAGTAAATTGTTGTGGCTTCTTGTCATCTAGTTGACGTGCAATAAGAAGCATTTGAAAGTACTAAAGTACACATATTTTCTTTCACGAAGAGCCTACATACCCTGACCTGTGCACAAATTACCTAAAGAAATAGGGATTACAACCAATTTCAGCTATTATGACGAGCCAAACTAGTCGATGGATGAACATGATTAATATATGTACAATCTCCGCGACTTACCTCATAACTGCTTAATCGAATTCTTTATAACATATGAGCAATGTTTCTAATCCACCGATGAAATACTAGTAATATAGGGGCATCTTATATGGTACAGTACAATGGTCTACCGGCTCGCTAAAGCCTCTTGGTAAACATACGACGACAGTCACGTTAAATATGTCACAAACCCCGTCATTGCCTTTGTAGCAAACAAGTATGTGTTCAATTAATACAACATAATGCTTTTATTTTCCAAAACTAGGACAATATAACAGTCAAAAAGTTCAAGTAAAATGGCAATATACAGTAAAGTGCGACTTGTTTTCATCGATTACCGAAAATGAAGAATAGGAATATTCGCTAATCAGGTGCAGTCAGTAAAAATTAAATGTCAATTTTGAAAAATAACGTGGATCTAATGTGGGATAAACAGTTAGACTGTTATGATGAACGTAATGAAAATCGACAGTGTTCCGGGACACACGAACCACTGCAAGAACGCCATCCTAAAATAATTCTAATAAGAAAGCTGAAGTCTATAAGCTTTTATACATTAAATCCTTACCGTAACATACAAACACTTTCACAATACTACGTAAGGTTAAAAGCACATCTCTGAAACTCCCACAGCCTAACAAACTGCTGACCCATCAGTAAAACTTGCGTTTGAAAATGTTCCAAATTACTGACTTGGTGAACGTCAATGGTTTTTCCGAAATTCCGTTTGAGATATTAAACAGTCAGACCATTGAACTGCCAAAATACAGTCCAGAGTTGAATATTTTCTATCGTAGTATGATGGTATGGTCTTTTATGCTAGATGGAAGTTGTGTTGCAACATAACTTATATGATCTGTCGTCGTTGGTATATCACCTGATAATCGTTCAGGCTGAGTAACACGAACGTAATATCAACAATATCTTTCTTCTACACCATACTGTGAGAACGATTTGTACGAAAATGAAAGTAATGGAACGATGAAACTGTTGTGGGTGGTTGACAAATGTCCAAGTTGTACGACATGCATTCCGCAAGTTCGTGTATGTTAAACTCGACTTATGTCGGTTGAATTGTTCACTATCTTCTGAATACTTCTATGGCTTAGAAGTGATAATACTTGGTGGATTATAAAGTAGTTTATTTGTTTGATTCTATCACTTTTGGCCATACATTAAATACATAATGAATTGTCGTTATGCTTATTTGTCAACTCACCATTTGAAACATTTAGTGATTCTATCTAAGTATTTGATAAAATTATAGAATAATATCGAATCTGGCAACAGAAGTTACATAAAACTTTATGAACTGTAAGGTATACCTAATTTGACTTCGGTCAAAATTTAATCACTCATCAGTGATCATTCAAGTATTTATTTGGTGTAGTTATTCCAATTCTTTTCCAATATTCTCGTAAAATATCGTGCATATGCTTTCTATAGTTGTTGTAATCAGTGATATAACATTTCCACGTTTGCGAGTTTTCATTATTTGTTTGCATTTTTCGATTTAGCATGAAAGACAATAACCCTCAAGTTTTTGGCGTCTTAATAATGACTTCGTAGTAATGATGTTTTTTGGCTGATTTGATATCCACGACTTGCTTGTTGAGATATATATTAGTAACTTCAATACGTTTTGGAACACTCATAAGAAATATAAGTAAAGCGTACCATGAAGATAAAACATAATATTAATTCACTCACTGTATTTGTTCGATATTCTACTGATCAGGAACTTGAAAGGAATAACAAAAGGTCGATGGCTTCGGACTTTGGAATGAATGGCAAATAGGTATTTGTTACATAAAATGGTTCAAATGGTTGTGGACGGAATAGAAGAAGCTTTCGCTTAACAGGCTTCCGTGTCTAGTAGCAGGGACCACCAAATCCTCCAGGCAGGAACCTAGGTATGTTAACAATAAAAGAGGAAAAGAAATTGGTAAATCATAGTATGATGCTGTCCTTGGTCCTTAAGAATAGGTCAAGTTGCCTCTTGAAGGACTCCTGAGAAGTCGCTTGGACTAGCTCGGTCGGCAGCGAATTCCAGATTTGACAACTCTAAGGAGTACAAGTTATGTCTACATTCCGCTTTGCTACGTTGTGTCTCCAGTTTCTGGGTATTACCCCTTAGGTTATTGTTCGAACTAAGCTTAAGTAGGTGTTTAAGAGGATGTCCAGAAGTGTTAAGAATACTATAAGCCATTAATAAATCACCTCTAAGACGCCTATATTCTAATGGGTAAAGGTCTAGTGAACGGAGGCGTTCTTCGTAAGGCTTAGATTTGAGTCCTCGAACTGATTTCGTGGCTCGCCGCTGGATACGCTCCAAAGTGACCTTGTCCTTTTGGAGTGAGGTAGGAAATACTATGTTTCCGTACTTTAAATGGGGACGAATAAAACTATTGAAGATTATGTGGAAAGTTCTTCGGATAAACTGGCCAAAAATGCGCTTCAATGATACCAGTGCAAGGTTTGCTCGGAAGGCATTTTTGTCACAGTTAGCGTAAGACTTAAAATCATGGGGCACCAGGACTCCTAAATCTTTTTTGACTTGGGATACTACTAGAGAGGAGTTTCCTAAGTTGCAACTGTAGTTTACGACATGTCGCAGATGGACTACTTTACACTTTGAAGTGCTAAAGGTAAGTCCGTTATCGTCTGCCCAACTTTGAAGTCGAGTCAGATCCTCCTGGAGTGCCTGTATATCGTCTTGGTTGCGTATCTCTCTCCAAAGTTTCACGTTGTTGGAATAATTCCTGTCAAAACGATCAGGAGAGAAGATCAGTATCTCTGAAAGACAGAATAACGTAAAATTAAAATATATCAACTACCTGTACACTGGAGATGTATCTGCAGTTTCCACGTCTGAATGTTTGACTTCATTTAATTTAATTCATTAAAATTAACAACCTCCAAATCAAAAATAAGGTACCTACTAGGATACCTTAACATTATTTACGGCTAAAACCTTCAGGCTTTTATTGTGTTGTCTTAATTTTTCAGTAAGCTACCAAATGTACATGAACAGCGAAAGTGCGGCTGTTCCTGGCCCTTTTATTTCTTGTAAAATTTAACTATTTTAGTGCCTTAGCCATTTATAATTAACTTGCTTAGTGAGATGTTCAAGCCAGAAAACCTCATCCACAGTGCGCATAGTCAAAGAAGGTACTGCGATTAAGGTATTTTGGAAAATAACCGACTTTCACGTTTTCGTATATGGTAATACTCTTTTTTCTATAATGGATGAATGTTTCAGATTTGCTAGCTTACATGTATAAACAGCGTACAAATTTCTCTCCTTTACTCTTCCTTTAACGTGGGGCAAAAAATTTTAAATACCGGCTATATGTATGAATATTTTGCGAATTTACTTACACATAAATCCGGACATGTTATACATACTTTTTATTTGCCTCAATCGTGAAGTATGATACAAAAAGATGGGTTTTAAGTATCCTGCCGTTTTTAATATACAAAGTGTGCGACAGTTTACAGGAAGCATTTATGTCTGGTAAAGTCGACAACCTCCTTTTTAGGTTCTATAACGCATACTGTACAAGAGATCAGGATACGGAAGCATTTGACCTAACGGAGATCGGTATTAAAACTTGTAATCTTAAAGTAGGTAATAAGCATCATTCTCCAGCTAAAATTATGTCGCCCGTTTTGTTTAATCAAAGTATAAGTATCTTTGGCTAGCAAATAGCAAACAGATTTGATTGTGATCGATCAATTTTAAGCAATAACATTTATTACAACAAGATAATGTGTCGTATAAAAGTTCTAATACCACCCGAAGTAATTTGCTGAACAAGTTTAGAAGTAAGTTCTGCCTGTAATGTGAACAACCAAAAGATATTATTGTCTGGCTATTTTTACTGTTCATATTAACATGATACACAAAAAAGTTTTTGACAGTTTGACAAATTAAATTCCCACAGTTTGTTGTGTTTCAAAATCTCGAAACCCTATAAATAAGACGAAACGTTCATACCTTTTTATCATTAGTTGTTCATTCAAATGTAGCGTTACGGATGAAAGATACCTAGTATGATGTAATTTTTAATTTGCGAGACTTAAACTACAATTATAGATGCTTTAAAGTGCCGGTGAATGAAATCACCCAACCTCAACGTTGATCCTGATTGTACGCAAATATTTTTTTCGTTAATTGCAATTATATGTTCACCTATCAATAGAAACACAACGCTTTTATTATAAAAAACCTTTCCACCTTAAATCAATATTCTGCAAAGTATTCTTAGTTGTGGCTCAATCTATCCGGTATTTTCGGATGTCTCCAATACACATAAAATTCATTAAATAGTTGCCACATTTAGAATCTTTCTAAGCTATTGACAAGCTATTAAAAAATTTATATCACTTACCATTATGTATACGTAGTTTCATAGACAACTAAGTTACAGAAAAAAGTAACTTTTGATTAAATAGAACTTATTTACTTGATGAAGTCACCAAAATATTCTGAGCGTTATATGGAGATTTAGTTGAAAAAAGAAATATTAACATGCAACCTAACAGAAATACGCTAGTCAAGACATTTTTAGTTACTACTATGCATCAAAATATTTGGGATAGTATAAACAAAACTTGTGAAATAACGGTAAGTACGATGAGCAAACATATCATAAATAAATGAATATTAAATTATTGTAGAATTAGGATGGCACCACCAAATGGCTAGCAGTAAAGTAGATTTTAATGTGTATAAAATCCTGGTTGTCAATCATGCTGGAAAATGAGCTTTTTAATTCCACAGAATCTGCTTTTCTGGAAGATGGGACTAAAAATTAATATTCCGTGCTTTAAAAATATCACTGTTCGTGCTCCTCGATCTTCATTCCCCTGGTGTAAAGACCAATATGGAGGAAAAAGAACCTCCGCCCATTCGGCAGACAATAATATTGACCGTGATTATCAAAACCACGTTGCAGATGAACTTATAGAATGTAAAAAAGAAAACAGTCAATCTCTCGTAATCGATGGACATGACAACAAAAACGGCCCTCCTGAAAATATGAATTCAAGTTACTGTTGTGAAAATATGTAAGTGTTTTGTATGAAATCGGAATATATTTTCGTGTATCTTCCTTTTGGATAGATTACCAAAGCTAAGTTATTTTTTGTATTGATGGTTCACTAACGAGCTTTTGGTAACGGAAAGACTGACTCAAACAATGGCTCAGTTTACGGAAATATTCATAGGTCCCCAACAAATCATTTTGTCTGTTTCTACAGAGTTTATTTCATTCAACCTGGATATTCCAAAAGTTATGTTAGTAACATTTAAACGACAGTGCAGCTGAAACTAGACACTACCTAATATTGCCAAATAAACGAAATAGTTAAGAAACTGAGGTAATTGTCAGCATATCCTGTGATTTTGCAGTCAATCTGTAGTTTCACATCGTTCATAGATACACGTTTCAAATAAAGTGAACGCGTGAAAAAACCCATTGATGCTCGTCAGAAACGCTATAAATGGCCACACGCTTTCTCATTTTGAACAAACCTCTGTCAATCATATTCAAGATGTGGATAGTAGCTTACATGATAATTCACTATAGTTGATTCTGAACTGTCCATTTTTATTCTGATGCTGGATGAACCAGAAACTGCAATAAGTCCTAAGCTCAAAATATAAGTTAGGTGTTTTTTCAACAGGTTTAAAAAAATTTGTGCAATAATGGCATATTTTTGAGCGCTTAGTTGTGTTTTTTATGTAGGCCTTTAAAACCGAGCACTTATAAAACCAATGACCTCAAAAGTTTTGGTAAAATTCTACCAAAATATACCTTCAAAATCAATTCAGTGATGATAACAGTGGAACACTTTTGTGAAGTTCATAAATACATAAAGATTTCTTAGAATATCAGTTATTAAATCCTAACATATTTTGATCACTCGTAATAAATTATTCAATTTTGTTGGGTATTCTCTTATATAATAGAATATAAAACGTTTTGTTTCTCAGTACAAAGATACGTTCACTTGAGTAACCTATCACAAACTGTGGATGATTACTTACTTACCTACTTACGCCTGTTACTCCTAATGCAGCGTAGACCACTGACCAGCATTCTCCAACCCACTCTGTCCTGGGCCTTTTTTCCAGTTCTATCCAATTCTTGTTCATTTTTCTCATGTCTATTTCTATTTCCCGGCGTAATGTGTTCATTGGCCTTCCTCTCCACCTTTGGCCTTGAGGATTCTCGGTATTGAGAGAAGAGAGTGATGTCCCTGTATTTATCACAGTTGCTGAGATCGCCTTTCTTTGGTATTTTGATCAGAAGTCCTTCTTTCCAGTCTGTTGGTACTTGTTCCTCATCCCAAATCTTATTGAAGAGAATGTGGAGTATCCTTGCAGTTACCGCTACGCCTACTCTTATTGCCTCTGCTGGAATATTGTCTGATCCTGCTGCTTTAACAATCTTGATTTGTCTGATGGCCATGCTGATTTCTTCAATTGTTGGTGACCAACATCGATTGGGAGGTCCGTGGATGCTGCTTCGATGTTGGGTGGATTCAGTGGAGCTGGTCGATTCAAGAGTTCTTTGGAGTGTTCTACCCACCTGTCTCGTTGTTCTTCAATGTTGGTGATTACCTCGCCTTCCTTGCTTTTCACTGGTCGTTCTGGTTTGCGGCGATTTCCAGAGAGTTTCTTTGTCGTGTCATACAGTTGTCTCATGTTTCCTTCTCTTGCAGCCTTTTCCGCCGTCGTTGATAAATCTTTCACATACTTACGTTTATCGGTTCTGATGCTCCTCCTCACTTGTTTGTTTACTTCTGTGTATTCAGCTTGTGCCTTGGCTTTTTCTGCTCTTGTTCGACTGGTATTGATTGCTGCCCTACTTGTTCCTCCTTTCTTGAATCTTATCCAGCGTATCAACAGTGATCCATACCTTGTGGTTGTGCTTCTTGTGGCCCAGAACCTCATGACATGTTGAAGTGATTGCTTCTTTGATTCCTTTCCAGTTGTTCTCTATAGTAGTTCGTTCTCCATTGAGCAGATCATGAAAGGCCTGGAATTTAATGCTGAGGTTTACCTTGGATTTGTTGAGTTTGTCAGTATCCTGAAGAAAGGCCGTATTGAACTTTTGTGCTGTTGTTCGCCCCATTGTCCAGTGCTTCTTGAGTTTCAATTTCATCTTGGCGACCAGCAAGTGATGATCTGATGCTATATCAGCTCCTCTCTTGGTTCTCACATCCTCCATCGTCCTCCTGAACGTTTTGTTGATGCAGATATGGTCGATTTAATTTTGCGTGGTGTGATCCGGTGAAGTCCATGTGGTTTTGCGAATGCGTTTATGTGGGAGTATAGTACCGCCAATGACCAGTTTATTGAAGGCACATAGGTTTGCAAATCTCTCACCATTTTCGTTCCTTTCTCCCATTCCGTGTCGTCCCATGATGTCTTTATACCCATCGTTGTCCATTCCAACCTTGGCATTGAAATCTCCCATCAGAATAGTCAGGTCCTTTGTTGGGCACTTCTCTACGATTGACTGCAGCCTATCGTGAAATTGATCTTTATCGTCTTCATTGTAGTCGTTGGTGGGCTCATAGCATTGGATGATGTTCATTGAAATGCCCTCTTTCTTTGTTTTGAAGGAGGCCCTGATGATCCTTGGTCCATGAGATTTCCATCCTATAAGTGCATTTTGTGCTTGTTTGGACAGCATCAATGCAACTCCTTGTGTGTGTGGGGCATTTTCTTCTTCATGGCCGGAGTATAACAGAAACTCTCCTGAAGTTAGTCGTTGTTGTCCAACTTGTGTCCAATGTGTTTCACTGATCCCAAGTACCTCTAGGTTGTATCTCCTCGGTTCTGCAGCAATTTGGAAGGCTCTCCCGGTGTCCCACATTGTACGAGCATTCCATGTACCTAAATAAATGGTTGCTATGGTTGTCTGACAACGAATGATTAGTAGGTGTCATTACCAAGGTTTGATTTGATAATTCGAATAAATTGAGCATTGGGTTGATTGTTATAAATAAAAATAATATATTTGTAATATCCCAATGAGTAGAAAATTGGATTTTCGACGTTTCGTGGCTTAGTGTAAGTCACTTCTTCAGAGAATAAATAACCAAATTAAATTAATCCAACTAAGCCACGAAACGTCAGAAAAATCCAATTTTCTACTCATTGGGATATTACAAATATATTATTTTTATTTATTGTGAATGATTAGGTTTACAAGTTTTATTTAAACAGCTCTGAGGAGTAACCGAGGGAAGAGAAAATTTTATTTCACATAATTCCATGCAGTTTAATGGTTGAAATATTGAAAGTAATACGTACGGTTACGTACATTATTACAAGTTAGACAAAATAAACAGGCTTATTGAAATGATTCACGACTGATATTTGGTTTTCGTATGGAACAAATTGATTGCACTACAATGTTCATCGCTTTGGTCAATTATATTGCCTTCAAAAGTCAGATAACTACTGTTCGCTAGTCAATTTCGTTGAATGACCATTTCCTATTGAGTCAGTTGAGTCCAGATTGAGGATAAATTTCTCCACAAAACAATGGAATCTAGTTAGGGAATTATATAAAGCAAAGCAAGTCAGACAAAAGTATTGTTGATCTGAAGGTTTATTGGTTTAATTACAAACTGTACAGTTTTGAAAATTTTAAACACCTTTCTGGTTAATCCTATCCTGAATTAAAGACTTTATTTATCTATTCAAATAACTATTTACGAAAAATCACCTTACTGAAAAGTAAAGGCACTAGAAGCACTGATGGGTTAAACCACTTTCACCCTTAACCATTTGTAAAACAATTGTTGGAATCCTAAATAGATTTTTGCGATACTCGTAAGATCTGTGGCATATAAATTGTCATTGGTTGGTCAAACAATCATCTGTACTGACCTATTATCCGTATTGATTACCTAACGTATAAAAGTGTCATGCACATATTTTCTCGAAGTCCTGAACCGTTCAATTAACCGTCATCGAGATACAATATCAAAAAGATGAATATTCTGTAGCGATGATATGCCTTAACGTGGAAATATGTTTTATTTTTCTCCCAGTCCATATATGTTCAAGAGTGAATTTAGAAACAGAACATAGTACCAATATAATTAGTATCGCAAGATGATAATTATTTTTCAATAAAATATTTTCGAGATGCAGTGATCTCTATAAAGTTAAATTATCTCCAAAATCCATATTGAAAATGTAATTACCAGAATAATTGACATTAACAGTCCATGTGTTGAATTTAAAACAGTAGCTATTTCAGTAACACTCCAAATGACTTATGATAGGCTTCGAAAGTTTGTCAATTAATTAAAATGAGGGATGTAGGGTTGAACATGAAATATCAGAAAGAGAGAAAAGTACTTTTCCAAATAATTCGTGAATTCCACTTATAATACATAAACAATTCTACTTGGCTTTAAAATGGTATGGTTTTAAAAAAAGAAGCCCTTTGTAAAGCTCTATATTTCATTCTTCTATCAAATTAAAAATTTCGAACAAATCATAACAACAATTTAGTAGATCAGTCTTCTAATGTTATGCTTTGAAAAGTACAAATACAATAATAGCTGTGACTTTTTAAGTCTTCAAAAACACTAAAACTTACGAAATCTCAAAATTATAAAATGTTCTTTGTAATTCACGGAAACGATTCGCAATGAAATAACGACAAGTAATTTTTTCGACATCACTGTGATGTTACATCCCAGAGTTAGACGTTAAACCCTTTCTTCACCTTTTATCTGATATCAAACGCACCCCAAACAGGGTTATAGCTGTTCTGGGAGCCTAATTAAATACTACTACAACGGTGATACGTATTTGTTTTCTGATCTTACAAACTCGCTTAACACCTAAGTAGTGCATTCTCAACGGTTTTCCGTCAAAACTTATATTTACTTCCGATTGTGTTGTATTTTGATAATCCTACAAGAACAGTATTCCTGTGCTATACTTTATGAATCATGGCTCCGAAACTGATGTAAAATTTTATCATAAGCAGATATTATTATTTTAGTAACTAGCCATTCATTTCTCCCTATTACTGAGAATTAAAAAAGTATACCCGTTTTCATTTATGATTGTAGAGCATAAAATCATAATAATCGAACAATCAATAATTCCTTAAAATTTATATTATCCAATCATCTGTTGATACTGGCTTTTAAAAATATTTTCCCTTCTAGTGCAAAACCGAACTTTTCTTCAACTTTATTAAGCAGTGAATAATTCTCAATTAGCTATACATTAATTAATTGACCTAAATAGTCAAATCAATGATGGATTTCATGATATAATATAAAACTATTTCTTAAAATCATTCAAATTTAAAACAAAATCGTAACATACTGTGAAATTTTTGTCTTACTGCAAGGAATAATGATAAATAGTCAGGTAGCTAAAATAAATCTAGATTTATTGATTTTTTCCATCTGATGACCGATTATGTTTAAATTTAAAATATCAAGTTATTGGGTTATATAGAACTCTACAGGTATATAGAGTGTTATCATAGTCTGGAAGAGGAATTACATCAGAGATTCATAGGGTTCTCTTGTTTTATGGTTCATTCGTTACGCTAACTGATTTTTATCTTCTCTCAAAACATTCGTCGGTTTTCTCATCGACTAATTGTACTAATTAAGAAGTTTTTCCACATTTCAGTCTTTTTTCAACTATGTAACACAGTTATTTACATCTACTTCATCGCTTTTAGTAATGAATAGCTGGTGCGTTGACTATACGATACGCATGATTTTACATTTTCGTGACGAACCTTTCTAGTCAACCGCCTTTTGAAAGTAATTATAAAAAGGTTTAAAACTAATCACAATATTCACAAAAAGTTATCTATTATTTAGAAATGATAAACTTAACTTTTCGTTCATATTTCATACCATACCACAGTCTTAGAATTTATAAAGCACAGTTAGCTCCATGATTTTCATAACTCTTTTGGATCTTTTATATAAAGTGTGTGAATCAAAATAATGTAAACTTTTACATAATACTAACCAGAATTCCTGCCCCGGAGGCAAAAGTACACTGGGGAAAAAATAAAGTCAACTATTGTAAGTATTAATGCTAAAGTTGAACTTGATAGATTAAAATAGATTGAGGATTGAGTAGAAAGTTAATAATAAATATATATTTTGTTATTTTCCGTTGAGAATAAAATTATATTTCTGACGTTTTGTGACGTAACATAAGTTCATTCTTCATTGTTAATAAATAACCGACATAAAATTAACACGAGTTTAAATAGTATTCTGAAGAATGGATTTACTTTAGGTCACGAAACATCGGAAATACAACTTTCTACTCCTTGGGATATCACGAAAAAAAATTCGTGTATGTTTATTATTAAAGTCAACCAATGATCAAGGAAATTTACAAACGTTAATTCATTTTGTAATCTGAAGTCAAATTACAGTTTCAGCCAGTTAGATTGGATTCAAAACATCAGTATAACGTTTAATCTATCAAATAGTCAGTTAAGTGTACAGTTTCATGAGAGTTATTGTAGTAGTACTATTGATATCAAAGCAGTGATAAGTAGTATAATAATTTATTGGGGATTGCTCAATTTTTAGGTCATTTTTCTTTTATCAAAACTAATGGCAAATTTTACAATTAATGTGAATATGGTTGAAAATACTAATCGCCTTAACCGTCCTAAGCCTTATTAGAGAATAAAGTTTGTACTTAGATTGGTACGCTCCTGAAACAGACTGAAAAAGACCATGCTCTGTCACATTCCTTATTCAAAAAGTACTTTTTAACCTTTTTTTATTTTCCCAGATGTCCGACAATGAATGATGAAACAGGTAATTATTGCTGCCTTTTCATTGATTTATTATATTTAAATAACAGTTTTATTAAACTCGGTTTCTGATAGTGACTCATCACGTACATGAATACAATATAATTTACAAGGATCTGTTTAATTAAATTGTTAAAATTTATTTGTAGTTGTACCACAAACAATAAAGTCAGTCAGTCAGTCAGCTACAACGTAGGACCAGGCACATGTATGCATCGGCCCAGGTTGCCATACCTCATTAGCACAGCAAGATGAACACTGGATTCATAGGAGTGGTTAGGTCAAAGGTGGTAATATATAGGAGAAAGATTGCAATAAGGATATAGTATAGGAAGAAAGAATTAGTTCGTAGAAAGAAAGATGTGAAGTGATCTTAATCTCTTAGTTTAAGAGAAGACAGAGAGTGTATACACCGACGCCATTGTGATCGATTCTGAGCCATGTCACCAAGGGTCTCCAACCATTGGTTACGAAAGTCACGCGGACCCCAACCAAGTAGTCTGCATCTACCAACATGGCTCAGACTAGAAGTTAGTGACTTCAGGCACTGATGCCACGTTTTGGTTTGGCCGCCCCTAACTTTCTTCCAACCATCCCCTACACCGGTTAGCATTGCACGTCGCGGTAATCGGTGTTCAGGCATACGTAATACGTGGCCCAACCATCTCAGTCGATGAAGATTCATAACCTCATCAACTGATTTACCATCATTCCCTAATACCCTGCGTCTAACCTCACTATTACTTACCCGGTGATCCCAGCAGATGCCAGCAATATTTCTAAGGCATCTGTGGTCAAATACTAGTAGCTTACGGGTGTCTTCTACTCTTAAGGGCCATGTTTCGCTGCCGTAAATTAAAACAGAACGGACAGCCGCGCAGTATACTCGTCCTTTTATTGATAGACGGATATCTCGCCTCCGCCAAAGGTGACGTAAGTTGGCAAAAGCCAAACGAGCTTTACGAATCCGTGCTGAGATTTCGTCAGACACCAACCCATTAGGGCTGATCAGACTTCCAAGATAAGTGAAGTTGTCAACACGTTCGACTACTTCACTCCCTATCCTTAGTTCAGGTGTTGACGCAGACCAGTCCTGAAGCAACAACTTGCATTTAGAGGGAGAGAAGCGCATCCCAAACATTCTGGCATTGTTGCTTAGTGCTACCAGAAGACTCTGCATTTTGTCAGCGTCTTCACCAAACAGGACTATGTCATCTGCATATTCTAAGTCGATAAGTGGACCTCCTGGAAGGAGATCAATACCCGAGAATTCAGTCGACGAGAGTCAAGGTATTTATACATCTACACTCAAAGTTAGGAAGAATAATGTGAGAAACAGTATCAGAACTGGTACTCACAGTGTAACTGGTTGACATTACTAAATCTGGATGCTTTCATAAAATGCACTAAACAGAGATCTTAGATAGAAAATCGGGAGGACATATTGATCATACGCCTGAATTTTCACATTATTATTTACTGGAAATCGAAAGTCCACTCTAAAGAAATTTGAATATATGAAAACATTGAGAAATTCGAAATCACTGAATAATTCACTTTCAACAAATGAACAACCTGTTGTTGCAGATGGTTGAAAATACAATTTCTGACCAAAAACACAATTCTTTAAATAAAAATTGTTATGGTGGTATGAAATAAAGATCTACAGTGTTATTAAGAAGTGCCTAGAGAACTGAAGGAAGTATAGTTTTAGAGACACAAAGCTTTAGATTTGTGCCTACGTGTTAATCTCTTTCTACTGAACGTCTCTGTATTCATTTAAAGTAAATAATACAATACTTAATCCTTTTCGCAAGTTTTATAAATCACTATCTTGACCTATTAAGTGTCAAATAATAAACAGTTATTGTATCAGCTTTACTTTGTCTTCTATGCAAGTAGCACTAAAGTCTAATGGTGTTTTAAAATAGATAATTAAAAGATTTTAGCTTATTAACATATGTGAGTGTGTAGTATCCTTAAGTTTACGATATACTATATGTACTTATTAAATTGTTTCGAAAAGTGATAAATCTCGCTGATGAACGTAATCCGAGACAAATTTTGCATGATATTTCAATAGGTTTTAGCGTGAATTTGTCTTGGTATTAGACTTTTACCTGCTTCAAAAAAAATAATGGGTTTTGTAAAACGTATCCTAATCTTTACCACTGACTTAAACTCCTCATTTCTTGAAGAAACGTTGTAAAATTAGAGGTGTAGACTTGATGCAAAAGTAATAATATCGCTATTTCCAACTATTATTAATATTAAAATTTCATCTTTGAACAGTGATAGCGTCATTGTTGGTATTTATCTTAATATAGTTATTTGACTACATAACTAAATGCTTCATATCTAGGGTACAACGAAATAATATGTAATTTGAAAGACATTAGTAGTTGCATTGTAACCTTTGCAATACAAACTGAAACTAGAGAGAAGCTTCATCCTAGTAGGAGATTCCTCAGCAGTGTACATTCACGGCCTCTGAAACCTAAACTTGAATCTAGTAACTTCAGTCATGCTCAAGAACGTTTAACTCCTAGACCACTGAGGTGGAATCCATAGGCGTACATGTCTAACTTCAATCAATACTACCTCAGTGGTCTAATGATTAAGCTTTTGAGTGTGAGATAGAAGTTTCTGGATTCAATCTTTGGTAGAGTCCTGGATAATCACTTGTAAACCAGTGCTTTCACATGTGTATATATTACTTTCCTCATCAGGACATCCTTTGTTGTTATCTGACAGATAATTATTGATTTGAGAACTGAGTTAAAGTTCAGTTATGACCGGTAAATCATTCATCTGGGCCAAAATAAAGAAACAAAATATTGGGATTATAGTAAAATAACACCTTAATAAAAATACTAAATAAACTTACTTATTAGATACTTCTCAAGCTCAAAGTATAGCCATCCATGGGTTGCATGATCTGATTTATCTGTCCTAAGCCTTCGTTTTTACATAATGACATCTCTTATATATGTGCTCCACAGCAAGGAAACTACTTGGGATAACTGTCTGCTTGCATCATTTTGTTATTTGTTGATTAAGTGAGACCATTAAATCTATTTCCTCTGATGAACAATGTTGATCTATACTGAGCTCTAATGCAGTGAGAAATGATTTTTTCTGTCAAAAGTAAGCTGTATATTATTAGCAGTTATATGAACCGATGTTCAAAATCTACATGTTATAATGTTTAAAATAAAAACTATTATTCAGTAGTAGTTTCCCACTTATCTATAGAAATTTATCAAACCTAAACTATGGGATAAATAATTTTAAATAAAGTCGTGAAATTTGCATTGAGACCATTGTTCAGTGTGAATTCGAAAAGTACCAAGTTTATTACATATTACTCTAGAAATGTTTTAAAAATTGTCTACATTGATAACGAATAACAAGATGTTAATTAGTAATATAATGAAACGACTAATTTCTAATTTCTATAATTGATAAATAAGATGTAATTAGTTTATCTGACGTGTGATCCTTACCATTACGTTTATGACTTGTATGTAACCTCTACTCATACCCAACATAAAATGACCTTCTGTATTACAATTGTGACTAAATACTTCACGATAATCAATTTTTTAAACTGAACATAAAAAGAACCTATGTGTAAAACGTATCTAAAAATGAAGAATATGTCAGGTGAAGATTAAAGTTAAAAAACTTTACATTGGTAAACTTTTTAATGTTTTATCAAAGAATATAAAAATGACTTATTTAACCGTTTTAATTACACATCATGAAACTTTGTTCATCTTAGAGTTAGAAAGTATGACTAGAACTAAATTTTTATCAGATCACTGATTAACTCTAATCGATATCTTTGGTACAACTAATGAAGTTATTTTAGGACAGTAATGATGATTTATAGCTCATGTGGATGATTTTGGTGAAGTCTCATTCTCTAAGATGGATAGTTCAGTTATGAACCTTTATTGTTCTTCCGAAAAAAAATATCAACACAAATTCCAGGTGGAAGTTAAGTACTCCACTGGCAGCTTATTTTATCAACCTTTATCTTAACTGATTACTGTCAATCAATGACCTGTCGTTATATTTATGGTTATTTTGATAGTCTACCCTCCGACTTAATTCTTGTTCCTCTTCATTTGCTTCTGCATGAACACCACATAGCTGTTAAATGCTGCGATGTATCTTTGTTAGTAGCGATTCATGTGGACATTTAGGGACACACGTTCAACAGAGTAATTGTTGAGGTTTCAGATATAAAGAACGCAAAGAAAAAATAGAGGATCTTTAGGAGCTGATAATCAGGTCGTTCAGTAGTCATTAAACACGTCGAAATCAACCCGATTTACCAATCACTTGAAAATTCGTGGACAAATATGGGATCAAGAATATGGTCGAAGAGGTAGGCTGTAAAAATAAACACACATATAACAACAGGTCGTAAACCGACAATAATCAGTAAAGATCAAGGTCAACAAAACGAGCTGTTAGTGGAGTACCTAACTTTCAACTGAGCTTTGTTCCAATGCCTTTGTTCGGAAGAATAGTGAAAGCTTCAGGATTGAATCATTCAGCTCAAAGAATGTAAATCTACCAAAAAGGTTATTTTTACTTAGAAACTACTGTGACCGTATTCTAACGTCCAATATCTGAATTTTTAATCTAGTGGTATTTCTCAAGTATTCACTCTATTTCATTTTTCAGTCTTGATATTATCCAAAATTATATCAAAAAGGATATAAATTTTAACTATAATCTCGAAAGTATGTCTGACCTAAAAACAAATGTGATAAATTATATACTTTGTCACTAACAGCTAATCTGAGAAAACGATTCTTTCTTTCACTGTAATTAAACTGTTAATACCATCTAAAACAGAATAAACTTTTCGAGACGTACATTTTTTTAGAAAAGTGATTTGCGAAAGCAGCAGAGATTTGCATTAGAAAATTCTTATTTTCAATCTACCATACTCTCATGTTTATTTATGGCCGAAAAGAAATTATCGTATGAAATGGATGGAATGGAATAAATCTTTATTAGTAAAAATGGTTATAACATGATATTAGTAGTAGTTATCAGCTCTAATCATTACTTTACAGCTATATCTGGAATATAATTTGAATGTCTTAATGCTACAAAATTGATAAGACACCTAACATAAAATAACTGGGAGGACTTTACATATTGAAGCAAAGTGGACAGAACTGTTATTTTTGTTTTATTGAATATATCAAAACTTCAAAGATTTCATATTTTGTAATTTTATTGATCAATATTATTTTTAATCGTATTTCCATGCGTGATAGTCACTTATAATAATTTCCCAAAACGATAAACCTTCTTGAGGAATTGTTATTGATAATGATTATATTAAATTAGGACTATTGGTATGTTTTAAAATTAGCATTATTTAGCTGCAAGAAAATAATTTTACCTTACTAATTACAACGTATCGTGGGTTTTACAGATCAGTCAAAAACCGGAAAAACTGCTGATTTAATAGCGCTTTTCGAAATGTTAGGAAGTCAGTATGGCAAGCTATATCTAGAAAATTCTGACCTTTTGAAACACCATTACCAAAGCAAACAAGCAGAAGTTCAGTAAGTTTAAAAGTACTCTTTTTATATGTATCCAATTTAATTATTGTATGCGTTAACTCAAAAATTTCGGCACATATTATTCGGTTCCCTAATTTGAAGTATAAAATGTCACAGCGTGGTTTTATATTTGTCGCATCAGTGAAGTAAAAAAGTTGTCATCAAAAAATTCAACTTTAACTTTAGAACGTTTTGGTAATGTCCTCTATTTAGTCAGGTATTAATGGAATTCACAACAAAAATAATAAAAGTAAGGTGGAAAGCAAGCATTTCAAATCCTCATAAAATATTATTTCTCATGAATTCGTAGCCACTCATCAAGGTGAATTTCAAAAATCCCTATTGTTATTTCGACTTCCACCATTTGAGTTCTTTTGTTATTTGAGATCTAAATTTGATCCGATAGTCGTTATCCCAATCCATTAAGCATTGTTTTGATTTTAATTTAGATCATGAACTGACCGATGTTGGACCACCACTAAAAACTTGGGAGCACTGTACGACCGTTTTGTCATAGCATGGGACTCCTCGATAGTTAAAGATATACCTTGATAACGAATTTCAACTAGTGTGAATCTTAAATCGGTTAAATGCAATACTAAGCACTCTCTGCGTCTATTTGCTGTCTGTTTATCTAACTTGTTATTTAAAAGTAACATATGTTTGAACTTTAGGCTTGAGCGAAACCATTTTTCAGTGGGATTAATTTTGACTGGATGAATTTTTTAATCGTCACATATATTTCCAAAACTACAAGTATTGAGTAGTGAATGTGTAACATTTTCAATTCACTAGACCATTCTCATAGATGTCAGTAGCATGAATTTGCAATACCTAATTATTTAAATACTTATGAGTCAAGAAGTATTCGGATTATTCCAGCGTCTACTTTTTGAATATCTCAGTGCTGCCTAACATTTTATCTTGCTTCTTAAAGACTAAACAAGCTTTATCGATAATGCCATGTCTCTAAGTTCGTGATCTTACAACAACAGCAATTTGTGCTGCTCTTAAGATAACAAAACTGTCTTTCTTCGTTCATAAGGACATGAGTCACTATCACTGTCTGTTAGTTTTCGCATCTTTATTAATATGTTTTCTAAGAATGCATGTAGTTTGATATGATTTCAGCTGAGAAGCCTAGTGGGATGAGGAAATGTGAACATTCATTAAGAACAGCTTGCAATACTGTTCCCAAAAAACGTTTGTAGGTCTGTAACACATTTATGACGCTGAGTTGCTCATGTCAATCGACATATGATAGAGACAAACAGATTGACTGCAAGTATGTGTTTTGGAGACAGTATAAAATCAAACTAAAAGTCGAAAATTGTTAAAAGCATTGTCAAAATCAATAAAACTAAATAGCGAAGATATATTATAGTAAACTATTGGGAAATTGTCTGTTATAATTGAGTAGAATCAACACGTAATAAGCATGCTTTCTATGGTATAATGACATCAAACACGAAATTAATTTTCCTTCAGTAATTATCACTTCCCTTTCTAAAGTGTTAATTGAGTCTCGATATTTGTGCAATTTTGGTACTGTGTAATATAAATGAGTCGTAATTAACTTCATCTTAAAAAAAGACGTTACGATTTGGTTAAATATAACACTCACTTAAAAATCAACTAGTTGGCACTTGTTAACAAGGCATACCTACAATCGTGAAGGAACTGATGATTCTTGCAGGATTCGAACCAGCACCATCTAGCTTCACAATACATTATTGCTAAAATCTTCGGGCCATTATTGATACCTTGTAGACTTAGATATTTTAATTGATTGATCCCTGACTAGTGATAAATATCACTTTATTCTAGTCTAACTGACAAGTGCCAATTAGCAGTTAACCTATGTACAAAATTTCCTACCGACTACTGTCAAGCACCTTAAATCGAAATCTAATGATTTTTGACAAGATAATCAAAATAAAACGTTTTAAATAGCATTTGGTTGTATTTTGTTACGGTTCATAGTCTATATATTAAGTAGTGATATGGCTATGTAAATAAGCACGATCAATAACAGTTGTGTGTTCACAAATGCATACTTCTCAACTAACAAGACACTATTCACATGGATGTAAAGTATGTGTACGTAAATGCTTATTAGTGTGTGTTTATTACTTAGAAAACGTCGGTAAGTTTTAGAGATTGATCAATAAATTCATTTATGCATTTTGACTTTAGTACACAATTTTGAAGCACACTCTTACCAACAGAATAATCAATTTCGAGCAGCTGACTGACTAACAACTGATTATTTTATCTATTCTGTGAACATTTCTATGGAGTAATTAGTTGTAAATTTTAAAATGTTTAATTATGATTTAAAATCAAATAATTATGTGTAGAATGTTTTGATTTTTAATGGGTTTTCTTTAAATGTAACCATACTTATGGTTCACACTAGAGAAGATAGGTTATGCTTTTCAGTCGCTGTTTGCTTTTAGGAATCAAGATGTGTATTAAACGAGATAGGAAAATACTGTTTATTAGAAAGGGTACAGATGTTACATTCATGATAACCCATACATCCATAAAAATCAACAATTTCCAAAGGTATTTTAGAGACTTGTTTGTTTGATAACTCATGTATATCAATCTATTAATGATTGATTATTGATCTGCTTAATGATTTCATGATCTAGAAGCAAAGTGCCAATAATCGCATACAAACAAATACTTTAAAGCTATTATATATATATATATATATATATATATATATATATATACATATATATAAGTCAATCTTACTTATGACATGTGATACGTATAGAAATGATTTCATTTATCTATTTAGTGAATTCTTAGAAATAAAGACATTCAAAAATTACTAGTTACACATAGCATGTATGTATGATGATATATTATTGGTCAATTTACGTCATTTTTAAAAATAAGACTCACGGTAGCAATAATAACAGCATTAGAAAATATAGTAGAGAGATTACCTTTTATACCAGTAAAGTTCAAACAAATCATTCATATGCCAGTAGGATTTTTAAAGTACTAATGAGAATTTACATTAACTCAAAGAACTTCATAAAAATAACCAACTTCATTTGTTAATGTTCTTTATTATGTATGGAAAATCAGAGAAATCACATAATGCACCATTTTTCCAGGTATCACCTATATCCTCTCAATCATTATCTTCACCATTGTCATCGAAGAAGTCCAATCAAACAATAGTGAGTGCGAAAAAATTACACAATCCATTGGATAATGAAATCTTTCTAATACAACCACCGAACACTACTGTTTGTATTGGTGACAATAATCATAATAAAAATGAGGATTTTCAACACATTGTATGTCAAACAGTAAACAAGAAAAATGATAAGAGAAGCACTAAAGAGAAAAATAATTGTCAAAAATCGTCTTTGTGTAGTCGACTTTTTCCTTGTTGCGTTAGTAAACAGTCTAAACCAGCAAAAAATTCTTCTTTTTTTACTAGACCAAATGATAACGACGATGATTGTGACAATAATGATAATCATAAAGATACTGGGAATAAACAAAAACTAATCACTGAGTCACCGTCTACAGAAGTTGATTATTTAGATAATTCAGATGAAGCTACTTTAAGATTAAAGGTAAGCAATGTACTTTCCGAAAACATTTTTAATGATCTAAGGTACGATTTCATTATATTTAAAGAAAACAAACAGATTCTACCTCTTTGTAGACACAAACTATGTGACATGTGGGTGTGAAAGAGTAAAATCTAATATGAAATTGACCAGGTAATAAAATATATCATTCTATTGAAAGAAAAAAGTTAGCAATTTTCGACCATTATAACAGCAATTAAAAGGTATACAGACATCGATATCACTAAGCACTATCATATGTGTAGGTAGTTTTACTGCCAGTCTCCGACGAATAGAATCCACATGGGGTATGACACTAACATCGTTTTCAAACTTCTTGAAACATCGGTAATAGGAACTGAATTTGAAAGTTTTTCCGTTTCTGCGATATTTGGCGAGACTAAAAACCACAAATTTCGACCAATATCCAATCTCCGATTTTATTCAAAATTAAATACAATTGTTTCTTGAAAACAGATAAAATGTAATGTTGAACGGACTTGAAATTCTAGAGGCTTTCACCATTTAATCAATTGTGAAATTCATATCCAGCTAAAAGAAACAGTTCTAAACTTCGAGGAAACTGCATTATCATCTGATGCTATCGTCTGATGCTATAATTATTCATGACAGTGATACTGTACATTGAGATTTATTTTAAGAATAACAATAAAAATAAATGGTAAAAACATTCCAATTTCCTGTGGGAAAATCAAAGAAAAGTATCTAAACCTGACTGACCAATAGTTTATGATTGACAGATTCATTTTTAATGCTACCATAAATCTAGGTAGGTCTCCATGAGTACGTATATGTTTGAATACATAATATTTGTATTTGCTGCTACCCTTTCTATGGTAAAACTTATAATATGATTTGTGTTCTTTTTTTGGAATTCTGACGTTTTCAAACGGTTTTCATTGACCAATTATTTGATAAGTCATTTAGAAGCACATAAGCAGACTGGTACAATGTCACATCTACTGAATGTCACGAATGTAAAAGCATTTGGCGCATTAAGCGACCAGTATAATCACGTTTAGAACAGCCATGTGACCTAACACATATTTTTTCTATCATATTTCCCACGTGTTGTCTGACCTTAATAATTATGAATCATCCAGAATAAATATTTGTTTATTAGCGCATAGAATAATCAATATTATCACTTAGCTTTTTGATTTAGTAGTAAACTGTACTATAGTAAACAATTTTACAAAGAACAATTAGTATACGTTTTATTCAAAGATTGTCCATACTTGGAAAAGTGAATCCAATAGTGTTCACTTATCGTATCTTTATTATGTAATAAGTTCGCAGTATAAGAATTTGTGGTCGAGAGACATTTTAAATGTATCGAAATAAACGTACTTATGGGGTTGTCAGTGACTTGTCCTATTCCCTGTATACCTTATTATAAACCTGAAATAATTTTGTGTGACTGCTTTTTCTCGTTCTTGAAACTTTATGACTACCTTTCCATAGTTTAAAATAACAAGGAGTAAAACTTAGATGCGAGTTCCGACCGCCTAAAATATGATAGACTCAGTCTTTTAAAAGTCGTTTATTTGTGATTTGTACAATCACAGAATTTTCCCCAAAATATTGGTCATTAAAAACCATGAGCAATAAATAATTTGATGAGCCAACAAAAGCGATCATCCTTCAACTAAGTAACGGTGTTACGAAAACGGGATTTTAAAGTTCTCATATGTTTGACTCCTTAATAAACCTACATAGATATTTAACCTGTTTTCCTTCACGAAAATAAAATTATGGATTATATTCGCTTTGATTTAGATTAACCGAAAAGTTCCAACTCTATGTTATTTCTATCCATCTTTAATGATATTGTAACTTGATCTTATACTGTTAGTAATTGCCTAAAACTTATGCTGACTCGTGTCATTTGTTTGACGCCACTTTGTGGTAATAATTTACATTATGGTGGAATGATAAACAAATTTACAAACCAGTCTTTGTATCACAAGTATAAAATCGATTTTCATACAGACTGAAAGACTAGAAAATCAGTAACTTTTATTATAATGCACTAACCGAAGATTACGTGATGACCGTTTTTATATTGTGTGATTAGTAATAGATGATTTGGTACCAATTCTCTAAAATAGAAAAAGTATAGGAATTGATTCCTCTCAAAAATTCAAAAATAAGCATTTTTGAGCCCAATATTTGACTATTGTAGTAATCTAGATTGATTACATTCTAAAAATATTGTGTTTGATCAGTTAGATATATTCTGAAGGTACTACTGAATTAATTTATCATACAGCATGAAAACACACTAGACAAAACCTTCTCATTTTAATTTTTCTATGCTAAGATCAGGAACAATTAAGATCGATATTTCACTAACACGTTTTCATCATCAACAACCATCTGGTACCTTATTCCAGTATGGCTGTAACTTGTATAACATCACATCGCTAATGCTTAGAAAGGATTTATTTAGATATTAGCTCTCTTTCTCTATGATGAGTTGACTGTTTATATTTTTTGTAAGTTTTTGTTACAACACCTAAAATGTATGATTAATATCTAACATGTGAAAATAGCCACGATTTGTTTAAAATGTCAACAATCATTTATGAAACTATTCGTTTTGAATCAGAACTAAGCCTTTCATTAAGGTAAACAAATACCCAAGTATGTAATTTCGAAAACATTTCTAATAAAAAACCATATTCTACAGTACACTGAATCTAAGTAAATTTTTTCTCAATATACTCAAAGTAAATGTTTTCACATTTAAGACCTATTGAATTTTCGCATTCTGCTTCTGCAGATAAATTTGTCATGATCCCATCAATATTAGTCATGGCAAATGCGCTCTTTGCATAACAAAATTTAACAGTTACTTACTTTTAACTCCTCAGAAATCATACAAATTCATCTAGTGTACAAACATCATAACTTTACATGTTTATAGAATTTTATTTTATTTTATCCATGATCCTTCTTCATTTTATTATCATGTTTATCAATATTTTTAATGAACTACATTTATGTTTTATAATCCTAGTTTTATTTTTAACTCCCTTCCTCCACTTCATTGAATACCTTCTCCTCATACCTATCAGTTGATTCTTAATGACGGTCAATTGATTTATTATAACGTCCAGAAGTTAATTTAAATTTCATATGTGAATAATACGTAGATGCCTTAATTTTATCACTTTTAGGATTCCTTTAGGACCTATGAAGAACGTCAGAAATACAAATCTATCATTCAGGATGCTCCATTGTATCAAATATATACAGAGAAGGCTTCAATCAGTGAATCAATACGTGATGCACGAAGACTTTTAGGTTAGTTAACTTCAAGTGTAATTCATATTTTCATTTATTGTTTTGCATATTTTTCAGATGAATAAAATTTTACCTTTATATCAGTAGCTCATAATTTATATCTTGAATATTGCCGTTAGCTGGTCGAGTTTGTTACGTTCAAAATATCCAGTATCTAATCTATTAGGAGGCAGTATTAAACTGTGAATCACATTGGATTAGACTTTGAATTAAAATAAAGGAAGTATTTCATTGATTTTTTCCATAAAACATATAGTGGATATTAAATATATTTCAATTATATTATTATTGAAAACAATCGTAATTTTTAATAACTCTAGCTGACCATACTGCATATTCCATCCTGGTTATCGTATATTGATAATTATTTCAAACAAACATTATGCGATAAACTGAAGGAAGATACTTTTTTTATATATTATATCAATTTTCAAGAAAACAATTTTACAGTATCGTAGTTTAGGTAAGAAAATTATTACATGCCAACAATTGTAAACAATTAAATTACTTGGAGAACAGTTCAATAGATCATACGCCTTGTGTCAGCTTCTATAGCCAACCAATTTCTTCAAAGATTATACTTAGTCTTAATTTATGTACTGACTGGAGAATAAATTCATGTGATGAGTTGAACTAATTTATCATAGATTCAAGGAAATTTCAAGGTGTTTCAAATTACCTTAGAAAGTGCTAATATACTAGTACAAATTTTAAAGTGAACTAGTGATAATAATAATATATGTTCTATTGACTTTAAGACGAAAAGCTTAAATGAGTTAGTATACAAAAATTGATATTTTATAAAGCTTTTGCTGCCTAGATAGTTTTTATATATCCAGGCTTATTGGTCAATTGAAATAATCTTATATATTATTTTCCGTATTTTTTCTTATAAAGTTTAGATCAGTGTTTGATAAATAATGACTTTATGGACCTTTGTTTTGAAAAATGATAGTAACTTTTAATATAATTTGTTCATATATATTACTGTCTAGAGCTCAGTAGTATTCGTAGCATCATGCAGAAAGTGATATCTCTTAGTTAAATAGTTAATACCGTCTTCTTATGCCCAATATCATTAAACAAAACACAATGAATTCTAGCAAGGACTCAACATATCAGCTGTTTATATGAAGAAACTGACATTCCTGTAACAAGTTCTGAATATAAGGTTATAAACAAAGTGTATATTTTAAGTAAAGGCTTTCTTAATATGCAAAACTAATTTATTTCCGCCATTGTACTTACAAAATCTGTTGCTCTTAATTTTTTGTAAGTTGCTTAACTAATACAGAACTATTTTTCGCTCTTTAGATTATTTATTTATTTCCATCATTAGAATAAAGAAATTAGAATAACCTCATGACTCATACAGTTTTATCAAACATTTGTTTCACTGTATTGCTAAAAGAAAACAAATCTGTAGAAAACTAAGGAAATATCACAATGTATGCTACCTATATTGACAGATATAAGTAGTGTGTAGCATCAATCGAAAGTGGAATGCATGCCAGTAGGAGATTGAGAAGTTTCAATTGAAGAAAACAAAAAGGAAAACAAAAAGTAATTAAAATAACAACATAATTGAAAAAACCATAAAGCATGTAAAGAACAACTGATGGACGATGTATTTGATGTATAGTTTACATATTATACGAAATCACTCTGTAATTTTGCATTAAACAATAAATTGGTTATCCCCACTAAATCTGCGTTCACTTCAATATATGGACGCATATATTTATACAATAGGTTTAATTATCATAATCTATTGTATAATTCATGAATTTCTTTGTCTACATTATTTGAAATATTTTTAATTATATTCCAAAACTTATAATAATGTAAGTTTAAGTACAGAAATTTACAAAAACTATTTACATTATTCTGATCAATTAACAAAATACATTTACCGATACATATATAAATTTGTCGTCCTGGTTTTTAGTGGTTGAAATCAAGTTGCTTGAATAACACATTACTATTATTATCATTGTTATTATTATTACTTGTGACTTTCACTATTGATCAAGAGATAAGGGGATTAAATACGGCCTATGCTCTTCCACGAGGAGTAACAGGAGTAAGTTGTAAGTAATGAGTATTTGAACAACTATGTATTCTCTGTTGTAAACAATTCACCTCACTACTGTTACCAACAAATTAAACAAAATACTATTAAGGAATTAATAATAAAAATAATTTAATGTTTCAGCAAAAAATTCATCTACTAAAAAAAAATTTATTCATAATGAATTATCATCTTCATTTTAACATAGTTTTTCGGTCTTAATGAGAGTTCGATAAGCAAGATATAAACGGACCAATCCACTTATAAATGAACTTTTATATCCTATTATAATTTTATATCCATCCGTATCATGAATAATTAGATGATTAATAGTTTTTCAATTGGAATTAATTATCATCTATTTAACACTTATTCCTAATGGTTTTCTTTTTAATTTCGTAGACATGAAGTCACATATTTACTTATGAAAAAACGAATCATACAACTAGATTCTTTTATTTCTTTCAATGAACATTCATTCTGATTACATGCATATACAGATATATTAGGAAGACGTTTATGCGACTTGTAGAAATATGCTGCTAATGTAGATAATAACTTGAATTCTGTCTCAGTCTATATACACTTGAACATACTAAACTATACTAGATATATAAAGAACCTTAGTTAAATTAAAAAGTCTTTCTAAAAAGACTAGAAAATGTGAAACTCAATTGATGAATGTATCAATGCTTTGTGCTCAATAAATTTTCCAAATAATTTAGATTTTTATCCATTTAGAAAAATAAATTACTTGTTTGTTTAAAACCCATGTTTAACCGTCATTACATTGTTTAGCTCTCGTTCAACCTGGCTCTTTGGATAATCCATCAAATAATTTAAAATTTGATGATGAATTATTTACTGCAATAGATGGTGATGAATCCGATCCAAATAATCAGTATTCACAAAAAGTACCTGGTAATTTGATAGATAGTCAGCAATCATCGATTCGTATGAAAAATTCCGAGCGAAGAGATTTGCCATTTCATCCACAGAATAGCGGCTCTTCCTCATTCAGATCAAGGGATAGTGACTCACTGAAAACCTCTTCAGTTAAGCGGGCTCATTCAAATTCTAATGCTAGTGAAAGAAGTAGAAACCAAAATTTTATTTCTAAGCCGCGAAGACAGACACAAGAAGTTCAGAATTTCGTGAATGAAGTTGCTGGAAATGGACCTAATCGTGTACAGTGGTCTGAAATGCCTCAAGTGATCAGCGCAGGTTTGGCCAGGGACCTACCTGATTATCAAAAGAAGTTGCAAGAGGTCTGTTTTGATTATCTTATCATTTACTGTGATCACTATCTTCGTGTAATTCCGTATCTGATTCTGATAATGATATACAAGTTTCTTGTGCGTGGGCCCAACATAAAATAGTTTAATAAGAATGATGCTTTATTAGATAACTGAATCGATATAAATATATACGTAATCCTTCAGAAAGTTAAGCCATATGTTCGACGTATAATAAGTATTTCGTTCCTTAAGAAAGAAAGCTAACTCTTGGCCAATAGCGTGAGATTATCATTTGCTCGTTGTTTGTTCTACCCTCTGCATCAATTGGCAACAATAATAACACTCTAAATTAATTACTAGAAATATTACGTCCAGCTTTTTAAAACGACCAAATATTGTGTCTAATATTCAGTGACAAACTAGCTCCGCTTTCTTATTATTTGAACCATACATTCCACAACATTTTAATTACAACATAAGTTCGCAACAATAAGTAGCCTCTAGGAAACTCTCGGCTGGTTTTAAGTATATCCCAATGGAATAAATGTATAAATAAAATTAATATGACCTCATTAAAACAGGCTAACTAACACTCATTTCTCTGATGAACACAGTCAATGATAAAAATCAAAATTGTCATGCTTCTACTAGTATACTTAAAATTTCTGGTCACGATGATAAATCGATTGCAAAAAACAACGATAAAATCACGATTATCTGATACTGATAAACCGCGAATGCATACTGAATTGAGAACTGTTCAAAAAACTGAATCTTATTACTTGATATAATGCATGGTGATTTCCATCCTAAATGACAGTTAAAAGACTGGAATGCTTTTCATATACAATCGAGTTATATTGCTTGACATTTCGAAACGAAACATGAACACATGCAAGATCATAAATTAAAAGGACATAACGAAAAATTACATATATAACCATTTGATATGAAGTGAAATTTTTAAGTTACTAAATATCAAAGCAGATTACTGACTATTGATGTCTATAAAGCTAGCTACTTATCAAAATATAGTCCGAATCAATTCATTCAAATAGTGACCTAACAATATTCATTATGTATAATATTCTGGCGTAAGTAAGGTTAAATATTTCACAGCTTATTATTACAACTTTGTAACTTTGGGAAAACAGAACACAATAGGGAATAAAAATGTTAACGTAAACATAGATTACCGAGTGGGAGTTTTTCATCAACCTGCAATCCTTTTTTGAAACCATGAGTGCTAATACACGTTACTCTTAAACAATCGTCTGGACATTATACAAGTACTAGTTTATTATCTCATTTCATACAGTCACCAAACAAAATCGGTTAGATAAATATAAATTCTTGGTGTCACTACATCGAATAACCCAGCTGACTTATTTGTTTGACTACAGTAACAGATTGATAGGAAAAATGACCATGAGTGTTGTTTGTTTCTGTAAATTGGAAAGTAGAAAATTGCCTTTTCCAAAAAGCTGAAATTTGAGATTTTCATTTGACGTTTGAATTTAATATAATAATTGGTAGTATTTGATTCATGTAAAGCGAATAGTCAGGTTTAGCGTTTATAATTTTCAAAGTTGTGTGACTTTTTTGTTGTATAAAAAAATTAGTGGTATTCTTGACACCGCTGAGTGAAGGAAGAATTGGACCCTGTCATCTTACTAATTTGTAATACCAAAATGATTATCTCCCTTTTTCAGGCACTGTTTGAAGTTATAACTTCAGAAGCGTCTTACTATCGAACCCTGCATATTTTAATAGAAAAGTTTTATAAAGCTCAGTGTATGCAGCCAGATTCTAAAACGTCTGTTATAACAGCTATTGAGAAGCGACACTTATTTTCAAATATATCGGAAATATTTTTCACTAGTGAAACGTAAGTTCAAATATAAATTTCTATTTTACCATATTGATTTTTATTCTTGTACATTTACGAATTATATTCAAAATTTTGCTTGAACAATTATATATAAAACTTGATGATGATTTATGCTGTTTGATCTTAGAAATCGATTTTCACACTACTTTTACGAAAAACGAACCAAATAGTATGTATCTCTGTCATTCTATATCATCACTTCATAAATCTTTTCAATTAATAGGACCTGACTGTTGTCATTCATCCTCAAAGTCAATGACAATATCTATCATATAATTCGTTGACCCTTAGTTTCACAAACGTTGGGTGCTAGGTTGAATCCGATGAACATTTGTATGGAACGTCAATTCGAGTTCTGAAGTCTATTTACGAATCTTATTAAATTTCGTTGAGAAATAACTACTGATGAGTATTTAAAATTTCGTGATAACTTTTAGATTCCCAGGAATATGTAACACTGAATAAAATGATAATTAATAATTTTTCTTAGTTCTTTCAGATATTCATGTAATTGAATCCTTTAACCCTTGTGTAATACCTATTTTTACTGGAGAAACCACTCGAAATAATTTAATTAACGTTGAATTTTGTATTTTGTTACACAATGTAAACCATTGAAACAGTCTGCTTTTCAGCCAACTCACGAGTAAGAAGGAGTTGAAAGGATTTCATTAAAGTCTTCCTACTAGTTACTAAATTCCCGGCTAATTTTAAACTCATACATGTGAATGGTTAATAAAGGCATACAGTGATTAGGATAAATTTAAGCTGGTCTACATCTTCATTTTGAGTTTGTTTTCGAGTTATCAATTTAAGTAGTGAATGAAATCCAACCCTTTTACAGCCCTTGACCTTGTGGTTATCAAATCATTAAACAGCTTAACTAAGTTCTTACTGTGAGTGTCCAACAACGTCATTCATAACAATCAAAAAAATACTTCACCCCCTCAGCATTAATAGTCATAAGTGAGAAATTCTCCATTAAAAATTATAGTAGTTCCTCATTTCTATTTTGGCATACCGAATAGAAGGACAAACTAATAATAGCAATCTCGACAAATCCCTAAACTGACAATAATAAACAACATATTTACTTAGATCAGGAAATTCCTTTCAGAATTATGACATTCAGCTTAATCATTCATTGCTGAAAAACTTAGTTTTGTTGGCCATTAAATGAATTAAAGTTAAGGTGTCAAGCAGACTCGATAGGCTTATTTGCATTGATCAATAGCCTTTTGGTAAAATGTTTCGATCGACTCTAAACGATATTATAAATGAATAACAGAGAATTTATTTTTACATTATACATGAAACTACTAATGAGTAGTACATAACATTAATAGGTAAAGTGTTTGATTCTGTAACAAATTAGTGATTGGTTTAACTTTTGTATATTCTTTTTATTATTCTAATAACTATTCGAAATGACTGGATTATTATGATAAATAAGAACTGATACATTCCATCTTTACGTTTCCATTTAATTTTGTTAGTTTTCTTAAAAATCCCTTTTATCATTCTAGTTATTTATCGTCAAAATTGTGTTTATCTGAATTATTTAGATTTCTTCGAGATATGGAATTATATTTTATTCAAAATCCACTGATACCTCAATTGTGTGAAATTATATATGAACATACTGAGAATCATTTTGAAAACTATGTAAAATATGTACAAAATCAAATGTACCAATTAAGAACACTAACGAAATTATTGTAAGTCATCATTAATATAAATTGTATCATTTTAGATACCCTACAGAAAAAAATTAATGCAAAAAAAATTATTAAATTGGAAGTATTCTCACTTTTTTAACGAAACATTTCTTATATATAGTCTATCACTTTTTTTAAGATAACATATGTATCTTTAGAAAGTTAAATTGAAATTTGTATTGATACAAAGTATACCGTCATTCTAGAAACAAAATAGAAAATTTCAAGTATAGTTCAAAGAATCATGGTTTTCAAATGCTCTATTTAATAAACAAAAAATTATTAAATTACTTATGTGTAAATGAACAATAATTATCTCTGAAACTTAAAGACTCATATCAATTTTCATTAAATAAAAATTCATTTTATTTCAAATCTTTCCATTCGTTGCAAATAATCTACAACTAGAATAAACGATCAAATTTTTTTTTAAAAAAAACACATGTTAATTGTTGAAGTTTAATTCAAAAACAGAAATAGACAGTGACAAACACAAATCTAAATAGTAAAACTTAGCAAATGAAGTTGAAAAAATCGTTAACACAAATTTATATTCGTATGAAGTGTCTTACGATTACTAAAAATGAAAAGTGACTATTACTGATAATCACATAATTTCTAAATAGTGAATAGAATCATTTAATAATAATAATAATAATAATAATTTATATTCCGAAAAATAATAATAATTACAGAATTCACGCCAGTTTACAGTCATGATCAATTTGATATGAATAATAACGTTAGACGTGCAGAAGAAACATGTGATAAAAGAAAGTTTCAAGTATACTAGTTCAGTAGTTGTTTAAGTAGTACATATATTACAGGGATCCAATGCATCAGCCGGGAATTTTTAATATTTCTTAAATGGACAGCCTGTTGATTTATGAACGGTGTAATTAAGGTCAATTCGTGTGCCAGAACGAAATAATGATAATTATCTACAACTAGAGAAATTAAAACGAAAACAGAGAGCACGGAACAACAAAAAAGTAATTACCAAAATATATCAATCCGGTCTACCTAAATGCGTGTGTTATGTGACACAGTGATATACTGGTTATGTTATTCAAATAAGTTAGAGTTGCTAGGGGCGGTGTTAACATATCGACAGCAAGTGGGTGGTTTTAATAAGGGAATTCACTAATAAAGATGGCTAAACATTTAAAGTTCCTATAATATCACTTGTGGAATGAGATACACTTAAAGGCGCTAGACCATTCAATGCATTTTCAGAGGAGCAGTATGCATCGATGCAGCGAACAAATAATGGGAGTGATTTTATCGTGCGGATAGATTGTGGTAGGTTATTCCAGAGTCTAGAAAATTTACAGGTAAATTAATTCATATAAAGAGATGATTTAGAATGAGTTTGTTTCACTAGTGCCAAGGAAGTACGGATGTTATAATGAGAGGTTTCTGCATATTGAATCGCGTGATCGGATGTAAACGATAGTTTATGAAGTAGTTTGAAGAAAAAGATAAGATTTAGTTTGAGTCTCCTCCTCCATAAAGGATCTAGCCCAAGTTTATTGCATCTAGAATTATAAGTTAAGGTACAATCAGCTTCAAGAATACGAAGTGTAAATCGTCTCTGTACTGATTCCAGCCTTAATTTATCCTTTATGCGCGCACTGCTAAGAATAAACGTGCAATGTTCTAGAAGAGGTCGAGCACAAACTTTGTACATTAGAATACGTGACTCTGTGTTGTAAAGATTTCGAGTTATGTAACCTATTAGACGTTGAGACTTAGAGGTCTGTTTTTATATATGTCCTGTAAACGACAAGTCTTGGGAATATCTAAGTCCTTAGTCTACTACTGTATGTAACCTAGGTAACACTTCTCCATTTATGGTAATGTCTAGGTTGAGTGATGTATTGCCGAAGCATATCCATCCACATTTAGCCGTATTAAGCTCCAGTTGCCATTTTAAGCACCATTATATTATCATTTTAATGATTAAGATATCCATCTTTAAATTGTTGAATAAAAATTTTCTCTTCATTTTTACCATTCTTTATTTCAAACGTAATAGTTTTCTATGGAACTGAATAAATGTAGCACGGAAAAATATATCAGGAATTATATGCCATTTTGTAATGTGATAAAATATTTTGAGTATTATTTTTACATTTATATTACTAGGGAATAAAATCAAATGAAACTGATCGGCGTCACAAAATCTTACTTACTTATGCCTGTTACTCCTAATGCAGCATAGTCCGCCGACCAGCATTTTCCAAACCACTCTGTTCTGGTCCTTTCTAGTTCTATCCAATCGTTATACATTATTCTCATGTCTGTCTCCATTTCTAGCCGTAATGTGTTCTTTGGTCTTCCTCTCCACCTTTAGCCTTAAGGATTCCATGTGAGGGCTTGTCTTGTGACGCAGTTGGGTGCTTTCCTCATTGTGTGTCCTATCCACTTCCAGCGCTTCTTCCTGATTTCTTCCGCTGGGATTCGGTTTGTTCTCTCCCACAGTAGGTTGTTGCTAATTGTGTCCGACCAACAGATCCGAAGTGTTTTGCGTAGGCAACTGTTGATAAACATTTATATCTTCTGGATGGTGGTTTTCATAGTTCTCCAAGTTTCCACCCAATACAGTAAAACTGTCTTGACACCTGTACTGAAAATTCTGACTTTGGTGTTGGTTGACACTTGTTTTGAGTTTCAGATGTTCTTCACTTGTAGATATGCTGATCTTGCTTTTCCGATTCGCGCCTTCACATATGCATCAGATCCACCGTGTTTATCAATGATGCTACCCAGATATGTAAAGGTTTTAATATCTCCAAAATCTTCTCCGTCAAGTGTGATTCGATTGGTGCATGCTGTGTGGTATGCCACAAAATCTACATTTCAATAGTTTTTTAAGGATTACTAATAGTATAATTAAAATACCAAATAATAAATATTGGGTCAACTTATATAATTTTGTTTCAGATCTTCTCCTGCTTTTGTAGAAGCTGTTCGCTCAATACAGCAACAACCAAGCTGTGGATTCCTAGATCTTAATTCCTTCCTATTACTTCCAATGCAACGTGTTACACGTCTACGTCTTTTATTGACTGCTATCTTACATTATGCTCCTAAAAACGGTGTTACGTATCAAAGTGGTTTGGTAGCCCTTGCTTCTATAGAAAAAGTAAGTTTACGAATAAATACTTTATTTTTGAGAATGACGTCATGGTTAAATTTAAGTTAGAAACTATGAAATATCATAAAACTTCTAGGCCAATTAGTTTATGTATTTCAGTGTCCGTAAATATTTATAACTTCCAATTTAAAACATTTCAAGTTCTATTAAATCTTATAATACTACTTGATTTCTTGCAAAATGATAGAATATCAAACACCAATCAAATGGTGCATCCAGATCCTCCAACTTTTTTACTGTCTATTATCTCTCAACAAAACATATTATACAGGATTATTTGATGATAAAACTAGAGAATATAATAATTTTCATTAACAAAACACTTTATATTGCTAGTTTTGCATTCCCTAAGCTTTTTTGTAATCAATGAATTTAATTATTGTTGCTCTAATTGAGGTTAAAGGTTCTAACAAATCGGTATGCTTATAAATTGATAGAAAATTCTCATTAGACTCGTGCATTGACAAACAACTTGCTTACTTACTTACGCCTGTTACTCCTCGTGAAGGAGCATAGGCCGCTCACCAGCATTCTCCATCCAACCCTGTCCTGGGCAATCCTTTCCAGCTCCTTCCAGTTCCTATTCATCCTTTTCATATCTGCTTCTATTATCCGACGTAATGTGTTCTTTGGCCTTCCTCTTTTCCGCTTCCCTTCAGGATTCCAAGTTAGGGCTTGCCTCGTGATGCAGTTTGACGATTTGCGTAATGTATGTCCTATCCATTTCCATCGTCTTTTCCTAATTTCTTCTTCAGCTGGAAGCTGGTTTGTTCTCTCCCACAAAAGGCTATTGCTGATGGTATCCGGCCAATGGATGTTGAGTATCTTGCGTAGACAGCTATTTATAAATACTTGTACCTTCTTGATGGTGGTTGTTGTAGTTCTCCAAGTTTCAGCTCCATACAGTAGAACTGCCTTGACGTTCGTATTGAAGATTCTCACTTTGATATTGGTTGAAAGTTGTTTTGAGTTCCATATGTTCTTCAATTGTAGGAATGCGACCCTTGCTTTGCCAATCCTCGCCTTTACGTCTGCATCTGAACCTCCTTGTTTATCGATGATGCTTCCCAGGTATGTGAAGGATTCTACATCTTCCAGAGTTTCGCCATCAAGAGTGATTGGATTGCTGTTCTCCGCCTTGAATTTGAGGACCTTGGTTTTCCCTTTGTGTATGCTGAGGCCTACTGATGCAGAGACTGCTGCTACACTGGCTGTCTTCATCTGCATCTGTTCGTGTGTACGTGATAGGAGGGCTAGGTCATCTGCGAAGTCCAAATCGTCTAATTGATTCTGAGCTGTCCATTGTATTCCGTGTTTTCCTTCAGATGTCGAGGTCTTCATAATCCAGTCGACCACCAGAAGAAAGAGGAAGGGAGAGAGTAAACAGCCTTGTCTGACTCCGGTCCTTACTTGGAATGCATCTGTCAGCTGTCCTCCATGCACTACTTTGCACTGTAGTCCGTCGTATGAGTTCCGGATAATATTGACAATCTTCTCAGGAACTCCGTAGTGTCGAAGAAGTTTCCATAATGTCCTCCTATCTACACTGTCGAATGCCTTTTCATAATCAATGAAGTTGATGTATAGTGATGAGTTCCACTCAACTGATTGTTCGACGATGATCCGTAGTGTTGCAATTTGGTCTGTGCACGACCGATCCTTACGGAATCCAGCTTGTTGATCTCGAAGTTGGGCGTCTACTGCATCCTTCATCCGGTTCAGCAACACTCTGTTGAAGACTTTCCCTGGTATTGACAGTAGTGTAATGCCTCTGTAGTTTTCACATTTGCTCAGATCTCCTTTCTTTGGAATCTTGACGAGGTGTCCTTCTTTCCAGTCCATTGGCACTTGTTCCTCCTCCCAAATCTTTTTGAATAGAAGGTAAGCATGCTTGTGGTTGCTTCGATGTCTGATTTCAGTGCTTCAGCTGGTATGTTGTCGGGTCCTGCTGCTTTCCCGTTCTTGATTTGTCTGACGGCCATTCTAATTTCTTCCGTCGTTGGTGGGTTGACATCTATAGGAAGATCTATGTGTGCTGCTTCGATGTCCGGTGGATTCATTGGAGCCGGCCTATTCAGGAGTTCCTCGAAGTATTCTACCCATCTGTTACGCTGTTGTTGAATTTCGGTGATTGGCTTGCCTTCTTTGTCTTTGACCGGCCTCTCTGGTTTACTGTATTTCCCTGCTAGTTTCTTCGTTGTATCGTAAAGCTGTTTCATATTTCCTTCTCTAGCAGCTTTTTCTGCCGTCGTTGCTAGTTCTTCCACGTATTTCTTCTTGTCGGCTCTAATGCTCCTCTTCACTTGTTTGTTTGCTTCTATGTATTCAGCTTGTGCTTGGACTTTCTCTGCTCGTGTTCGGCTGTTGTTAATTGCTGCCTTCTTGTTCTTCCTTTCTTTGATCCATTCCTTATGATGGTGTTTCTTTAGGCCCAGAACCTCTTGACACGTTGAAGTTAATGCTTCCTTGATGCCTTTCCAGTTGTCCTCCATAGTAGTTTCTTCTTCTTCAGTAGATCTTGTAAGGCTTGGAACCTGTTGTTGAGAGCTATCTTGAATTCATTGAGTTTGTCAGTATCTCGAAGGAAGGCTGTATTGAACCTTTGTAGTGCTGTTTGTCCACTTGTCCAGTTCTTTTTTAGCTTCAGTTTTAAATTGGCTACAACTAGGTGGTGATCTGAAGCTACGTCAGCACCTCTCCTGGTTCTCACATCTTCCATTGTCCTTCGGAATTTTTTGTTGATGCAAATATGATCTATTTGGTTCTCTGTAGTGTGGTCCGGTGAGATCCATGTAGCCTTGTGTATACGCTTGTGTGGAAATATTGTGCCTCCTATGACCAATTTGTTGAATGCACATAGATTTGCAAATCTTTCTCCATTTTCGTTTCTCTGTCCCAGTCCATGTCGTCCCATAATATCTTCATATCCGGTGTTGTCTATTCCGACTTTGGCATTTAGATCTCCCATCAGAATAGTTAGGTCCTTTCTTGGCATTTCTCAATGATTGACTGTAGCCGCTCGTAGAACTGATCTTTAATGTCGTCGTTGCTATCATTGGTGGGTGCATAACATTGGATAATATTCATTAAGATCCCCTCCTTCTTTGTTTTGAATGATGCTTTGATGATTCTGGATCCGTGAGACTCCCATCCTACAAGTGCATTTCGTGCTACTTTGGACAGCATAAGAGCGACTCCCTGAGTGTGTGGAGCATTTTCCTCTTCGTGACCGGAGTATAGCAGCATCTCTCCCGTAGCTAGCCTTTTCTGTCCAGCTTGGGTCCAGTGGGTTTCGCTGATTCCCAGTACTGCTAAGTTGTATCTCCTCATTTCCATTGCTATTTGACTGGTCTTCCCGGTTTCCCACATTGTTCGAACGTTCCATGTACCTATAAAAATTTTTGCTCTGGTTGTTAGAAGGGGCATCGGCCTCGTGGCTTCCGAAGGAACTCGGCTTTCACCATGAAGCGTCATAATTCTTCTAACTGAAGACCTTCTAACTCCCAGGGCAGAGTTTAAATGGTTTGAATATTTTTTCTGGTAAGCGTTTTTTTAGCGAGTTAGTTTTCTACGGGATGGGGACGCTAACCCCATGCCCAACCCTCCTCCTTTACCCGGGCTTGGGACCGGCAGTAACTCTAGAAGAGCTACAGGCGGAGTTATTCACAAACAAAAACACTTCATAATTTTCTAGGGAAACTCAATTTCTCATAGAACTGGTAAGATGAAAAGTGTCAATCTGGCTATTCGCTGATCTTTTGCAACTGTCCGACCCTAAACAATCATCTAAATGTAGAGTTACTTTATAGAATGAACAGGCTTGCTTGAATTTCTGGTCTACCTGTTCCTCTCATCTAAATATTAACACAAGTTATAATTTTTTATTTTGTTTTAACACACTCTACCTACTGATCGCATAAACTATTCAAACACATTTATGAAAAGTTTACGACCTATCACATTACAAGTTACAAAAAAGTACAATCAGAGACATCGTCATGGCTGGTAATGTGTATTGAAAAGAATGAATACTAATCAGATATCGATTACTGAACTTCTAAATTCTAACTGCCAATCACTATTTAACACGGTGGACTATCTTCGGTTCCTGAATGTTTGTGACTTATATAAGTCTTCTTTGCGTCAGTCATCTTATGTCATGCTTCCTATATCTACAGGTGTGAATAATAATTGTGTTCCAATTTTGACTAAAACTGACGTCCGAAAGTGTCTCCAGTCACTTAATTCATCGCAATGTTTAGGGCCTAATGAAATGCTAAACCTCTTTTTTAAGAAGTATGCTGACGTTCTGTGTTATCCATTGTCAAACATCCTTAGCAGATCCTTTTCAACTAATCTCATACCGAAAATGTGGAGAAAGATTATGATGACCACAATGACTAAGAAAGTATCTGGCTATAAGAATGTGAAATTTAAATTCATGGTAATAACTTCATCTTTCCTCAAAACAACGAAAGAATATTGACACTGTCACTTCAACCTACACTAGAAGAGCACATTGATCCGTATCAGTTTTCTTAAAAATGCAAAAGAGACACCTTGGATGATGCTGTTGTTCTGCATCATAATATAGTGTTCAGCTTGGAAAAAGATAAGAGGTTTGTTCGATGTGCCTTTCTGGACTACACTTCTGCTTTTGGATCTGTTCTAAAACAACTTCTACTTAACAGGTTAATCAGCGTCAACAATGACAGCTGGATAACCATCTGGCAATGTTTTTACCTTTCTGGAAGAGAAAATCACACTGTGTTTGGAAGAAAGTGTTCAACGTCACTGCTGTTTCATGAAGGTGTGCCACAAGTAGCTGTCCTGTCCTCTATTCTTTTCTCTCTTTTTGCATGATCTGCCATCTTCCACAGAGAACACTTGTTAAATATGAGGACGATCTCACTAAACGTATGCCGATTTTTACCTTTTTACATCCCTTTGAAATGAATGAGTTGTTGTCTCTTATTGAATGGTGGTCTGTTGTTAATGGTATCACACTTAATCCGTCTAAAATTCGGTCTGTTAACTTTAGCCTGAGACATGAACAGCACCCAAACACCTTGTTGGAACCCTATAAAGCTTGCATTATTTGAGACTCTTTGATAAACACTGTGTCAAAAGTCATTTATCATAGTGTAAGTTTATATTCTGACCTCTCGTGGTCTTCTCATATTTTGCGGTTATCAAAGACGCTTTTCCGTCTGACATTATTATTAATATCTTTATTCCATATTATATTATTGGTACAACATAAAATTCTCAGCAAAATATATTTCAACAAGTTTCTTTTACAAAAAAGAAAAAGTGGAAAAACTTATAGCTGCATACATATATGCGTAAACTCAATAAATAAACGACCCGGAATGAAAAGAAATGACTTTTTAAAGAAGATTTGAATTTGTACAACTTTTCCAATTAGAAACATGTTTAAGAATACAAGTTATTGACTGGGTAAACTCTAATAACCTGTTCTTCACGTTGTATATTTGTTAGATGAGATATTGTAGAGCTTTTTTGTACTTGCTTGCGTGCATGGATTCTAATGTATTGACGCCTCGTCTTACCAAAAGATTTGCAAGGAGAAAGATATGAATGAAGTATCTAATGTGATAACATCTGCCAGAAGTTTGCAAGATTTATAATGTCTATCTACAACCATAATAATAACCCAAAAAGATTCACCACACACCCTATTAACTATCTTCAGCAATTTCCTCAATGCAGCAAAGTCTTTTCCCAAAAGACCAGGAAAGAATAATGGAGAACAGTAAATATGTTCATTTACGCCATTTATACAATTATTGTCATAAATACTCCAGAGTAATTGTCCACCAAATACAAAAGTACCAGTGGGAAACTTTCTGTTCTGTAAAATAATTGAGTAATTTTAATTGAAATCACGAACCAATCCTAGTTAAACAGTTGCTGAAAGCACCGAAGACAGTAGGAGGTAGTCAAGTAATGTCGTGGGATGAATGATATTGAACAACCGTACCACTGGATTCCAACTTATTAGTCTGGATGTTAGGCGTTTGTCAGCAAAACCGAAGGTACTTGGTCGAATTCTCGCTGGTAACGCCGTGGGTGCACATTAGTGAGAAGTCCCATAGTAGATCAAAATGGTTATCTAGTACTTCCATGATTTAATAGTTATCTAACTCAGGTTGGTTTGTAATACCACTCAAATCCAACAATGATTGTTTATCAACGAGAAACTTATCCACACTAAATTGGTTGTGTGTAAGTCAACGATCAGTTTCCACATCACTCAGAAGTTTTAAATTATATATGATCAGTATTTAAGATCATGGAACGATAATCATAACAGTTCACTGACAAATACATTATTATTCTTATTTCGAACTCGAAAGTCAAGATTATACTTCTCAAGTATACTTGAAAACAGTATTTCATATAGATGATCTGTCAAACAGTAAGAAAAGAAGCTTCTATGATCTTCATCTATGACAGTGATGTAGGTATCCAAATTGATTATTTCAAAATAATTTCTAGATTTTTAAGTTACATATGCAATTTTACTGTTTCTAGTTTGATTAATTCGCAAAATTACTCATAAATCAGTACTTTTACATTGTGTTTTGAAATAGCAAGGTTAAATTTTTCGTTTAAATTACAGCCTAAACATTTAAACATTGAATCCTACCAAAAATGGCAACAAAGCATATTTTATATTACCTTTTATGATAATATTGTATTTGAATTCAATAAAAAACTTTGTTAGTAGTTTTATTTTGATAAGTAATGTGATAAATATTTTCTGTTAGAAAAGTTATACGAATACCAAATCGATAATTAAAAAACATAATATATTCTATGTGTCACATTGTTATTGATATAAAATATTTTAGAAAAGAAACGCATTTAATTGTAGTAAAATTAAATAATCTTATTATTGGTATCCAACTTTAAAATAGGTCCTGATTATTTCAAACAATCAGCTAACTGAAATAATACAATAGTATATCATTGAAATTTACTATTCAGTGTATGATTGTCATTCAGTTTAAAAAAAAAAAAATTCCTAATGAATTTACGAAGACCGTTAATGTTGAATTTCGTAACTGATCACCATATACAACTAAAATATGTCAAGAAGCTACACCGCCAAATTTTCGAAAAAGTTTGACTAAATACCAAAACTATTATGCACGTCATTGATTGATCTGCCTTCAACAAGTTATGTGACTTGTCACAAATACTTGTCAGTATGCAAGATGCTTAGACACAACAGAGATTGAAAATGCCTTAAAATGACTGAAATAAAGAAAGAATTTTAGTTGAATGGTGACATGATCAGTGCTATACATAAAACTTTTAACGGCGGTCAATCACGAAACCTTTACAGAACTTTATAGGTTGGCTCATTTTAAAATGTGCTCACGAAAAGTAATTTGTTCTAAACTGTAAATCAAATAACCAAGCATACTTTTAAAATATTTCAATTGACTGTTAGATTAATGGAATAATTAGACAAAATATTTCAATATAAAACATTTTTGCTTTAATCTTCTTTTGTTAATTACCTAAGTATTCTGTGGTTTTCTAAGTAATTTAACATTTTATTTTATTTTTACTCATAGCTTATAAGTAAATGTGATTCAGAAAAAGCTCGTATGGAACAAAAAGAACGTCTTGTAGAAATTTGTAGAAGATTAGAATATAAATATGATGCAAAGGTAAATTCTATTAAATTATATATTGTGAATCTTTCTTGTTTTCAAACTAAAACAAAAAATATAAGAAAATAATTTAAATTCTTAAAAAATAATATCCTAGTCTTAAAGAATAAATTAATATAAATAAAAAGATTTCTAATAGATTATTAAAAACGTTATGTGAGTTCCTCCTGCCCGTAATATCTTGTATGCATCAGGACGCGATATGTAAATATTCATGAAACAACTATTATTCTGATATTTTTTTATTTATTTGAACAATATCAATCTACTTTCTTTTGTTTATTTCTGCTCATTCCTAGTAATATGTTCTACCTCTGTAACTGATATGTAGTATCTTTGATTAATTACAATCCAACAAAACCACACATCCACGTCCATATCATCTTTCTATGTTTGTATATTGAGTTGAATCCACAAAATCTCAACTTAAATATACTTTGGAAATTTTGACAATCCATGTGTTACATATACAAGACATGAGCAAAGAACCCAACCTATGTGATAATGAAAATTCGTTGATACTGTTCACTTGTCATTATGTTTTCTTACAGGTTTTACTATCACAGATGACTTTTAAATCTACAATTTTTTCGAAGACTGATAGCGGTATCTTTATCTTGTTTAAAATTTCATCACATTTCTGTTTAGTAATCATTTCCATGTGTCGTATATACCAGATACCTTACAACCTCAACATTCATTTCTTTGGAATAAAATTCATATTTTATTTGAAATAAACACACCCCGATTTCTTTACACTACTTGATCATATTTATTGATTTTATCCATTTTACATCTGCATCTCAATTATTGTTATTTTATTTAAATTTTATGTATGCCTACTCGTAATAAAACAGTCTTTGGCTACGGAAAGTCGGACGCTTGTAAAAGAAGGTGATCTACGTCTTTTAACAATGACCAATGTACAGGGTAGCGGATTCCACCGTCGTTTCAGCAGTATTCGTAAACCCAAAGCAGCAATAGCAACTCTATTTCTATTTAGTGATTACTTATTAATTACCAAAAAGCGAAGGTAATGTGTACTTTTAGATCTCCGTTTTATGTTTGTTTCAACTCTTATTGTCCTCAACCAATATTGTGTCACAATAATTCTTTGAGAAGATTCACTACCACTTTATAATTTTGTCAAAATAATGATAGAACACAGTGATATAAGCCAACATCTATGTTTAGTACATCAATAAACTACATGAAACATCCCGAAAGGTTATCAGGTTTTAATATTTTATAGTTGCAAATCAACTTGAATTATTGTATTAAAAGGATGTAATCCTGTTTGATGTGGTTTTATTTTTTATGTTTTAACCAGTCTCTAATATAATAATCAAGTATTAACTGAAGTGGCTGGTATCAATAACAACTACCCTGGTCCCTTTGAAGGACCGCAATATGTATTCCTAAGAACGACACTAAATTGATTATAGCTAGGCTTTTTAATTCAAAACCTTTATAGCGATGAATTTCATTCTAGGGACAACCAAAATGTACTCAGAAAACCCTCATCAAAGGTAAACACTTTATAACTATCTCTGTAAGTACTTGAACGGGAAACGACTTATTATTTAAACTCATGTAACTCAAATGACATTTTGAGATGGAATCATTAATGTACAGGCGCATATACCACTTACCAAATAAAAATGACTAATTATTTGTTGTAGTCCTCCTATTTGACTTTCTGAATTTATTGAGTAGTTTCAATACAAGTACTTGCTATCATCTTTTAATTTTTTTATTATAGAATAAATAACATTAAATTCTTTATTAAACATTCACAAACAAAGTTATTGAAATTTAATGATTCTGAATTTCTATACTGTATTAAATCGAAATTTTTTGTATGATAAAATTAATAGTCCCTATTTTGCCAAGAAACAGATATTTCGCAAAAATACTTATTTGTTGACTTCATTTTCAAAATCTGTACAGTTGTCTTCATATGAAATAACTGATGTGATGAACAAGTTGTTTGCACTGTACATGTGTATAATGTACGAAATTCGGGGAAAGCATTCTTATTAGTAGGTGAATTAGTTTATAAAGAAATCATTAGACGGCCTAGAAATTACAACTTATATAATAGAGTAAATGCCAAGACACGAGTATATGATGCGAGATTATGGTGTAATTATTCAAGTAGATAGGTAAAAATCATTGTAATTATTTGTGGTTATATAATCCCTCGAATCGAATAAATTAAATTAAATGAATTCAACTGGGAAATGTTTGCATTTAATAAACTAAGGGGATGAGATTACATTTGAATTATAGATAAAAAGAAGAAAATACAAAAACGAAACCAATCTCATGAAGGAGAAAAGTAAAATTATAATAAATGCTACCATTGACAATGCTTCCATATAAAAATATCTGACTCTGATTTAAGTAATCATGTAGTAGTTTTCATGAAAATGATGTATATGGATCCGAATTCACCAGATTAGGTTTAGTCTTCTACATAAGACGTTACGAAGAGTTCGCTACTACGCAGTTATTGTCAACTCCATGTGGTGTAAAATAGATGGTTTGGTTATTTTCATTTATCCTTTAGTGAGTCATCATAAGAACCACTCTCAATGAACTTAGTATATGCTCCCATAACGAAAATATATGGTTTATATATATATATATATATATATATATATATATATATATATATATATATATATCACACAAAAGACAGTTGTCCACTCCGTTCACTTCCATTTATCTTCAAAAATGACGAAACTAATCTTACACTGAACATTAAGAAATAAACTTACAAACATTCTAGTATCAGTTCTTCAGTTCCTTTGAAACAAGAATGTAATTTAATTGACTCATATTTTTTATTTTTCATTCTTGATCAAAAATGTTCTTAAACATGTTTCTAAAATACCAGTTTCTGATACATCATTGTTTATTTTAAGCAATGGCGTTGTCATTAACATCCTTATGGTATGATCTAATAAAAGTCAGGAGAAATACAGTTGCTTTTGTAATCGTTACGTTTAATTTATTTTAAATCACCAAAACTTTATAAGTATTTTTCTAGATTTTAATTTACAAATCTCTTTCATGCAGTTTAGCTACTAAATTCGGATGCTTAACCTCCTGCTAATCTTTTCTTCATTCAAGTAATCAGCATTTGTTGGTTGAAGATAGTTGTTCGTTGAACTATATTCACGTGGAGGCCCGAAATGCCTTACCGAATTGTTTCATACATCATTTCTGCCGATCTGGGGATCCCAAATTAAGTGCACAATTAGGACATGTGACTTATGTAAAAACGTTGAGTCTTCCTAAGCAAACTGCTACTGAAAAAGGCAACGTAAATAATCAAAAACCACGAAAATTTTCTACAGGTACAAATAATGCAGATGTTGGGCTCAATGTATTTTCGTTTCTTCTAGTAATAGAAGGCCCTGATCATCCACGTGTTCAGTACGTGTTCCAAGCAGAAACACTGTAAGTATAACCACTTTTAAAAGTATTACTGAATTTTATAAAGATTACAAACTTATCTAAGTCAAAACCAATGAAAAAGTAAAAGTACTAGATAACCGTCTCGTCCAACTATGGGACTCCCCACAAGTGCACATCCACAACCCCACCACCGAAGACCGAACTCAAAACCTTCGTTCTGGTCCACAAACGCTTAACCTCTAGACCACTTGGCCGAGATCCGATAACTTCTGAGAACGAAGGTCTTAGGTTTAATCCTTGGTGGCAGGTTCATGAATGCGCAGTTGTGAGAATTTCCATACTAGAAAGAAAAAACTGTCTAGTGTTTGCAGGTTTCTGATGGCTGTCTAAATTAAATCGGTTTCTGATCTTCACAGTCGCTTTCGTTTTATTTATACATTTACCACAATAAAATGAAGTATCGTGTTTTAAGCTTACCAACATAAATAAAATAGTATTCATTTTCGTATAAGTTTCACCCCTATACACTTGCATTTCATCTTTAATACGCACTTGTGGTTTATGTTATCAAGTACATTCGAGTTAAGAACGGTTCAGTAAAGCTAACGACTTTGAGCTTGAACTACTTTATAACGTTAAGTACTTGGTCACAACTGCTTCGACTTGTCGAGCATTTCTTTGTAACTTATACTAACCAACTAATTATAAGTGAACATAATTTTCTCATATATAATTTGTAGGATTGATTTTATCTGTCATTATTACTTAAACCATATATAGAGACAACTATCTAACCGTAAGTTATTGTTCAAACGGTCACAAGATTGATTTCATGCTTTATCTTTTCCAAAACGTACATATAATACACTCGACGTGATAACTATGTATAAATACTGGCTCAATATAAACAAAACATACGTTGACCAATATTAGTTTGAGATATATAATAAGTCGTATTCATCACAGAAACTGAAAGTTAAATAGTACTCCCTTATCGATGTTCATCTAATGCATACAGGTAAATAGCAGTAAATTCCAATGATGTTTTCGTTTCTGTGAACTTTGCGTTATACTTCAGGAACTCATTGAGTGCCTTCAACGCAATGAGTTGATCACAGGATTTTAATCTCTGAAAAATTCCCATAATTTTGTTTTAATATAGTGAGAATTTTCCAGAGATTAAAATAGCAGTAAATAAATTAAGGCAATACCAACATAAATGGATCTGTTTTTAAAGATGGAAAAAATAAAATCATGATCAAAAATTGCCGTGCAATTAAAAAAGCATTGTAAAATCGTCTTGCTTACTTTTGGGACACAGTTTTTGTGTGACAAGTGTTTAATAGAGATGACTTTCTCATAAAAAAGCAGAGATGTCTTGGTCTATGCACGTATTATTTATGAAGTTTAATATTTCAATCTTGCATCCTCTACCTGATACTTGCCTTTTAATTATACATGAAAATATCTGCACTCTTATACAGAACCGTCTGACTGAATTTTTGTAAAATTCGGTAAAAAAAAATATTAACTAAGTCTTTTTTAAATACTAGATCCTTCCAAGTACATGAACTTCTTAAATCCAGATGTCAGTTAAACTCACAAAATCCTTTATTGTCTTTCATTGATTTAATGATCAACCACTGTGGTATGCTTTCACTAGCCAAGCTACTGAGAAGGTTAATTATAGCAAGCTATTGCTCACTTTTCAGTTTACTATATTTCACCCCTTTTCGAGAACAAAAGAATGAAATTATCTGAACGATTAGTTTTGTAATGTTTTGTTCACCATATGTAATTATGTTTCTTAGGATATCTAACATTTATGAATAAATAAAACTGATAAAACCATGTTGATAATACCGCCACTGAACTGATTCGACTCGACTCAGGAGAGAAGATAAAATCAGTAGATGAAAATTTATTTGAATGAGGGTTTGTGGTGGTTGTAGTGACTTTAATCGATTTTAATCAACTCATAAATTCAACTATGAAAATTTATTCGACATAAAAAGTCTGGACACACTGATTTGTATGTTTTATTTACATTGATTAATATCCAGATTTTGAATACAGGAAAATGAATATCATTTAGCACTGACTAATTAATAATGTACTGAATAAATATAATCTACATTACCATAAGATTAAACTGTTACAATCAATAAATTCAATTAATTTAGTGAGTTGTGTACTTATTCTTTTGTTTCCATATCGTACTTACTCCTCTAAATAAATCTTGACTCCATTTTGCTTCTGGCTGAAGAACCAAGAACTTTGGCAGTTCGAGTATTTGTCATTCCACTTAGTTTTTTATAATTATTCTGACTATACTTTCTTTTGATTGTCGTAGTTTTAGACTGTTTATCCTTGATGAAAACCTACTGTTATGAACTTGAATCGCTTTAACCCCGTCGATACTTTGTTATGACTTGACCTTGATCTGTCTAGTCTAGATTATGACCTTGGCGTAATAGGCTAAGCGGTTTAACCATGAGTCTAGTACGGGTGAGTTCGAGATGGGGTAGAGAGAAAGCTATTCTAGAACCTGATTGGCTGGCAAGCACGCAAATGAGAGAACACAAGACAGTTGGAACACTCTGAATTCTGAATTCGGATTAGTGCAAAAATGTACATCAATAAATAAGTGAATATCCTGACCACAAAGTACGACAATTTGGGAAAATACAATTATGTCCAAAACTGGGAATCAGGGTAGAAAATAAGGTGCAAAATATTATGTTTAAATTACAATGGTTTCGGAACAAAAAAGGGTATGGCAGTGAACGTTACATAGAACGAAAGGTCATGTTCTGTAGAATAAAATAGGGACAAAAATAAATATGTTTTACAAGGTTTGAATAAAATGAAATAACGTCCCAAGAAATAGCTTTCGTAGTTTGTCTGGGCTTCTTATTTCCCCGTTCACAACACCTACGAAAGAAAATGATTTTATTTTGTCGTCCAAACCCTATGCTTGTTTTGCTTAACAAATTGTTGTTTTATCACCCAATTAATTCCAAATCAGTGTGTCTAGTATTTGATTTAATCAAATTTAAGTACAGTTGAATAATAGTGACAAAAGTTGGTTGTTAAAACCGGCATTTTGTTTTGTTTTTTTATCTCATGATTTTTGGATAGGAATCTTCATCGACTTTTGAATTCCAAGGTCATCGTAATGCATCCGAACAACTTAGTAAACTATTGTGGGTTGAAGTATATTAAAGCTTCAGGTCAAAATGACGCACTGCTATTGTGACAGGGATCGATAAATTAGTCTTACGAATACGTGTGCAGTTTCAGTACACAGCATTACATATTACACAAACATGCTGAGAATATCTTATATCTTATACTAACAATATAATTTAGTTTCGTTTCAAGCTATTCACCTTTTATCAAGGAAATCAGCTTATAATTTGGTTAACAGGCCCTGAAAACATGTAGAACAATCCTCTTTCCAATTTATCATCATCATCACCATCATAAGCATAACTAATGGATAGTTACTTTAGTGTACTATATACTATGTTCTCAGAAATTACTACATTGATATGTTGATGGATATTAGGATAGTAATAACCGCAACAATTAATCCATAGTGTAATAAATAGGAAACAATGAAATGAAATTATAAAACATAACTACTTTCAAATGTTAATTATTTCGTTGTTCGTTTGAACAATTTCTTATCTGTATCCAATAATTACGTGTGATGAAAATCTTTTACTCATATTCAAATGGCAAACATATCCAAATAGATCAGCAAGATTTAATCTTCTTCAGTAACAGAAATGAAATCTTTTTTTCCTAACCATTACTCATAAAACTTCTTAATTTTTGTCGTTTTCAGTATAATGGACAGTAACTATCTTTTGAAATTGTTATTTCCTAATAATCTCATTTCTTTCCAAACTTCTGGTTCGACTAGCAATTTATTCGATATCAGTTTAAACAGCATCGTCTACGGGACTCATCATTTAATACTAGAACACTGTGAAATATATTTCTTAGTTTCAAGACTTTAAAACAAAGTGTGAAATCTAGAACCAAAATTTACCCCATAAGAATATTTTGTGATATCCATACATAGTGATGAGAGTAGATGAATACAAATAAGTTGGGTCTAAATGGGTTGTTTCATAACCATAGCTAAATTTGTATTTCTACAACGGGCCCGTCCAATTTTAAAAGGCCACCGTAACAAATGATCTTACTACCTGCGTGCATGAATTTTCTGTTTTCACTCATTATAACATAATCAGTTTCCACCTTCTGAATTTCCAAGTTAACATGTTCGGATAATCAACGACAAAAATATGTTTTTCAATACAGTAGTCTGTTAATTATCCATAAAACATTCATTTAGAAAGGTTTATGTGAATAAAAAAGCACATGGCTAAATGTTTCACCATAAATCTTTTACGTTTTCTAAGATAAATTCCTTTCTCTTATTCAGAAGAAAGTGCAATAATCCACCTTTATTCCAAATGGTTTATTTAAATTATGTATGTAATGTTTTAATATATTTTCGGAATGACAATAATATTATGCTCTTTAATCTGGATTTTAGCCGAAAACCTCTCATTATTTCCCTAGACAACATCATCAGTATAAATTCTGTTCTATATAAACTATCTTGAAGAATTAAACTTGTTATTCTTTTAGAACATGTGACAAGATGAAGTAACTTCTATTATTTTTCTTTGTTTATCATTTTGTGATTTTTACTCAGTTCGAAAAGAGAACGATGGTTGGATGGTCTTTCATGTGGTCGTCATGGTATCCCTGAAAATCTAGGTTCGGACATCTGCGGTAAGTAATACTACAGCAAGATTTATTCAGGGATAAAGCATCACATAGTGTAGATGAAAGTATAATAATTCCACCTTACTTACTTACTTACGTCTGTTACTCCCAGTGCAGCATAGGCCGCCGACCAGCATTCTCCAACCCAAATTCCACTTTATTGATATGTATATACAGGAGGAATATGTTTGATGCGGATTAAAAGGAAATGAAAAAGCTTGTTTGTTAACTACCCTGTGATTAAGTTAGAATACATGATCATTTAGTCAAGAATTCATGTTGCAGCATGAGTTGTAATGTTGCATTATGTTACATTATGATTACTGTAGTGTGCAGGCAGTAAATTATTTTATATAATCGACCACAGTTTAATTATTTACGGAATTGGTGATGCTACTAGTTTGCAGAGTGAATATTCGTGAGGATAAAATATGTTGAATCAGTAAACCAAATAAGATCATGAATATCCAGCTTTATAACAAGTTTCGTTGTTTCGACTAGGTACTTTTATAACAATTTTTACTTGATTCGTTATGGATAATCAACCGAGCTGTTTTGTCTGTAATCGGATATTATGTCATTAAAGTCGTTGATCTCAGTGAAACTCAAGGAAATTAAACGAAGAAAAACTACATAAGAGTTTTGAAGTTTAAACGGATGGTTGATAAAACATACAACTTCATTGAAGTTAGTAAGTTGTTAACCAGCTGGTATTCTCACATTTTCGGCTTAATAGGCACCTGATAACCAATAAAATCGGCTTTCGATACAAAAGATATTTCTATATAGATTACCGATAAATAGGTATAATTAATGAATTTTTATCCCCTGAGTTTGAAAAAACATCTTTTACAAACCACACGAGCATCATCTTATCTTTGTGGATCATTTTAATGCAATGTTCATTAAATGGAATTCGGTATGAACATGTATCATCCTAGAATTTATGATTTCTGTATTAGTAGATTCTTTCTGAGTATCTTCAGCTTGCATTATGACATTCCCATATGATATATATTCCTGTAAAAGCACTTTTCTTCTAGACACCGGTACTTGATTTTTTGTTACATAGAATGACTGAAATATTGTTCAAGTCAAAATCTCCGATACAATGTAAACAGAGTATTACAAAACATTAAAATTTCGTCTAATCTCCATTGAAAAGTATTCAGTTTGCCACCTATTCCATTAATTACTTACAACAGCTAGTGAAAACGAATTCCAAAACATTATTTCTGAATTCACTTGGTGTTATTTACTTGTATCTTCCCATTGTTATTTTGGACTGCAATTGATCAGTCTCTTGTTGGCATATGTGCATCCTGTGCGGAATGCCTCGATATTGTCTGGGCACTGGATTCGAGTCCCAGAGCGAACATAAACTATGAGATGCAGATACGTCCTAAATGGGACGAAACGTGTGTCCTGGATTCCACTGCTAGCCCCTATCCATCTTTGCTTATAAATCTATTTCTGAAGCTGAATATACAGTGATATCACTAACCCACTCTGAAAAGAGTGGTTGTAAATGCCCACTTTGGCACTCAAAATGATACAGAGATCATTAGAGTACTTACTATCCGGACTTTCTTAGCTAGGTATAACGTAACACACGAGAATCCTTCTAACTCACGTAAAGTCAAAACTAAACTATTAAATCGGTCTAACACGATGACGTCGTTACATGAAGTAGCCCCCATCTGATGTTTGTTATTAAAGCTCTCAATTATTTAATGTAAAGTATAGTACTTTGTAGTAGTTTAACGGGAATTAAATAATGCTTATGTTGTTTAAACATATGATAGCTCGCTAGCTGTTTCCACTAACAACCTACACCTAACTTGTATATAGTAGTGTCAGGTGATAATATGTGAGTCATACATTAACTAAAGTAACCCTCACAATTATTAGACTGTTTAAGCAAACAAAATGTATACTAACATTTATGAATTAGTGATATAAATGATACAACGATGTCGTAGACTGTTTCATGATAGTTTATGAATATAAATGGTAATTCGGACCTTTACAATAGTATTCCAAAGGGCACTGAAAACTAGAAAACCTTGCAGTCTGGTGTATAGCTTTATATACCAAAATAACTGAAAAAAGGAAATTTAGAAAATAAGAGTTAACTATAACGAGAGTTACCACAATGGCAATCATATAGAATATCATTTACTTCTAAGAAGGCACTTTACATATGCTAAGGAAAGCTACTATTCTTCTTGTTGAGTGCTTTTTGGGCTTAAAATCGACAAAAATACGAATAGTTATACTATAGTCAATCGATTCACAATGTATCTGGGTTTCATTTTTAGGTCAACATAAATCCATGAAATAAACAACATATGAAGACGTCAGTGAATTAACCTGTAGGCTATTTGAAATTTGACGCATTATCTATTATTGAAAAATCTTGATTACCGTTTCATCAGAAACATCAGTTAAGTAATATTACAACAAACATACTGAAAGCCTCGAGTTGTAAACTGCAAAAAGACAACAAACTCTGATGATACGAGATCATTGAAACAATAGATAAAATTCAATGAAAATCCAATTGATAATTACTGACTAAATGTCCGATGAATAATTCAAATACACATCTTAAACTTTAGTGTTAATATCATAAAAATATAACATACTTTGATTATAATATATAATGAATAAGCAATATTTTGTATATGATCATAATGAAAATCAACTTTTAGAGGTCAAATATTACTTTAATCATCACTGATAATAGTTGTGCTGATATATTGGATGGTTAGTTTTTGGAATGTTTACGGAATAAATAATAATACAATTTAGAAACACAAATCATTTACAGTTTGGAATTCAGTTAACCATATGAATTGTTCGTAAATACTATACTCTTATTTCTACTTTTTTTTTATTACACAGAATGTCCTCAAGTACTCATCACTAAATCTTATTCTGCTATTGAATGTGATGAACTAGAATTAAAAGAGGGAGATCAAGTTAATGTGCTTGTCAGCTTATCAGATGGTATCCTTCAATTATTTTCACTTTATTTATATGACTACTTTTTTAAATATTTTTAATCACCATTCACCAAAGCTGGTTTCTAGTTATCTTTGACGGAAATGATAATATATGCTGAAGTTAAAATATAGTCGATTTTTTCTTGTGCAGTCATTTGTTGTCACAGCACTCTAGACATTGCCTTATGTATTTATTGTCAAACTATGCGAATTAAATACCATACTATGCATTAACTTGAGCTTAGATTCATGTCCCAGCAATTTACAAATAAATAAATAAGTTGACATGGTTTATCGTTCTGTAGTTTGTCTTGTTATTTCACCTTCAAAAGATAGCTTCTGTTAGCAATTTATAAGACGTCAGTAGAAAGTTAAACCTCCAAATTCATCAACACCATGCACCCATTGATTGATAACTCCGAAGCTTTTTACTACTTTCACAGAGAAAGCCTCGTATTCTCGGTTACTTAGAGATATTGGTCAAGGTCTTATTGTAATGGATGAGAATACATGTGGGGATAACCAGTTGTATCTTAATATAAAATTACAGAGTTATTTGGTCAAATGTGAGAACCATACAATCAGCACTTTATTTGCAAATACTCCATCAATTGTCTCAAACTTCGTCGTTCCTTCAATGACATAACAATTACTCTGTTCCCGTTCTCTTCCATTCGATCTTCCAAGCATTCTGCTGCCAGGCATTCCACTTCTGATTGCTGTTATATACTACTTATGTCGACACATGTATCATACATCGAAGCTGAATGTTTCAGAAAACATTTTACTGTTTCTTAATTGATTAGCCACTGAGATTCAGCTGATCAGCCTCAGTCTACGAACACTCAGTATTGATTCAAACCACTGAATCAAAAATATAATGGTCCACACTTCCGAGCATACAACTTGGGTTATTGGTGATATTTATCTCACTGCCGATTTGATTCTCTATCAATAATTTTGAAATAAGAACTCCGTAAATCAGAATAAACAACTGCTTCCCATGAGAAAAATATATTAGTATAAACTGCATTGCAATTGATTGATAAATTTAAAGTGGTGGAACAAACAGTGTTTGTGAAATTGAATCCACACGTTAAGTGTTTGAAGGTAGTCGATAGTAAATCTTTGATCCAGCTTTCGTGCTACATGCTGTCCATCAGAAAAGCGCACCTATAGTCTTGAGGGGACCAGTGTTCCCTACGGATCCTTATCCCGTACCACCAAACTTGACAGTCAGAGACTATATCAGTGAGCTGTTCGAAGAGCGTCTGGCCTTTCATAGGACTGAGTTGTTTACAGTTGATTGATCTCTATGTAGAAATCAATATCACGTATGTCCAGTCCTTAAGGTACTGATGGAAATCTATCGATAAACATATTTGCGACAATGTAAGTTGACTTATTCACTTATCAACGTAATTCATGCTAAACTTGGTCTTTAAACTTGCATTTACGTTTACAAGGATTCCTGAACATAACCTTGATATAAAACGCTATGGGATAATTATAATAGACAACTTTTAAGGTTAATACATTTATTCCAAAAAGTATTAACTATCTGAATTTGTTCGAAAGTCACTAAGTGCATTCATGTTTCAAATTTTTCACTGGTTTTTAAAAACCTTTCTTTATAACACACGCACTTCTAAGGATCACCAAAACTTACACGATTTTATTCACAGAAATATGGTCCTGATACCCACTGCTTGATATTATACCAGGAAATTCAGCACCTCCTATAAAAACTGTAACCGAAATTAATCTTATAAATGGGTAAACGCATTACTTAATTAGAGGGAAAAATATTTTATTGTAATTATTTATATAATAATATAGGACACTAGTAAGAGTTTGTATTATCTTGTTGCTGGTGGTTAACTGGACTCAGTGATTTAGTGCAGAACGCATATGACTTGGAATTGATTTACACTGAGCTCTA